GAAAATGTAGTGAACCCCTAAAGCTTTCATCTCTCCTGAAAACTGCAGCTGCAGGAAGCTAGAGAGGGAGGATCACTTGGGAACACCGAGGAAGGCTTCCCAGAGAAAGGGGCTTTTGAAAAGGCGGCGATGGCTTGAGCAGTGAGGAGCAGAGGAAGGGGGGGAGTGCGCCATTTACAGAGGAGGCTCTCAGGTGATCTCATTTAATCTACTCAATGGCATGCAGCAAGGCACAGTGACCTCCTGCTGCTTTTGCAGTCTCTTCTGTAGTCCAGCCTGGCTCGGAAGCATTATATAGTTCAGATTGGCCTCAGAGTTGCTGCAGACCCTCTGCCTTAGCCCCAGAGTACTGGTATTGAAGGTGTGCTCCAACACACCCAACTTATTCTCCTTAAAAAATATTAGCTGAAGCCAGGTAGTGATGCCACACGCCTTTAGTCCCAGCACTCAGAGGCAGAGGCAGGTAGATTTCTGTGTTCAAGGATAGCCAGGGCTACACAGAAAAACCGTCTGTCTTTGAAAAAAAATGTTTAATTATATGTATGTGTGTGTATATTGTATGTGAATAGAGTTGCCCTCAGAAGCCAGAAGAGGGTGTCAGAACCCTTGGAGCTGGAGTTACTAGCTATTTTGAGCCACCCAATGGTACCTGTGAGTCCCATTTGGGTCTTCTTCAAGAATACTACCTAAGCCATCTCTCCAGCCCATAAGATAAAAAATTTTAACATTTATTTGTATATTTTGTGGGGGTGGGGAGCATGCCTCAGCATATCTATAAAGGCCAGAGAACAGCTTGCAAGACTTCAAACTCTTTCCACCATGTTGGCTCTGGGGGCTGAACAGGTTGTCACGGTTGGCATCTTGCTAGCCCTGCCCTCATTTTTACATAGGAACCAGGACCCCGTATCAAGTAGGAAGGGGCTGGACTCAACCCTAGTCTGTTTGTCTGAGATGTCTGCTGCTTCCAGAGACTGAACAGAGCAAAGAGCCCACACACCGCGGTTTGGTGGGCGCGTGTTCGGTCAGTCCTGGGTAACCATGGTGGGGGTGAGTAGGGGAGGGTTCCTGCTGGCCAGGGTTGGGAAGAGAAAGAAGGCTGCACATGTTTTGTCACCCCGGGTCCAGGACCGGCTACGAGTGGCAGAGCAACCCTGTCTGCTCTGGCTTTGGCCGAGCGAGTTTCTCCTGCACTGGCAACCATTTCTCCTTCCTTCGCAGTGTGGCTCTGGTCCCTTCCTTCTGCTTTTCTTGTAGCTTCCTTCCAGGCTGGGGTCTGACTGGCCATGGTTGAGCTGCACTGTTACAGGGATTTGGAACGGTTCTCTGAGACCTTCCTAGAACCCCTTACTCAGCCTGTCCCTTGTCCTCTTACCCTTCCCTCCGGGTGGGACACCTGGCCCTTCCTGTTTACAAGCCCCTCCCTGCTTGGCTGAGTCATTTCTCTCTGAGCCCCTTATCTCTAGGGATTTCCTGTCACTTTGGTCCACAGCCATCTGGGTGACCCTTGGTGTGTAGGAGGCAGAGGGGTTTTCTCTGGTCTCAGAAGTCACAGGAGATGCTGTGTCATATGGCGGGGCTTGGGTGTAGAATTATCTTGCTGCTTTTGAAGAGACTCTAGTGTTGCCATGTGGTCTGCATAAGTGAGACTCTGTCTTAAAAAACAAAACATTAAAGCGGGGGGGGCCCCGCTCGGTTAGAGCAATGACTTAGTGGTTAATGATACCTGCTGTTCTTCCAGAGGATCCTGGTTCAATTACCAGCACTCGTTTAGTGGCTAGCAATGGCCTGTAACTGCAGTTCGGAGAGATACTGCTCCCCCTTTGGGGTGCAAAGCACACATGTGGGACACATACAAGCAAAATACCCAAGCACGACAAATAAAACCATCCCCAGAAATGGTTTTAAAAAGAAAAGGTTGTGCGGGGCGTTGGTGGCACACGCCTTTAACTAATGGTCATGGGCACACCTTGAGGGCAAACATCCAAATAAACCCTTTCTCCCGGGTTGCTGTGGTCATGTGTTTCATCATAGCAACAGTAACGCTAACTAGGCCAGCCATCTCCTGGGCCAGGAACTTTACGTTTTGTTTTGTTTTGAGATGGAGCCCCAGTTGGCCTTGAACTCACAGATATCTACCTGCCTCTGTCCTCTTTCCCCCAGTGCTGGGATTAAAGACATGTGCCACCATGTTTATTCTAATGCTTTTATACCTACTAACTGACCATTTAGTCTCTATAATAGCCAAATGAGGCATGCACATACTTCAACCATTATCAAGCTGGGTGTCTGGGCGCACACTTGAATCTCAGCACTTGGGAGGTAGAACAGGAGAATTGGAAGTTCAAGTCCTGCCTCAGTTAAGTAATAAGTTGCAGGCCAGCTCAGGTTATTTGGATTCCTGTCTATAAAGAGAAAGAATTATTATCATCATGATTTTTGGGTGCTGGGAATTGCATACACCAGACAAGCACTCTGCTACTGAGCTGTAACCCTTACCCTTGAGGTAGGGTTTGCTAAATCATCCAAACAGTTCTGAACATTTTCATCGCCTACTTCAACCATCCGAGTCCTTTACAGGCATGTGCCATCGTGCCCGGTTTATGTATTGCTGGACAGTTAACCCTGAGCTGTGCATGCGAGGCAAGAGCTCTATCAACTGAGCTACATCTTCTGTCTTTTTTTTTTAACCCCAGCACTCGGGAGGCAGAGGCAGGTGGATCTCTGTGAGTTCGAGGCCAGCCTGGTCTACAGAGTGAGTTTCAGGACAGCCTCCAAAACAATACAGAGAAACCATGTGTCAAAAAAAACAAGAAAAAAAAAGTTGTAAAAAAAAAAAACCAAAAAAACTAGTTCTTCCATGGTGCTTTTTGGTATAACTGGACCCACAATGTACACACAAACACAGTGTACAGCCATCAAATCAGGCTAGTTGGCATGTTGATTATTCAGACATTTATCGTCTCACACTTATGGGTGTGTGTGTGTGTGCGCGCGCGCGCTTTCTCCCTTCAAGACAGGGTCTCACTGGAGCTCAGGCTTCGCTATGTAGACCAGGTTGGTCTCAGACTCACAGAAATCAGCCTGCCTCTGCTGCCCAAATGCTGGGATTAAAGATGTGCACCACTATACCCAGCTTTTATTTTTCTTTTGACACAGCGTCTCATGTAGCCAAGACTGGCCTTGAACTTGCTTTGTATCTGAACTTCTGATCCTCTTGTTTCTACGTTTCTGTCACCCCTGGCTCACGTAGTGTTGAGTTATTTATCAGACCAGGGCTTCTCACATGGAGCACTCTGTTAAGCCCTAATGTGTTTCGTTGTTGTTTGCTTCTTTGACTGTTGAGGCAAGAGTCCTCACATAGCAGGACTGACCTCAGACTTAACAGTGCAAGCGAGACCTCTGGTCCTCCTGTCTCCATCCTCTGAGTGGAGTGAGGTTGCAGGCCTACACGTCCACACCACTGTTCATCACAGAAGGAAGGCAGGACAGGAACTAACAGGGCAGGAACCTGGTGGCGGGAGCTGACCCAGAGGCCATGGAGGGAGTTGTTTACTGGCTTGCTCTTGATGGTGTGTTCAGTCTGCTTACTCACACAACCCAGGACACCAGCCTAGAGAAGGCACCACCCACCCATCCACAATGGGCTGAGCCCCCAACCATATCAATTACCAATCAGGAAAATGCCTTATAGGCTTTCCTAGAACTTGCTCTGTCCACCAAGCTGGTCTCTGCCAGAGATCTGCCTGGCTCTGCCGTTAAAGGCATTTTCTTTTCTTTTTCTTTTATTATTATTATTTTTTTTTTTTTACAAATCCACTTTTATTTACTTTTCATTCGTTTAAATTCTGGAAGGGCATAGCATCACACAGATTCTGTGTCCAGTGGCCTTTGCAGGAAGGTTGCTTGGGAATTTGGCACAAACCATGCCACCACGGCCTGGCTGTATTTACTTTCTTTTTTATTGTTGTTGTTTTGTTTTGCTTTTAATAAATCCCCCTCCATGACATTATAAAGCACCTGTAGATAATCCCCTTTGAAGGCAGTACTTCAAGATGAGTGCCCCATGGGAAAATAACGAGGACATGAAGAAGCATGGAATTTCAAATAGTAATTACTTACATACATAGCACATGAAGCTGTGTTGTGAAATAATGGCATGGACCGCAATGGTGACCATTGCTGCTTGACAGAGTTCCAGCATTTCGACATTGCAGACCAACCACACCTCTTCAGCACCATGCCGGCCGTGGTTACCTAGCTCGCCGACGTTCTCCACTCAGTACCCGAGGCACAGCACACAAAACCTGGCGCCTGCTCCTCTTCAGAGACAAGCCTGCAACTTGTATTTGCGTTCTTAGGTTAGCATAGGACGTAACTAACGACTGTGGGCTGAAGGTAGCTAAGTAGGTGAAGATGCCTGCCTCCAAGCCTGTACGTTCAGTCCCTGGACCACATGGCATGGAGTTTGGAGAACTGCTTCCAAGTGTTGTCTGTCTCGTCCCACCTTGTGGACCCCAGGTGTCCAACTCAGGTCGTCAGGCTTGGCTGATGGCAAACACCCTGACCCACTGATCCTTTGCTGGCTGTGGATTTTATTCTCACCTTTATGTTCAATGCTTCTTTATTTTTGCAGCATAGAAATGTAAAAGTTACTCTTTTATTTTGAAAATAGGGGCAATGAGTGGCAAACTAGGCCTGCCTGATCTCCTTGAGGGCATGGCATAACTGTCCATGAAGGTAGTGAGAGCCTGAAGAAGCATAAGCAGTCAGGTAATTAGTGCTCTGAGAGTTAACAGTCGGACAAGGTTAGTGGAGAGGAAAAAGCACCTTTCTGCCAGCTGGACGTATAGAACTGCTTAAAGCCTGGCTAAGCCACTTGAGCCCTCTCCGTTGGTGATATTGTACCCTCTGAAGGGCGGAGAGATGTGTATAATGCCCTACTTGAGTGTAAGGTAACAGAAATACAGACATAGTTTTATGGGTTTCTCCTTCCCCTCCAGGAGTCCAGGCCTCTGCATGTTGTGCTGGGAAATGAAGCTTGTGACTTAGACTCCATGGTGTCTGCTCTTGCCCTGGCTTTTTACCTAACAAAGGTGAGTACCAAGAAATAGTCCCTTAGAGTGAAAAGGGATAGCTCTACTACTTACTAATATTTAGCGTTAGTGCTGGGCAATGGTGGCACATGCATTTAATCTCTATACTCAGGAGGCAGAGGTATACTGGTGGATATTTCTATGAGTTCGAGACCAGCCTGGTCTACGGAGAGAATTCTGGGATAGCCAGGGCTGTTACACAGAAAAACCCCGTCTTGAAAATACGAAAACAAATAAAATTTTAGCATTGGCTAAATTGAAGTTAAGTCTCAGATAGGTGTGATGACACATATCTGTACGGCCTTGGAAGGGGGAGGCAAGAGGTAAGGGTTAGCCTGTTTCATAAAAAACAAAATTAAGGTCTGGAGAGATGAGTCAGAGAGCCAGAGTTCAATTAATTCTCCAGCACCGATATAGCAGTTCACAACTATTTATTGCCGCGCCCGCTGCGCAGCCTGTGTCTGAGAACGTGCGGAGGGTGTCGGGGATTGACAACACAGAGACTCGTTCAACAGTGTAAAGAAATCTTTAAGCAAGCCCCAAAAAGGCTCAAGAAAACTTCCCAAGAAAGGCCTCCCTCCAGAAAAGCTTCTGCTCTCTCCTTATCCCTGGCTGCTTCTCTCTGACACCAGAAACTAACTTTGGTATGTCAGAAGAGGCGGTTAGTCTTTGGAAAAGGTCAAGGTCAGGGCGGTTCCGTGGGCCTGCCCTTTTCAGGAACTTATTGCCCCGGGCATTGTATTGTTTTTAGTAAACATGTTTTTAGTAAACATTGTCTTATAGCTGTCTACTCCCAGGCTGATGGCGAAGTGGGTCTCTGCCCAAGGTCTGGTGTCCCCACAATTTATAACTCCAGTTCCAGGGGATCACATGCCCTGACATTCACAGGCACCAAGCATATGTGTGATACAAACACTCAAACATAAAATAAAACTAATAAATCAATAAAAAGGAAAACAAAGTTGGAGAGTGGTTGGGCTAGCTCAGTCAATAATAAAGGCCTTGATGTGCAAGTGTGAGGATCTGAGTTTGAGTCCCAGAACCCACATACATTAGTCAGACATGCTGGCACTCCCTTCTCATCTCAGCACTAGGGAGGCAGACAGGCAAACCCCTGGGGCTCAGTGGCCAGCCACTTAGCCTACCTATTGAGTTTCAGGCAAGCGAGAGAATTGTCTCCCTGAGAATTGTCTCCCTGTCGGGGGTGCTGGTGCCTTAGGAATGTCGCCTGAGGTTGTCCCCTGACTTCTACACACGCTTACACAGGTCACGCGCACTTGCACCACGCACAACATGAGATAAATAAAGACCCCTTTTTTGGGTACTGTGTTGCTATCTGGAATGGCTAACTCTGCTTCGAGGAATGTGTTTCTGTTGCTGTGAAGAGACACCGTGACGAAGGCAGCTCTGTAAAGAAAGCTTTAATTGGAGCTTGCTCACACTTTCAGGTGTTTAGTCCCTTGTCATCATGGCAGGGAGCATGGCAGCATGCAGATAGATGTGGTGCTGGGGAGGAGCTGTGAGCTTTACATTGGGATCCACAGGCAGCAGGGAGAGAGAGCCACTTGGCCTGCCTTGGGCCATTGGAGCCTCAAAGCCCACCCCTAGTGACACACTTCCTCCAGTAATACCACACCGCCCAACCCCTCCCAAGTAGTGCCACGTACAGTGTTCAAATATGTGAGCCAGAGGGGGTGGGGGCGTGTGAGTCTCATTCAAACCACACCATGGGGTTTGCAAAACCACAGTTATATTTACATAGCTTACTATTGAGTAGCGTACGGATACCAAAGATCTAGTAGTTGTCTTCCCGGATTAGATTTCTCTTCCTTCCTTCCTTCCTTCCTTCCTTCCTTCCTTCCTTCCTTCCTTTCTTTCTTTCTTTTGATAGGCTTTCATTTGTTTCACAATGACCTTGAACTCACTAGGTAGCTGGGGGTAACATTGAATTGTTTTCTTTTATTTTGGCCTTTTGAGATAGAGTTTCTCTGTGTAATAGCCTGGGCATCCTGGAACTCACTTTGTAGACCAAGCTGGCCTTGAACTCAGAGATCCACCTGCCTCTGCCAGCTGAGTGCTGAGATTTAAGGCATTTACTGCCACCTCCTGGCTAAGGTTGAACTTTTTTTTTTTTTTCAAGGCAGGGTTTCTCTGTGGCTTTGGAGCCTATCCTGGAACTAGCTCTTGTAGACCAGGCTGGTCTTGAACTCACAGAGATCCGCCTGCCTCTGCCTCCCGAGTGCTGGGATTAAAGGCATGCACCACCACTGTCCGGCAACATTGAATTTTTAATTCTGTTTCCTGTATGTTGGGATTACAGTCATAGACCACCATGCCTCTTGCATGTCAGATCACTACTATACCAACTAAGCTATGTCCCTTCCAGTCCAGATCAATTAAAAAGAGTATTCTTATTTTATGTGTATGGGTGTTTTGCCTGCATGTGTGTCCATGCACCGTGTGTATGCCAGGTGCCCTCAGAGTCCAGAAAAGGGCATCAGATCCCTTGGAACCTGAGGGATAGATGGTTGTGAGCTCACATGGGTGCTGGGAATGGAACCTGGGTCCTCTGGAAGATCAGGCAGTGCTCTTAACTGCTGAGCCCTGCCCAGGTTAACTCTTAAGGGTGTACGCCTTTAATCCCGGCACTCGGGAAGCAGAGGCAGGCGGATCCCTGTGAGTTCGAGTTCAGCCTGGTCTACAGAGAGTTCCAGGACAGCCTCCAAAACTATAGAGAAACCCTGTCTCGAAAACCCATAACAACAACAGCTCGTTGATTTCCATGTTATCGCTAGGAGGCAGGCAAGGACCATCCCTTCAGAGCACTAGGGTGCAGTTCAGTCATACAATGTGTGAGTCCATGGTCAAGGCTCTGGGTTTGATTCCCCAGTTGTTTTTTTTTTAAGTCGTCCTTTTATTTTTTTTAGATTTGGTAATTGATAAGAAGGTAGGGGGCTGGAGAGATGACTCAAGTTAAGAGCGCTGGCCGCTCTTCCAGAGGTCCTGAGTTCAATTCCCAGCAACCACATGGTGGCTCACAACCATCTGTAATGAGATCTGGTGCCCTCTTCTGGCCTGCAGGGATACACTCAGACAGAACACTGTATACATAATAAACAAACAAACAAATAAATAAATCTTTAAAAGAAGGAGGTGGAGGAGGAGAAGGTAGTAACTTGCCAGGCAGTGGTGGTGCATGCCTTTAATCCCAGCAGAGGCAGGCAGATCTCAGTGAGTTCAAGGTCAGCCTGGTCTACAGAGTGAGTTCCAGGACTGCCAGAACTATTACACAGAGAAAAACCAAACAAAGTAGTAACTTCTCCTTTAGACTTTTTCTTTTTACATTTGTAGGGTAGGGAGTAAACCCAAAGTCAAGTTTTTTACTTTTGCTTGCTGTTTCCAAAACCTTATGATGTCTTCTTTTCAATTCCTTAACCAGACAGCGGAAGCAGGAGAAATCTTTATTCCAGTTTTAAACATAAATCGTTCTGAGCTTCCTCTACGAGGGGACAATGTCTTCTTCCTCCAGAAGGTCCGTATTCCAGAGGCTGTGCTGATTTTCCGGGATGAGATCGACCTCCATGCATTGCACCAGGCTGGCCAGCTCACCCTTGTCCTTGTTGACCATCACGTCTTACCCAGGTCAGTAGACGGAGAGTGAGTCAGCTAAGTGGGTAGACTCTGACAGACGACACAGGAAGAAAGGAAGAAGGACATTTGCCTTCTGGAGTCTCAGAGGCTAGCTTTTTGTTGTTGTATTTGCTTTTTTGTTTTGTTTTGTTTGCTTTTTTTTGTGTGAGATAGGGTCTCACTGTACAGCATTGGCTGACCTGGAAATCACTATGTATTCCAGCCTGGCCTCAAACTCAGAAATCCACCTGCCTCAGAAGCTAACTATAATTTATGGGTCATATCCAACATGAAAAACCTACTAAAAATAGTATCATTTCACCAGGAGGTGGTGCATGCCGTTAGTTTCAGCACTCGGGAGGCAGAGGTAGATGGATCTCTGTGAGTTCAAGGCTGGTCTGGTCTACAGAGTGAGTTCTAGGACAGCCTCCAAAACTACACAAAGAAACCCTGTCTCAAAAAACAAAAACAAAAAACCCAAACTCTAGTGAATTTATGATATAAAGAAAAATATAGGACTAGAAGAATAGGTCAGCTGTTAAAGGCTAGGCTCACAACCAAAAATATAAGAAAAATATATAGTGAGTTCAAACTAAGTAATCATTCATTTTGCTGTTTTGCAACACAGGAATAATATGTTGTAGTAGACACTATAAATACCTCAGTCATGTCTATTCAACGAATGTGTGCATCTACAATAATTCTTCTTCTAATTTAGGACTAGAAAAGCTGCTAAAGAGCAATGTGAGTATGAGATTTGCCTACGTGTGTCTGGCTCCTGCTGTTCTTGCAAATGCATATTTTCCCTTGAGCACGCTGTCGTTATAGAAATGGGTACCTGAGGGCACCCATGAATTTATCCGTTAGAACCTTTTTCTGAAGTGGAAGAAGGTGACAGTTTGCATGCATCTTTCAATCAGGAAGAGGGCAGTCAGCAAACAGATCATTGTAGTGGGTGTGGAGGCCAGGGATGGCTGTCACTCTAGAGGACAGTAGGACTTGGAGGAGTAGACATGGACTAACCTCATCATACTGGAGGGAAACTGAGGGCATCAGGGTTCTGTAGAGGAGTTGACCCCTGAGCCTAGTCAACAGAGTATCCCCTGTAGGGGTGGGAAGGTGGCTGAGCGGAGTCTTCCAGGCAGAGGGGAATTAATAGAAGTGAGGCCGGGCAGGCATGAAACTGCACACTGAGTTGGGGAACTGGGACTTGTTCTGCGCAGCTGAGCATGAAATATGTGGGAAATGTAAGCCATGAATTGATGAGACTGAGGTGGGCATGGGTGATCGTGGCGGCCTTGTAGGGCCTTCTTAGGGGGATGGACTTTAGGTAGCAGAAAACTTGTTCATTATATTAATTCCAGGTCCTAACAGAATCAAGTTTTTTATTGTTTTTGTTTTCAAGTGATCACTCACAAAGTGAAGGGTGTTTTTTTTTTGTTTTTTATTTTTTGTTTTTTTTTTTTTTTGGTTTTTACGAGACAGGGCTTCTCTGTATTGTTTTGGAGGCTGTCGGTCCAGCCTGGCCTCAAACTCACAGAGATCCGCCTGCCTCTGCCTCCCGAGTGCTGGGGTTAAAGGCGTGTGCCACCACCGCCTGGCCCAAAGTGAAGGTTTTAGTGAGCCAGCCCCTAGTTGAAAAGTAGATGACTGGTGAAGAGACCTGAAACAGTCTAGAGAGGGGATACTGAGGGCATAGAACTGGAAAGGAAGGCGTGGGTAAAAGCCCTAACCTGGTGACCGCTGTGGTCTTTGATTGTCAAGAGAACAAGGTTCTCTGTTGAGTGTCAGAGTTCAATTGGAGTGACAACCCTGAAGGACAGTAACTATGTAGACATTTATAGTAGACACCTCACAAAGTTCATTACATGCCATTTAAATGCCGCTTCAGATACCACATTAAAGAGGAGTAAGGCAGGGGTAAAAGTGACCTCTATATATTTGCCTAAGACACCCACACTTTGCTTTATGGTAGAGATTGGTCTGGCAGCAGGAGCGCTCTTAAGTACTTCTCTTTCTTTCTGTTTTCTGTTAACCCTCTCCAGAACTGATGCTGCTCTGGAGGAGGCAGTAGCAGAGGTGCTGGACCATCGGCCAGTTGAGCAGAAATACTGTCCTCCCTGTCATGTTTCAGTTGAGCTGGTGGGGTCCTGTGCTACCCTGGTGGCAGAGAGAATCCTGCAGGGGGCGCCAGAGATCTTGGACAGACAAATTGCCTCCCTACTGCATGGTAATCACGGGATCGGTTTGGGTTCTTTTGCTCCCATCCCACAAGGGGCAGTGAACTTCTAGAAGCTTACAGCCACCCGCTCATCACAGAGGGTGAGGGCTCATTCTCCGTAGTTGGGCATTGTTTCACTGCCTGGGGTTTGTGTTGGAGAAAGCAGAAAGGAACCTTCGCAGATCCCATTTGCGGCTCTTAACAGAAGGACTCTCCGAAGAAACAGGAAGCGGTCTCTGCTGTCGGTTCCAGCAGGAAATGGTTGTGTGCCTGAGCAGCTCTCTTCACCTTTCCTCTCTTTTTCCATGGAGTGTGTGTGTGCTGAGACTAATTAGAGCAGACGATGCAGTCTCTTCCAGTAGTAGGGCTGTCATGGAAGACAAAATGCAGAGAGAGAAGGAGGCTATTGAATGGCTACTGGGAGGGGGAATCAGTCTGCTTTAGTGGAGTGACACTAGGAATATCAAACACATTCCAGGACAGGCTGCATTCTTAGGAGTAGTTGGCCAACAAAAAACATACCCCATGGCTTGGTTATTGGTTTTGGGGTTTTTTTCTTTTTTCTTTTCTTCTGTGTGTGTGTTTTATTTTGTTCTTGTCTTTGTTTGTTTGTTTTTTGAAACGGGGTTCTCTGTATTGCTTTGGAGGCTGTCCTGGAACTCGCTCTGTAGACTAGGCTGTCTTTGAACTCACAGAGATCCGCCTGCCTCTGCCTCCCCAGTTCTGGGATTAAAGGCGTGCGACACCAACTTTCTTTTTGTCTTTTTTTTTTTTTAAAGTTTGAAAATTTTTATGTGGATGCATGTTGTGCCTGCATGTATGCCTGGTACCCTCAGACACCAGAAGAGGTTGTCAGAGTTGTGAGCTGCCCTGTGAGTGCTGGGAATTGAACTCAGGTCCTCTAGAAGAGCAGCCAGTGCTCTTAACACAAGCCATCTCTCTAGCCCCTGCCTACTTATTTGTGAGACAGAGAGAGAACAGCAGTTAGTTAGGTGGATAGGGAGGTGGAGGCAGAGCTGGGGGAGGAAGAAGACTATGAAATTCTCAAAGAATAAATCAAAATGTAAGGTTCTGTGATGGAGTTTGACTTACAGAGGAGCTAATTCCCTCTGAGGTTATGAAATCTACAAGGCATGTTTGGGTGTTGTGTCTGCGTGTATGTCTACACAATGGACATTCCTGTTACCCAGGAGGCCAGAAGAGGGCTTCAGATCTCCTGAGACTGGAGTGTCAGTTGTGAACTGCCATGCTGGTTCTGCAACTCAAACCTGGGTCCTCCACAAGAGCAGCCGGTGCTCTTAACTGCCGAGCCATCTCTCCAGCCCTGGGCTCAGGCTTCTTGACCAGCTTCCCATGCTCTTGATTACATTTCTCTTTGGGAGGTCTCACTTAGGACATGGTCAGTTCAAGTGTATTGTTTTGTCCTTATGGGTTTGCCCTGGATGTTCCCTCTGGGTTGTGTCTGTTGGGTGTGGAATTACGAGTATGTATGCTAGTGACTGAGTGTAGGGCTCCTGCTCTTCTGTATCCCTTCATAGGCACCATCATCTTGGACTGTGTCAACATGGATGCCAAAATTGGAAAGGCAACCCTAAAGGACAGCAAGTATGTAGAGAAGCTGGAGGCCCTCTTCCCAGATCTTCCTCGGAGAGAGGACATCTTTGATTCTCTGCAAAAGGCAAAGTTTGACGTCTCAGGTATGATAGGAAGATTTTCTACATGAGAAAACCAGTGGGCAAGCTTTGAACTTCTTATCTGGAAAGCCGCCAAAACGATTTCAGAGCATTAGAATGGTTTACTCTTTATACCAGGGAGAAATGAGCGGCATACATGTTTGCCCATGAACGATCAGTTATCTGCTAGATCATTCCATCCTGAGTTTGGAAGAGGATGTTTGGGTGTTCTGTCTGCATGCATGTCTGCACAATGGACATTCCTGGTACTCAAGGAGGCCAGAAGAGGGCTTCAGATCTCCTGAGACTGGAGGTGATAGCCCATGCTGTAATCCCAGCACTGGTGAACCAAGGCAGGAAGATAGGAAGTTCAGGGCAACCTGAGCTATATAGTGAGTTAAGGATAGCTTGGCCCATGTAAGGAGACCCTATCTCAAGAATTGAAAGTTATACAGAGAAACCGTATCTTGAAAAACCAAATGAAAAATGAATGCATTTTAAAAATCCAAGACTTGGGCTGGAGAGATGGCGCAGAGGTTAAGAGCACTGGCTGCTCTTCCAGAGGACCCAGGTTAAATTCCCAGCAACATGGTGGCTTACAACCACCTATAGTGAAATCTGGTGCTCTCTTCTGGCCTACAGGCATACATAATAACTAAGTAATTTTTAAAAAACCCAAGATGTATGTGAGTATAACTGGACTCAGCTCAGAAGAGGGCACCAGTTTCTCTGAGATGTAGCGACAAGTGTAAGCAGCTGACGTGGGTACTATTTGCATGTCTGGTGCCCACAGAAGACAGAGGAGGGTGTCAGATCCCCTGGAACTACAGTTATATACAAATTTGAGCTGCACTGTGGGTGCTGGGGGTTGAACCCTGGCCCTCTGGAAGAGCAACCAGTTCTCTTCACCGCTGAGCCATCTCTCCAGCCGATGACCTGATTATTCCCTGTAACTTTAGTTACTCCTTTATAATAATCACGACTTCACTTATTGCTCCTGTTCACTGCCCCTAGGAGAAACCACTTCCCATTTTCCTTGTCTTCACCTTTATTTTTTTTCAAGATTTATTTATTATGAATATAACATCCTGAGTCCATGTCTGTCTGCACACCAGAAGAGGGCACCAGATCTCATTACAGATGGTTGTGAGCCACCGTGTGGTTGTGGGAATTGAACTCAGGACCTCTGGAAGAGCAAATCAGTGCTCTTAACCTCTGAGCCATCTCTCCAGCCCTTGTCTTCACCTTTATGGTGTTAGGCCAAGTTCCCTGTTAGAGTCCTGGTTTCCCATCTATCTTCCAGGCCTGACCACTGAGCAGATGCTCAGAAAGGACCAGAAGGCCATCTACAGACAAGGCACCAAGGTGGCCATCAGTGCGATCTACATGGATTTGGAGGTAAGAGCAGACTGCTGGCATGAGAGGGAAGGGCGCCTCCGTCGTTCATTCCCTCTCACTCTAGGTTATGCCCAGACCTCTCTAGCCTCCGTCGTTCATTCCCTCTCACTCTAGGTTATGCCCAGACCTCTCTACTTGTCTCCCTCTCCTGGAATTCTCTACAGTGCTGCTGTAACAGCTTGAGTTCTAGTTCCTCTGCATCCACTTGAGTTTTGCATCCCTACAAATCATCCTCCACAGAGTAATCAGTGATTTTGTGTATATGTGATTTTTTACAAAATATTTTTTAGGCCAGGCAGTGGTGGCACACGCCTTTAATCTCAGCACTCAGGAGGCAGAGGTAGGCAGATCTCTGTGAGTTTGAAGCCAGCCTGGTCTACAGAGAAAGTTCGAGGATAGGCTCCAAAGCAATACAGAGAATCCCTGTTTTGAAAAACCACACACACAAAATAAAGCAAAAAACAAAAATATTTTTGCAGAGCTGGAGAGGTGACTCAGTGGTTAGGAGCATGTTTTGCTCTGACACAGGGCCTGGGTTTAATTCTCAGCAGGCACATAGTGGTTTGCAGTGATCTGTAACTTTAGTTCCAGGGACTCTTAACTTTCTTGTTGGGGACTAGAGAGATGGCTCAGAGGTTAAGAGCACTGACTGCTCTTCCAGAGGTCCTGAGTTCAATTCCCACAATCACATGGTGGCTCACAGCCATCCGTAATGAGATCTGGTGCCCTCTTCTGGCGTGCAGACATACATGAGGCAAGATGTTGTATTCATAATAAATAAATAAATCTTTAAAAAAAAATTCTTGTTGGACCTCTATAGGCCCCAGGAACACACGTAATGCACTTATATACATGCAGGCAAAGCACTCATACACATAAAATAAAATAATATAAAACTTAAATATATATATATATTCTAGCCATTAACAGCTAGCTATCTCTCTAGCTCTTTCAAAATAGTTTTAAAATTACATTTATGCCATGCGTGGTGGCACATGCCTTTAATCTCTGGAGTCTCAGAGATAGGTAGATCTTTGAGCTCCAAGCCAGGTGGGACTACATAGTGAGACCCTTTCTCAAAACAAAACAAGTATTTATTGGTATTTGTGAGTGTGTACACGGCAGCACACTTATAAAGGTCAGAGGACAAGATGCAATAGTCAGTGCTTTGCTTCTACTATGTAGATTCCGGGGATTGAACTCAGGTTGGCAAACTTGGCAGCAAGTGCCTTTATCCACTGAGCTCAAGACAGGCTGGCCGGGCGTTGGTGGTGCACGCCTTTAATCCCAGTACACGGGAGGCAGAGGCAGATGGATCTCTGTGAGTTTGAGACCAGCCTGGTCTACAGAGCGAGTTCCAGGACAGCCTCTAAAGCCACAGAAAATCCTGTCTCGGAAAAAAAAAAAAAAAAGCCAGCATGTAACTTCACTGTGTAGCCCAGACTGGTCTTGAATTCAAAGCAGGCTTCCTGCTTCTGCTTATAAGAGCTAGGATTACACTCTCGAGTACTCTATCTGGCTGTAGAATGATCACTGCTCTTGTAAAGGACTCAGTTTGCAGCACCCACGTCAGACAGCCGCTAACCACTTACAGTTCCAGTGCTAGGTGTCTGGACTCACATAGACACTCTCACATATGCACAGTGAAGGCGGGTTAAAGGAAGTCCGCAAACGCCCAAATAAAGAATTAATAGACACTTATTTGGGGAACACTCACACAGTGATGGTTAAATAACCACCTCTATCTTCTGTCCCTGGAGGCCCAGTGTCTGCCCTGCAGGATCCTCTGACCACAACGCCAGAGAGTGAGAGCCAGCTCCTCTTCCTTATAAGGGGTCACACACCAAAGCCACACCCTAAGTTCACTACCACAAGTCTATTGGCAGAACAAGAGGTTACTACACACATAAAATTGTTTTTTAATCTTAGAGTGCGTGCGTGCATGTGTGTGTGTGTGTGTGTGTGTGTGTGTATCCTGAGAATATGTGTCTCAGGCTAGGTGTTTTGGCTAGCAGGGTTTCTCTGTGGCTTTGGAGCCTTTCCTGGAACTCTGTAGACCAAGTTGGCTTCAAACTCACAGAGATCTTCCTGCCTCTGCTTCCCAAGTGCTGGGATTAAAGGCCTACACTACCACCACCCATCAGTTTTGGCTAGTTTTATGTCAACTTGATACAAGCTAGAACCATTTGAGAGATGGGAACCCCAGTTGGAAAACATCCCCATAAGATGAGGGTATAGGCAAGCCCATAGGGTATTTTTTTTTTCTTTCTTTCTTTTTTTTTTTTTTTTGGTTTTTCGAGACAGGGTTTCTCTGAGGCTTTGGAGGCTGTCCTGGAACTCGCTTGGTAGTCCAGGCTGGTCTTGAACTCACAGAGATCCGCCTGCCTCTGCCTCCCGAGTGCTGGGATTAAAGGCGTGCGCCACCAACGCCCAGCTGGGTATTTTCTTAATTAGTGATCAGTGTAGGATTGATTGGTATATTGGTCCTAGGTTCTATAAGAAGCAGGCTGAACAAGCCATGAGGAGCAAGCCAGTAAGCAGCTCCCCTCCATGGCCTCTGCATCAGCTCCTGACTGTAGGTTCCTGCCCCACTTGAGTTCCTATTCTGACTTCCTTCAATGATGGACTATGATGTGGACATATAAACCAAATAAACCCTTTCTTCCTCAAGTTGCTTTTGGTCGTGGTGTTTCATCACAGTAATAGTAACCCTAACTAGGACACCAGATATGATGGCCAATACTTTTAATCCCAGTGCTTGGGAGACAGAGGCTACCCAGAGTTACATAGTGAGACCCTATTTTAAATAAGAGACTAGATAAAATAATAAACAAGATCACATCCATTCACATCTTGCTTTACTCTTTTTCATTGTGTTTCTTAGAGAATCTAAAAGCTTCCCTGTGCCTTTATCTGGCCTCTGTCCTTTATTCTGGTCTTACCTCATTCCAACCCTAATGCTTCTGGTCCCCAAGGGCATCAGTATTCATGTGCATGTACACATTTGTACTCACAAATCAAATAAATGTTTGAAAACAAAAACAACAGTCAAGGGCTGGAGAGATGGCTCGGGGGTTAAGAGAACTTGTTTTATTGTGGCAGCCCTGAGTTTGGTTCCCAGAGTGCATGGTGGCTCACCACCATCTTTAATCGAGGTTCCATGGCATCAGATGTTCCATCTGACCTCTGTGGACACATAGTGAAAGTACATGCACCCAGGCCAAACACATAAAATAAATAAATAGAAACAAACAAGTACTGCAGTTCACGTAATACAGTAGTCTCGTCGGTTGGTTGGTTGGTTGTTCAGTGCTGAGGGCATGTTGGGCAAATGCCCTGCCACTGAAACTTGATAAACCTTTCATGCCCTCCATTCGGTTATGTCAATTTCCAGGTCCCATGTGGGATCACACCCACAGTTTAAGAAACCGTGGTAGATGGCCTAATGTGGAAAACAGATATGACAACGTGAAAGGGTGGCCGTGTACCCTAACCACTGTGCAGACTGACACTTTAGAATGGCCAAGTGTAGAGGCCTGCGGAGATGGCTCAGTCTGCATCATGAGGACCCAGTTCAAATCCCCAGAACAGACAAAAGCTGGGCTGGGTACATGTGTACCTGCAACTCTTGTGTTGTGAGGGAGGAGACAGGGTCGCCGGGGCTTGTTGGCCACCACCAGCTTCACTGAGAGATGACAGGTCACCTGATGTCCTCCTCTGGTCTCTGCACACTCCCCTGCACACGCATATACACGTACATATCACATACACACACACACACACATGTACATATCACACACACACATGTACATATCACACACACACAAATTAATTAAAAGAGAAGGCCAAGAACAGAGAAAAGCCCTGATTTGAAGTAAGTAATGGTATTATATATTAGAGAAAATGCTACAAGAAAAATATTTGGGTAATACATATGGGAAACCAGGTCAGGAACCTGGAGGCAGGAACTAAACCGACAATCCTGGACGAATGCTGCTTACTAGCTTGGACTTCCTGGCTTGCTCTGACTGCTGTCTATACAACCCAGTACCTCCCCAGGGGTGGCCCCACCCACAGTGAGCTGGGCCCTCCCACTTCAATCATTAATCAAGAAAAAGCCTCCACAGGCTTGCCTACAGGCCATTGTCCCTGTTGAGGTTTTTTTCTTCCCAGATGATCCAAACTTGTTCCAACTTTGCAAAAAATCTAATTAGCATATCTGGTCACCACTCATCTTTACTTCTAATCCTTAAAACAGTTGTTTGGCTGGGCAGTGGTAGCACATGCCTTTAATTCCAGCACTCGGGAGGCAGAGGCAGGCAGATGTCTGTGAATTCGAGGCCAGCCTGGTGTACAAAGTGAATTCCAGGACAGCCTCCAAAGCTACACAGAAACCCTGTCTCAAAAACAAACAAGCAAAAGAAAACAATTGTCTGATAAATGCTGTTTTATTTCATTGAGGAAGCATAGGCCCAGGATTAGTATCACGTTTTGATCTTACTCCTAAGAGGCAATGTAATAGAGCTTTTTTTTTTTGTTTTTTTTTTTTTGTTTTACAAGACAGGGTTTCTCTGTATTGTTTTGGAGGCTGTCGGTCCAGCCCGGCCTCGAACTCACAGAGATCCGTCTGCCTCCCGAGTGCTGGGATTGAAGGCGTGCACCACCACCGCCCGGCAATAGAGCTAATTTTTAAAAGTTATTTCCCCTTTCTATCTCAATCTCCATCATAAATACTACATACTGTTTTAGTGGTGCATAAAGTGTGCATTACATGCACACAAAGCCTTCATACCAGTTTATTAGTAAGAAGATGGTCTAGCTGTAAGCTTTCATTACTTATTTCTTCCTTTCCAGGCCTTTCTGCAGCGACTGGACCTCCTGGAAGATCTCAGTGCTTTCTGCCATGAGCACAGCTATGATGCCCTGGTTGCAATGACTATCTTTTTCAACACTCACAATGAACCAGTACGGCAATTAGCTATTTTCTGCCCCCACTCGGCACTTCGAATGACAGTAAGTCTCTTTCCCATCAATCAGTGGCCCACGTGTATCTTTGTGTTCTATGGTTCTGAGCTGTAAGCCTCAAGTTGTATCTTTATACAGAAGGGGTGTGTGTGTGTGCGTGTGTTTATGTGTCCATATGAGTATGTGTACAAGTGTGTGTGGGTGCCCATGGATGCCAGAAGAGGATTTTAGATCCTTTGAAGCTAGAGTAACATAGCCACCCAAAATGGATGCTAGAATCCAATTTTCCTCATGGTTGAGCAAGTGCAATCTCTCCAGTCCTAATATAGCTCATGTGTGTGCCCGTGTGGGAGTCAGAGAGGAGCTTGCAGGATTCAGTTCCCTCCTGTCTACTCTTGTGGATCTCGGGGTCACACTCAGAAGGTCAGCCTGGGCAGCAAGTACCTTTGTTGGCCCTATTTTTGTTTTTGAGACAGGTTGTCCTTGAACTCACAACAATCTTCCTGTCTTAACCTCTTCAGTGCTGGATGTGAACACCCATGCCTACCTAACTAGGATCTCATAGATGAGGACCCAGGCCCCTTGCCTGTTTTTTTTTTGTTGTTTGTTTGTTTTGTGTTTTTTGTTATTGTTTTGTTTGTTTGTTTGGTTTGGTTTGGTTTGGTTTTTGTTTTTAGGCATGATCTACAAGGGACTAGCCTCTAATCCCAGCACTCGGGAGGCAGAGGCAGGCGGATCTCTGTGAGTTCGAGGCCAGCCTGGTCTACAAAGTGAGTTCCAGGACAGCCTCCAAAGCTACAGAGAAACCCTGTCTCGAAAAACCAAAAAAAAAAAAAAAAAGATTAGACAACAATTTCTGCTTAGAAGGAGCTTGAGTCAAACTCTGGTTAGAAGGAAATGTCAACCTGGAGTTGCAACTTGCTCTTACTGGGCATGCTGACCCAGGCCTCTAGCCCAGTGGTACGTAGTAACAGTAAAACAATTCTGTAAAGAGAAGCCTTCCCGCCAGCCTGGTTCCATGGCCGCATCAGTCCCAAATAAACACACAGGAGGCTATGTTAATTAAGAAACTGTTGGCCATGGGCTGGAGAGATGGCTCAGAGGTTAAGAGCACCGATTGCTCTTCCAGGGGTCCTGAGTTCAATTCCCAGCAACCACATGATGGCTCACAACCATCCACAATTCAATCTGGTGCCCTCTTCTGGCATGTAGGCAGAACACTGTATGTGTAATAAATAAATCTTTAAAAAAAAAAAAAAAAAGAAACTGTTGGCCTTGCCGGGCGTTGGTGGCACATGCCTTTAATCCCAGCACTTGGGAGGCAGAGGCAGGCGGATCTCTGAGTTCGAGGCCAGCCTGGTCTATAGAGCTAGTTCCAGGACAGCCTCCAAGACAATACAGAGAAACCCTGTCTCAAAAAACCAAAAAAAAAAAAAAAAAAAAGAAGCTGTTGGCCTTGCTTGTTTCTTACTGGCTAGCTCTGACTTATGTATTTATCCCATAATTGTTAATCTAAGTATTTCTCTAACCGGAGAACTTTCCGGGCTTCTTATCCCTATGGCGGTTACATCTCGACTTTCTGTGTTTCTCCTCTACTCCCACCTATCTTGGTTCCCTATTGGCCAACAGTGCTTTATTGACATATACACAGGACTTCATCATCTCCTCTTTTCTGTCTAAACAAAAAGAAAGGTCTTAACTTTAACATAGTCAAATTATATATAACAGAACAGTTACCAAGTAAGAACACAGTTACAACATTTTGTCTATCAACATTTAGCACGATTTAAAGAAAATGTCATCTATCCCATCCTTGTGAGTCCAAAGTCCTATATGTAGCTTATCTTATATCATAACTAAGGAAAACTATAATTATAGCTATCTGTCTTCAACTCTTATCAAAGACCACAGAAGGATAATATATAAATACTAGGATTGACAGAGACATCTTGCTGCCTGGAGAGTCACCCGAGTTTCTCTGTAATGTTGGGGCATCCATCTTCAACCCATAGGCCACAATGTGTCCAGAAGACTTCTCAGCAAAGCAGGAAATTTCAAACTGTCCATCTGCATTGGCAGTCTGTCAGTCATTTTTCTGTGTCCTGCAGAAAGTCTCGTAGACTCTTCCATGAAGCAGGAACCCTGAAGGACTGTTTGAGGTCAGCAGTCACTTTCCTGTGGGTCCTGCATGTCCAGTTTATACAGCAACAGTCAAGCAGTCCAGGCAAGAGCAGTTTCTTGCCTAAATGGCTAATCTTGCCACGTTGAAAGCAAACTCCATAACGAGTCTCTTTGATGCCCATCTTCCTCTCAGACGTAATAGGTGTTGCCAGGAGCAGACATTTCTCATTGTCAAGAAAAACCTAAAACATTTTAAATGCCATTTTCTGAAGGTCTTTGAAAGGTTTAAGACTGTCTATCTCAAATATATTTCTGTATATCTAGAAAACCTAACTTACCTAACTATAAGTTCTGACTATTATAAGTATCTATAGTCTGTATTTAATTATGCATTTTTTTTTTGTTTTTTTGTTTTTTCGAGACAGGGTTCTCTGTGGCTTTGGAGGCTGTCCTGGAACTAGCTCTTGTAGACCAGGCTGGCCTCGAACTCACAGAGATCTGCCTGACTCTGCCTCCCGAGTGCTGGAATTAAAGGTGTGCGCCACCAATGCCTGCATTATTTTTTAAAAGATCAGTATAAGCACAATATTTAATCAAGAGGAGAAATATACACATCACAAAATTGACCTTGAATTTGTATCAATAAATGAAAAACCATACCAATACAAAGAATTCATTTCCATACCATAATCCCCTTTTTCCTTTAAAACCAAGTATAAGCAATCCCATTTAAATGAAAACAAAGATTTATAGACAAGATGGGAATTAGGACATCGCTCATACCAAACTGCTTCGTGCTGGAAGGGGGCGCCGTTCATACCATGGGGATCATGAGAAAACTCAGAAACCTGTATAAGTCCTTATTTTTAGGGTCTGTAAAGCTCCATCATCTTAGCTGTTTCAGTTGTTGGAACACCTGCTCCACTGCTTCCGGGGGTCTTGGTTCATCAAACCACAGAAGCCTGGAAGGAATCCTCAGCTTTTCATTTTCTGTAGAAACATAAACAAATACTCTTTTCCCAAGTAACATATCCTTATACTTAAATTTTGAAGTCAAGGCATTTTCAAAAGATATAAGTTGAATTAATTCAGCAGCATTTATAATCAAGTGTATTTTAGCAGTTTTTCCTTCCTGAGCAATCAAAAAACTGAAAAACACAATAGCATAAAGTATCCAGACTCTCTATGTATTTTCCATCTTTACGTGGCTTATTTATTTATCTATATTATTACTGTATTTCTTTTCCTTTTATTTCTTCATTTCTCTGAGACAGGGTTTCTCTGGAAATCTGCCTGCCTCTGCCTCTGCAGCAATCCTACCGGCTTGTGCCACCACAGCCGGCTTCTCTATTTATTTACCACTATGTCGTTTCTTTTTCTCTCTCAATCTTACGTATATTTTTAAACACACTGTAAACATTTAGAGGTTTTTCTTCATCCAAGTCTGACTTTACTGTAAATCTTTATGTTTTTCTGTCCAGTGTCTTATCTGTTAAAACCGCGGCTGTTTAAACTGCAGTTTTTCCAAGATGGCGGGCATAAGCGTGATTCCAGCTCACCGTCATAGTCTATACTGACATCCAGCAAAAGCTGCCGGCCTAGAGATGTGGTCACTGCCACTTCTAGCTGTACATACACACAAAAGCCTAAGGGCTACGGCCAGGTGTGGTTGCTCACAACTGTTCTCCCAGCAATAGGGGTCAGGCAAGAGAATACCATGAGTTGGAGTCTAGCCAGGTCTATGTAGTGTGAGACCCTACCTCAGAAAAACCTTCAGAGAGAGCCTGAGGATTTGGCTCAGTGGTGGAGTGCTCATATAACCACCAAAGAAAAAAACACAAAACACAACAACAACAACCACACAAAAAACCTAAAAGAAAATCAGTTCTTTCTCTGCATTGTCTTGGGAATTTATGAACAGAAGAGAAGACCCAAGAGTGAGGCACTGCCCTAGTCTGTGTGAGGTCCCAGATTCAATCCCCAGCACTATAGAAAGTAAAAGAAAAGGGGCCACACCCACTCCTACACACACACACACACACACACAGTAGGAAGCTTTTCAGTTGTGCTCCCTCTGGAAACCACGCCCCAGATAAGTGCTCTCTGGGGACCAGGTCAGCTCCTTTCCCGACCGTCCTGATCTCTGATGGCTCTGGGTTGCCTGTGCTGTGAATACAAGGACGGTGCAGCCGGAAGTTCTGTGTGCCCGGGAGACTACGTTTGCCCTTTGCTGCCACTTCCTGTTTGTTCCCTCCAGAGGGCTAAGGAGAGAACGAGGGCTTATCATCAGGTAGACATGTTCTTCTGTCTGGGGCTCCTACCTGCTTGCCCTTTGAGCTAAGTCAGAGGACTTAGAGTCTTGATGGCACAGTGGCCATTAGCTTCCTAAGGCAGAGCCCATGCTCTGGACACATGGCTCCTAATAGGCATGCTAAGGTAAGGACTTTGGCTATAAGAAAGTACCCTCTGCCTGCGGAATCCACCCTCCACCATGCTGTCTGGTGACAGTAACTGTCCGTGTTCTTTGTGATGGGAGGCAGGACCCTTTTACAGTCCACTGCCATCTTTCCCTTTCCCCCGTTAGGGGTGGAATAACGCATTCAGAGCACCGATGGTAACAGTTCCGGGTTCCCGCGTCAGTTTGCTTCATATAAACTATGACCTGTTCAATGTCACGTTAGTTTCCATAACTGAATATAGTAGCTGTACCGATGTAACGAGATATTTGTAAACGTCCAGATGGGCGGCGTGTTTGGCCTGATCCCACCCTCATTCTGCTCTGTTTGTTTGCCTAGTCCTGTGATTCCTATGTGGGTGCTGGTCCTGTCCTAGCTAAAGAGCATGCATACACATGGATATGCACTGCATTACATTTAGTGCCAGGGATCATGGGATCCGTTTCAGATTCTGCCATTATTCACATGATTCCACTCAGGGAGGGGGATAGCACATGTCTTTAATCCCAGCACACAGAAGGCAGAGGCAGGAGGATCTTTGAGTTCCAGGACAGCCATGGCTACACAGTAAAACCCTGTCCTGAGAAAAAAAAGAAAAGAAAACCTCTGTGCACTTTGATTTCTTCATTAATGAAACAAAAAATGTCATCTAAATAAATGTTCCAGCCATGCAGAGTGTCTTATAATATCAGCACATGGGAAGCTAAGGCAGGGGGATTATGATGCACTCAAGGCCAGCTTGAGCTACTTAGTAAGTTCCAGGGCTGCAGTAAGTGTTGAGGCCTTGTGTCAAAAAAAAAAAAAAAAAAAAAAAGCCTGTGGGGAGGTGGTCTGGGAATGTGAATCATCTGGTGGCATGCTTGCTATATATGGTCCCAAGCACCTCACTGTGGTGGCACACAGGTAACCTCGGCACTCAGAAGGATGGGGTGGGTGTATCTCTGTGGGCTTCAAGCCAGCCAGGGCTACATAGTGAGACCCTGTCTCAACAAACATGGGAACAAACAACTTTTCACCTCTGTTGGAAACCTCAGCTCTTTGCCATGCCGCATTTCGCATCATCCCCTGTTCTTGTCTTCCATAGATCTGTGGGGTCCTGGAACAGTCCACCTCCCCACCCCTGAAGCTGACCCCTATTCCAAGCATCTCTCCTGACCTCCAAGCCTATCTTCAAGGCAACACCCAGGTCTCTCGGAAGAAACTTCTGCCTGTGCTCCAGGAAGCCCTGTCAGCATATTTTGGCTCAACAAAGATGCCTTCAGGGCAGCCTGGGGTAGTGGGTGTGTCCAGGGAGCAGGTGGACAAGGAATTGGACAGGGCAGGTAACTCCCTGATTTCCGGACTGAGTCAAGATGAAGAGGACCCTCCGCTGCCCCCCACGCCCATGAACAGCTTGGTGGATGAGTGCCCTCTGGATCAGGGGCTACCTAAGCTTTCAGCCGAGGCTGTCTTTGAGAAGTGCAGTCAGATCTCACTGTCCCAGGCTGCCGGAGCCTGCCCATCAAATAAGTGACCGTGGGGTGGGAGTGTGGAGGGGGTGAGCGCCCGCCTCAGGTGCATGTTGTGAGATGTTGACCACTTCAGCTACCCTGTCTATTGCTCCAGGGTCTGGTACACTGTTCTCATAAAACTGGGAGGAAAGAAAGCAGCTGCTGTAAGAATGGCTTTCTGCCTCTCCTATCCGGTCTCTACCAGTCAGACGAGTTTTATTTAATGCACTGATTTTCCTTACTCTGTTTGCCATGGGTACGGTGTGATGTCACTGTCCTCAGGACTGAAGGAATGTTGGCCACATCTACGTGTCTTCCGAAGACTGTGAGCAGAGCCAGTATCTGTCATGAAACCAATTAACTACTTGTCTCCATGAATTCACCATTTCATTTTTTAAAAGTTCTTTTTGAGACAGAGACCCATGTAGCCCAGGCTAGCCTGTATGTGTCTTAGGCTAGCCCTCAACTCCTAATCTTCCTGAGTGATGAAAGTATAGTCATGTATTAGCATGTCTGGCTAACCTCTTGTCTTGAACACAGGACTGGATTTCCTATTTCTTTGGCTCCTTCTGTCCTAAAGTCACAGGAAGACTGAAGAGACCCTGAGGATCTGAGGTTCTTGGGTTCAAGCAGCACCCAGAACAGCTGTAGTACCTCATAGCATTTTTTGCCCGAGGGCAGAACTTGATTGGGCCATGGACATCCCCTGCCTCAGTGGGTCTGGCAGGTTCTTGTCTTTACTGGTTTTGCTCATGCTAAAGAAAGCATAATGTCTTCTGGTGAGCCGTTTCAATGTTCTAGGTCTCATTTCCCATGTGTAAATGAGCGTTAGGAGTAGATGTTCCCTGGTATTCTGTGACCTGCCTCTTCCTGTCATCCTTTCTCTCCTCTGCTTCTTTGTATCTTTCCTTTGGTCTTCCCTGGGAGTGCTCAGGGTCACTGGATTGTGTGTGTTTATGTGTGATTGTACCAAGGGACTTAGCCTCATGTAGCATGTACAGGGATATACAGTGACCCAGCAGCGAGCGCTTTCCCAGTGACTTGTCTGCATGTGTAGTCTCTCCCTTTCCCCGTTCTTACCCCATATAAGCTGGAAACATTATCGACAGACTGTAGGGTGTGTGGTGGTTTGGGCAGTCTGACTTCACTTTAGGGTAGCTGTTGGGAAAGTGAAATTTGGTGCCATCACTGAACCAAAGGGATTGTGTCCTGTAACTTTGGTACTTGGTTTTGCATTTTTGTTTTGTATTAAATACTTTATTCCTGTTTGAGGTCTCGTCTCTTTTTGAAAGGATAGTCGGGACTTCCCTCTGATAATGGCTACACCTCCGACAGACTCCTTTCCCATTCTCCCATTCCTGCTCCGTTGACTCAGCTATAAGTTGTCTCTGTTCGTCCTCAACCTTTCCTTAATTCCTGTTCCCAGAGATTTCCTTAAAATATTCAGTTGTGGTCTCAGGTTGGTTTTTGAGACAGGGGTTCTCTGTGTATCCCTGAACTTGAACTCCCTCTGTAGACCATGTTGACCTCAAACTCAAGATCCATCTGCCTCGGGCCTTCCCAGTGCTGAGATTAAAAGCCTGTGCCACCACCGCCTACCCTGTTTCGTTATTTTTCTTGAGACAGCCTCCCAAACTGCCTTGCTTATCAAGTAGCTGAAGCTAACCTCTAATGTTCCTGCAGAAGCTTCTCCCATGTTGGAATTACAGATGTGACATGCCTTACTTGTCTCTTCTTGTTTCCCTTATGCTGAAAAAGAAGGCCCAACATGAATTTAAAACCAAAATAGTTCCCAGCTTTGCCTGAATGTGTGTGGTTCTGGTGATTGAACCTAGGGCCTGGTGCTACTGGGTGGGTGCTCTACCACCAACCGTTTTTAACTTTTTATTTTGAGACAGTCTCAGTAAGTTACCCAGGATGACTTTGAACTTACAGTCCTTCCTCAGCCTTTCGAGTAGCTGAAATTGCAGGCCCTCACCGGGACCTGCTTTTAAAAGCTAGCTGTTGGGGTTGCAAGATGATGTGGACAAAGGCACCTAGTACCAAGATGACCAACTGAAGTTGATCCCTAGGACCTACATGGTGGAAGGAGAATACCAATTCTCACAAGACGTCAGACACACACACAATCAAAAATAAAATGTAATTTTAAAAAGTACATTTTGGCTGGGCAGTGGTGGCACAACGCCTTTAACCCCAACACTTGGGTGGCAGAGGCAGGTGGATCTCTGACTACAAGACCGGCTTGGTCTACAGAGTGAGTTCAGGACAGCCAGAGCTACACACAGAGGAAACCCTGTCTTGGAAAAAATTACAGTTTAAGGGCTGGAGAGATGGCTTGGTGGTTAAGAACACCAGCTGCTCTTCTAGAGGTTTATTTCCAGAACCTACAGGACTCAGAACTATCTGTAACTCTAGTCCCAAGAGATCTAACACCCTTTTCTATTCCAAGAGCATCAGTTACACACCTAGTGCATAGACATACATGCATGCAATACACTCCTGCACAGAAAAATTTTTTAAAGACATTTTTTAAGCTTCCAAGGCTAGAGAGATGGCTCAGCAGTTATAAGTGATTTCTTCTCAAGCCGGCAGTGGTGGCACACTCCTTTAATCCCAGCACTCAGGAGGCAGAGGCAGGCGGATCTCTGAGTTTGAGACCAGCTTGGTCTACTGAGTGAGTTCCAGGATAGCCAGGGCTACACAGAGAAACCCTGTTAAAATGCTTCTCAATCCTGAAGATTGAGTTCAGATCCCAGCACTGTGGGCAATTCTACAAAGGCCTGAGCCCCCAACTTCAAGAAAGTCACAAGACAATTGCTGTTGGATTCCAGCCTAACCAATGCAAAAGCGAGGATCTGGGTTTAGAGAGAGATATTGTCTCAAAGAAATAGGCAAAGTGATGGAGGAGGCCGCCCTCCCCTGCACATGTGAGGGTGCTCACACCCCCTCACACTCACCCACACATTCCACATCAAACTGTTCTAACATGTAAGACACTGAAAAAAGGGCTGGGGCGGGGGCTGGCTTAATGGATAGGCACTTACTCGAGCAAGAAGACCCAAGTTTGGATCCCCAGAACACAATGGCTGAGCAGGTGGGGCATCCACCTTCAATCCCAGCTCTCAGGGAGTTAAGCTGGCTAGCTAAAACTACAATCAGTGAGCTCTGGGTTCAATGGAGATACCCTGCCTCAGATTTTCTGAGGAAGATATCCAGCATTAGCTTCAGGCTTCCCCAGAAATGCACATGTACACATACGTAAAATTATCTTGCAAACCCCCCACCCAATGGACAAAACAAAGAGCTTCCAGGTTATAAAGAACCTGGACTGGAGAACAGATCGTCACCCTAGAAATCTCACTCTCACGCCCGAAAGCCCGCCCCCACACGAGAGGCTGGCCTTTTGGGCAAACCTGCTCCTTGGGAGGGGAGGTAGCAAAACCTGTTTGAAGATGAGGTTACCTCCCTTCCACACCTCCTGCTCCCTAGACACAAGAACAGCAGCTGGGACAGAAAGGGAGACAGTGGTGGGGGCCAGGACCACAGCCTCCTACCCTTCGTAAAGTGTCCTCAGAGCCCAGGACGGCCGGTGAGGATGGGAACTATACAAGAAACATTACAAGTAGGGTAAGTAAGGGCTTGGCCTGATGAGACTGAGACAGAGAGAGGGCGTTTCCTACCACCCAAGCCTTCCTGGGTTCCACAAGGAAGAGCATGAAGAAAAGGAATTCAGGGACAGGGTGGTTTGGGGCAGGAAAGTAATACAGTATGGAGCAATTCCACGGTTTAAAGTTCTTATCCTATATCTGACAAACCACCTCTCTCTCTCTCTCTCTCTCTCTCTCTCTCTCTCTCTCTCTCTCTCTCTCTCTAATCTAAGAAACACCCTCTAGAATGGCCATTAGGAAACCCGGCCCAGAACGCAGTTTCTGCCCCAGCTCTGCTTCCCAGTGACTCTCCTTTCTCCCCTGTCCTTACTGTGTTTTCCCAGCGCAGTAGAAAGGCGGGGCTGGCTAGTGCCGTCTGCTCCTGCTTTGCTCAAGGGTAACTGGGCAGGTCTGTCTGGGTTCCAGCCAGCTGGGATGTGGGATGCCTTCTGCTCCTACACTGTAGGCGAAGCCATACACTACCATAGAGGCAAAGCGATTGTGGGATGGCCCTCCCCTCGGCTAAGCTCAGCAGCAGGTAGAATGTCTGTAGACACCGACAAGTGCTCTCTGCGACACCTTCCTCACGCCAGTCTGGCACCTAGTGCCTGGCTCCCTTCGGGTGCTGTCTAGGTTGTCTCATGATCATTTCTCCTGGGGGGGGGCTGATGTCAGGGCTGGGGAGAAGGCAGGAGCCACAGAGCCAGGAGCAGCCCTGAGACCTGGAGAGCTGGAACTGAGGGAAGAATGGCAAGACGAAGAGTTCCCCAGGTAAGGCTGGGAGCCCTTCCCTCCCTGTGGCTCATCCGGAGGACCAGGGTTTGGTTCTCAGAACCCACTTGGTGGCTCACACCGTCTCTTACTCCTGTTCCGGGGGATCTGACACATTCTTCTGGCCTCCAAGGGCAACGGGCACACGTGTGGTACACAGATATATATGTAGGCAAAACATGTTCATACACACACAACGCACGCACGCACGCACACAATCTTTAGGGGAGGGGGAAGAGACAAGAGAAAACAATTAATGGTGGAGAGAGAAAGCTGTGGACACCTGGCTGGGCGCTTGTTAAGTCCTGGTTCAATCCCTACCCTCTAGATTGCTTCCTGAGGAGGCTGGCCCGGATGGAGATCCTGAAGACCCTCAGACAGACTCCCAGGCAGGTACGAAAGTGGGAACTAGACCTCGAGTCTGCTTCTGGGGCTGGCTGTAAGCAAGAGTCTTCACCACAGCTTCCTTTGCAGTCCGTTTAGTCCCTTTCCGTTTGTCCTACATCACTTCCTGCCTCACAGTTCACAGGTATGATCTCCTTCCAAACTCTTGTTTTAGGTGTTTTTGTTACTGTTGTTGCTCGAGCTTTTTGTGTTAGCTTGAAACAGTGTCTTCCTATGTAGCCCTGACTAGCCTAGCATTCATTTGTAGACTAGACTAACTTTCAACTCACAGAGATCTGCCTGTCTCTGCCTCCCTCCCGAGCACTGGGATTAAAGGGGTGCGCCACCACCCCTGAGTTATTCCTTAAGATTTATTTATTTATTATACAGTGTTCTGTCTGCATGTACACCTGCTGGCCAGAACAGGTCACCAGATCTCATTACAGATGGTCGTGAGTCACTATGTAGGTGCTGGGAATTGAACTCAGGACCTCTGGAAGAGCAGCCAGTGCTCTTAACCTCTGAGCCACCTCTCCAGCCCACACCTGAGGTATTTCTGACAGTCTCAACTCTGTAGCCCAGACTGGCCTGGAACTCATATGTAGCCTGAATTGGCTCAAACTTGAAGTTATCAGGACTGGAGAGATGGCTCAGCAGTTTAAGAGTACTGGCTGCTCTTCCATTTGATTCTCAGAAGCCACATGGTGGCTCACAACCAGGCTGAACTCCAGCCCCCAGGGATCTGACCCCCCCTTCTGGACTCTGAAAGTACCAGGTACACATGTAGTAGACAAACATGCATGAGAAATAGCCATACACATAGAAAAAAACAAGCAAACAGACAAAACTGGCATCTATCCTCCTGCCTCTGCCTCTCAAATGCTGTAATTGCAGATGCAAGCCACCAAGCCTGGTTTCAGGACTTCTGTGTGTTCGTTTGTTTTGCTGTAGAGACCCACGTAGCCCAGGCTGCCTTGTGATCTTCTTATCTCTTCCTTTGTAGTGTTGGGATTGCAGGCATTTGGTTCCGCCCCCACAGGGATGTTGAATCACCATCAACCCACACGGTTTCCCATTTGGATATTTCTCCCCCTTCTATCTCCCAACCACAGGTACCCCCAGCACTCTGGCCCTGTGTGGCCAGCGCCCTATGCGAAAGCGTCTTTCTGCCCCAGAACTGCAGCTGAATCTGACTGAGGGAACTGGAGAAACTGGAGCTTCTCCCACCCACTCCGAGTCTTCTTCCTCGGATGGCAGCTTGGACCTGGAGGTGGATGAGTTGGAGACGCCTTCAGACTCTGAGCAGCTCGACAGTGGACATGAATTTGAATGGGAAGGTGGGAATAAATCCAAGGATGGGGCTGATAAAATAGAAGCTGATAGAAAATGCAGGGTGGATGGATGGGATGATAGGATAATAAGGGAAGGCAGAAGTGTGGGCTCCTTGGTTAAGAGCACTGGTTGCTCTTCCAGAGGAGCTGAGTTTGATTCCCTGCACCCTCATGACAGCTGTCTGTAACTCCAGTCCCGGGGAATCTGATGCCCTCTTCTGACCTTCAAGGGCACCAGGCACTCACAGGTGGTGCACATGCAGGCAAAACACCTATACACATAAAGTAAGAAACCTAAAAAATTAAGAATTAAAAACCAGATGATGTAGTGACCGAGAGGACAGACCAGAAACATTGATTCCCTCAGAAAGGAAAGGGACAGCCTCCATAGCAGACAGGAGATCAGCCACAAACTGGGAGGGATGGTTTATTGAGAAAAAGATGGGCGGTAGTGGCGCACACCTTTAATCCCAGCACTCGGGAGGCAGAGGCAGGTGGATCTCTGAGAGTTCCAGGACAGCCACCAAAGCCACAGAGAAACCCTGTCTCCAAAAACCAAACCAAACAAAACAAAAACAACAACAAAAAACAGAAAAAGACCAAAGCTTGACATGGTGGTGCAAGCCTTTAATCCCAGCATTTGGGAGGCAGAGGCAGGCAGATCTCTGTGAGTTGGAAGCCAACCTGGAACACAAATGAGACTTGTCTCAAAAATAAACAAAAAGGCAAACAGACAAAAGAGAAAAATACTGAGATTAAAGAAAGCTGGGCAGTGGTGGCGCACACCTTTAATCCCAGTGTTCAGGAGGCAGAGATAGGTGGATCTCTCTGTGAGTTCGAGGCCAGTCTGGTCTACAAAGTGAGTTTCAGGACAACAGTCAGAGCTGTTACACAGAGAAATTTTGTGTAAATGCCTCCCCAAGTGCTGGGACTACAGCCACTAGATGCTACCTGAGGTTATAAGACAAAAAGCTGGTGTGTGTGTGTGTGTGTGTGTGTGTGTGTGTGTGTGTGTGTGTGTGTGTTTGTCTGTGCGTCTGTATGTGTGTGCTGCACGCCTGTGATCCAGCTCTTAGGCTAAGGACCCTGGGAGACTGCCAGGAGTTTGAGGACAGTCTACAAAGGGAAGCCGTCTCCCAAATGAACTAAATAAACACATAGAAATATATGTGCCCTGCTCTTAGGAAATAGTGTTTAATAGGCAACAACTCCCTATAAATAACTGCATCTGCATCTGACAGTCAGGCTGTCTGTGGGTGTTAAGGATTTGGAGGAGATGCTAAGTCAAATTCTGAATTTAAGGGTGGTGTTCATTATGCTTGGAGAGGGGGTGTCAGGCCTGGCACATGGAATTCAAGCACAAAGCTGACTAGACATGAAGGGCTGGAGGCAGAGTCTGAAAAGCTAGTGCTGGGTTACGCTGGCCAAGTTTCTGTCATGGTGGCCGATATGCTAAGGGGTGGAGACATTGTTGACTAGACAATGAGGAATAACATGAAGGTTTTTTGTTTTTGTTTTTCTGGTTTTTCAAGACAGGGTTTCTGTTTGTAGCCTTGGCTGGCCTCTAGAGATCTTCCTGTTTCTGCCTCCTGAGTGGTGGGATTAAAGGGGTGCGCCACCTCCACCTGGAAACATGAAGTTTTTAATCGTGGGATGTTGGGTCACATTTAATGGCTATAGACTGAAAAACTTGGGCTGATACCTCCTTTGGCAAAGTCCTTGCACACAAGCATGAGGACCTGCGTTAGATCCCCACACCCAAGTTTTAAAAAGCCAGAGCTGAGCCGGGCGTTGGTGGCGCACGCCTTTAATCCCAGCACTCGGGAGGCAGAGGCAGGCGGATCTCTGTGAGCTCGAGACCAGCCTGGTCTACAGAGCAAGTTCCAGGACAGCCTCCAAAACAATACAGAGAAACCCTGTCTCAAAGAAAAAAAACAAAAAAAAAAAAACAAAAAAATCCAGAGCTGTATGTGACAGAAGTAAGAGTGTGTGAGTTGGATGCTATGAAGCTCACTTTTAACTCCAGCTCCTGGGGAGGGTGGGGTGGGAGGACTGAAAGTTCATACCTACATGGAATGGAAATTGAGACTTTACCTTAAAAAAAAAGAGGTATGGGAATGTAGTTTGTTCAGAGCGCTGCTTGCCTTTCATGCACAGAGCCCTGGGTTTGACCCCTAGTAGAAGCAGCACTTTCTTGTGCACACATGTAATCACGGGGGTTGGGAGGTACAGACAGAAGCTCAAGGTCATCGTTGGTTACACAGTGAGTTGAAGACCAGTCCAGGCGGCTCAAGGCTGGGGGGGAGGGAGGAATGAGCACCCTAAGGGAAAGGGAAAGTTAGGGAGTAGTAGAAGAAAGAGACACAAATTGCTGTGTTAATTGGATAAACTGAGAGCCAATGAGAAGATTGACATGAGAGATTAAATAGTAAATCCAGCCAGATGTAGTAGTGAACACCTGTAATCCTAGCACTCAGGAGGCAGAGGCAGGCGGATCTCTGTGAGTTCGAGACCAGCCTGGTCTACAGAGAGTTCCAGGACAGGTTCCAAAACAATACAAAGAAACCCTGTCTCAAAAAAAAAAAAAAAAAACAATAACAACAACAAAAAACAATCCTAGCACTCAGGAGGCTGAGGAAGAAGGATCATGAGTTGGAGACTAGTTGGAGACACACAGTGAGACCTTCTCTCAGAAACTCAGACACACAAACGAGGGGTAAACTCCCGCAATCCAGGAGACTCACACAGAATCTGCTGTGGTTTCTTCCGGCCTGTGTTTTAGATGATTTGCCTCGGGCAGAGGGCCTGGGGGCCAGTGAGGCAGCTGAGAGGCTGGGCCGGGGATGTGTGTGGGATGTGGCTGGAGAAGACGGTCATCGATGGAGAGTGTTCCGAACTGGGCAGCGAGAGCAGCGAGTGGACATGACCACCATCGAGCCCTATAAGAGAGTGCTGTCTCATGGAGGTAATGGCAAAGGCAATACAAGGGGGAAAACTATGGCATTATGGGCCAGAGTGTAAAGGTGCTCGATCACCATGCGTGCCTGGTAACTTAACCTGAGGGCAGAGAGGGGCAAGGAGAGAACTAACTGTGTAAAAGCTGCCCTCTGACCCCCACCCACATGGACCCATGCATGCACATACACAATAAGAATAGATGACAACAGCAGCTATGGCAACAGTCATGCTGGAGAGATGCTTCAGCAGGTAAGAGCTCTGGTTGCTAGCCGGGCGTTGGTGGCACTCGCCTTTAATCCCAGCACTCGGGAGGCAGAGGCAGGCGGATCTCTGTGAGTTTGAGACCAGCCTGGACTACCAAGCGAGTTCCAGGACAGCCTCCAAAGCCACAGAGAAACCCTGTCTCATAAAACCAAAAACATGGCTGGGCGTTGGTGGCGCACGCCTTTAATCCCAGCACTCGGGAGGCAGAGGCAGGCGGATCTCTGTGAGTTCGAGGCCAGCCTGGTCTACAAGAGCTAGTTCCAGGACAGCCTCCAAAGCCACAGAGAAACCCTGTCTCGAAAAACCAAAAAAAAAAAAAAAAAAAAACCCAAAAACAAAACAAAACAAAAAAAAAGAGCTCTTGTTGCTCTTGCAAAGCACCTGGGCTTGGTTCCTAGCAATCACGTGACTACTCACAGCTGTCAGTAACTCTAGTTCCAGTGATCTCACAAGCTCTTTCTTCTCCACGGTGCATATACACACATGCAGGCATCACTTCCATAAGAAACCACACACGCACAAAAAGAAAAAAGAAAAAAGAAAAAAGAAAAACCCCTCTGGCAGCTTGACTGACATGCCTTAGCTGGAAACTCAGTTGTTATGTTTAGCAGCCTTTCTGTGACTTCCAAAGACCCTCTGTATCCCTCATCCTAAATAGAAGTACTGTCTATTTACATATTTGTAACTAAGTGAATTTTCCTCATATTGGTCTCCAGGTTACCATGGTGATGGCCTCAATGCTGTCATCCTCTTTGCTTCCTGCTATCTACCCCGAAGCAGCATTCCCAACTACACCTATGTCATGGAACACTTGTTCAGGTGAGGTGGAAACCGGAACAGGCTTGTAAAGGGGGTCAAGGGAAGAGAGTGGGAAAGACCCCTCTCCAGAATCAGTATCTGACTGGAGGATATTTATATTCGAGTGTCTGAGATTCCAAAACACACAGCACACACCTTCCCTGCAATGTCGTTCTCCAGGTATATGGTGGGAACTTTGGAGCTGCTGGTAGCTGAGAATTACCTGCTAGTTCACTTGAGTGGAGGCACAAGCAGGGCCCAGGTGCCACCCCTGAGCTGGATCCGCCAGTGTTACCGCACCTTGGACAGGAGGTAAGACCAAGACAAGAAGGACGCAGCTCTCTGCTGTGTCTTCCCCATTTTTCAATCTTTTTCTTCTCCCATTTGATCTCTTTGTTGTTTCCTTTTCTCTTTTCTGAGAATGACTTTCCTTATAGCTCATGTTGTCCTCAAATTCAGGGCGCCCTTGTCCTAGCCTCTCGAGCCCTGGGATCACCATGCCTGAGTCACCATGCCCAACTCCCTTCTTCTTCCTTTGTCCTTCTGCAACCCCTCAGAAGTATCTCCTGTTGTATCCTGTACAGTCAGGGGCATCTAGCCCTTAGGACTTAGTAGCTACACTTTGGATATTTCACTTAGATTTCCTGTTCAGATTCCTTGTGAATTCCCACGGATGTTACCTGTTGCAGGGAGTCCCTTTCCCCCAATTTTGACACTTCCTTTCTGTATCTCCACTGCTTTCTCTTTCTCTTCCTTCATCCCTGATGTGTAACTCATTCCCCACTCTGGAGGCAGAGGCAGGTGGATCTCAGTGAGTCTGAGGCCAGCCTGGTTACAAAGTGAGCTCCAGGACAGCCAGGACTACACAGAAAAACCCTGTCTCTAAACAACAACAACAAAAAACCATGCCCCACATCGTGTTCCTACTTCCTTTGTTTCCTCATCATTTTTTTTCGTTTTTTTGTTTTGTTTTGTTTTGTTTTTCGAGACAGGGTTTCTCTGTATTATTTTGGTGTCTGTCCTGGAGCTCTATCTGTAGACCAGGCTGGCCTTGAACTCACTGAGATCCGCCTGCCTCTGCCTCCCAAGTGCTGGGATTATAATGGCATGTGCCAACCAATGCCTGACTTTTTTTTTTCAAGGCAGGGTTTCTCTGTGTAACAGTCCTGGCTATCCTGGAATTCACTCTGTAGACCAGGCTGGCCTTGAACTCACAGACAACCACCTGCCTCTGCATCCTATGGGATTGAAGGCATGCACCACCACCATCTGGCCATTTACTTATTTATTTTTGTTGGAGATAGGATCTCAGATAATCCAGGCTGCTCTTGAACTATCTATATAGCCAAACAGTCTTGAACCCCTGGTCTCCCTGCCTCTCCACCTCCCCAGTGCTAGGATTACTTGCGTTGTCACCATGCCTGGCTTGCGCCTTCTCACCCTTGCTTAATTTTCTTTCTTCCTGCATCTTTTCATTTTTCCTCCTTGCTGATCTTTTTCCTACTTAAGAGCTTCCTTGTTTTTTGTTTGGGAGAGGGGATTACTTTATATAGGGGCTCGTGTAGTCTATGTTGACTTCAGACTCTCAATGTAGCCCCAGTTGGCCTTGAACTCCTGACCCACTTTGCCTCTGCTGGGGTGGCAGGCATCACTACACCTGACTTCCTGACTCCCACCTGGGGTTTTATGTCACCTGGGCTGCACAGTGGAAAAGGTGAAATTTGCAAAAGGAATTCATGTGGGCTGGAGGGAGATGAGTTGCGGAGACAGAGGTACTGTTAAAGGAACATTCCCTAAACACGGAGTATAGAGAGCTAAATATATTGGGACAAGCTCAAGACATGGGAATTAGGCACAGATGCCAGAGAAATTTGGAAGCGGGAGACACCAAGGAGCCTGCAGTATAGAAGACAACCCACCTGTTCTTCATGGACAAAGGTGGAACATATGATCATATTGGATTCTTCCTCAGGCTTCGGAAAAACCTTCGAGCCCTGGTGGTTGTCCACGCTACGTGGTATGTGAAGGCATTCCTGGCACTGGTTCGGCCCTTTATCAGGTACTAGCTCAAGACACAAAGACATCTCTTTCTTTCTTGTCACTATTGACACTAAGGAGGTGTTACCCTACTCTTTCTAGCCTTACCATTCTGCTTGACACATTTCCCTCTATAATATCCTCCAGCATCACTCTCCCAATACAAAACATAACTGATTTATTCTCTCTCTTCAGTTCCAAGTTCACACGAAAGATCCGATTTCTGGACAGCCTTGGGGAGCTGGCCCAACTCATCTCCCTAGATCAAGTGCACATACCTGAAGTTGTCAGACAGTGAGTCCTGCACTTACAGATGCTGGTTTGCGATGGGATGTCTAAAGCCAATCCTGTTTCCTAACGTGTCTGGGGAGATGCAAAGAACTAGGACACACAGGCCCTGCTTTTGGTTCTCAAAGTGGGAAAACTGCATATATGTAAAGAGGAAATTAAAGACACTGCTATATTTGCCAGGAACAAGTGAAGGTGGAGCCAGGAGATGACTTATTGAGAAAAGTACTGGCTGACAAGTCTGACAACTTGAGTTTGACCCCCAGAACCTACATGGTAGAATAATTCCATTGCATGCCTGTGTGCACATTTGTAAATAAATGTAAGCAAAATTTAAACAACAAATGAAAAAATTATGAGAGACTGAGGCAGACATTAAAGAATAATCCCAGCACAGAAGATCCAGGAGGTTCAGGGTAGCCTTCAGGTTATGAGAACGTAAGCCAGCAGCAAAGAGATAATACCCAGGGGGGTGATAATACCCAGGGGGGTGATAATACCCGGGGGGGTGATAATACCCAGGGGGGTGATAATACCCAGGGGGGTGTGTCACCCAGCAGGGGGTGGAAAGGACCTCAGTGCCCAGCTTCTAGCTCCTCCAGCTCACCTTGCTTCTTTCCCCCAACTCTCGCTGTAGGCTGGACCAGGATCTCCAGGGCTCAAGAGGCACCTAACAGGGAACCAGACAAAGGGCGGTAGCCGTGGGCCCAGATGGTGATGGCTCTGCACACTGGAGTTATTATGTAAACCATCTTATCCTGCCCCGCTCCAATTCCACCAGGTCCTCGATTCTCGGTGTGATGTCTTTTTCTGGACACTGCCTTCAGGCTGGGACTTGAGGATGGGAACCCATATGTGGGTGGCTTGCACTTCAGCTGTCCAGCAGGAAGACTGAGTGTGGCATTTGAAGTGCAGAACTCTAGGTTTTAATTCTCCTTTAGCTATAAAATATGTGGATCTCATTTTCCTTCTCTGTAATCTAACCCTTTGGGATCCTTCCCATCTTGGTTGCCTTAGCAGTCTTTTGAGGGGAGGTGGAGGGAAAGTTAGGGCTTAGCCAACAGCCACAGCCAGTCTGTCTGCTAGGAGCCGGAGCCCAGGAGCCGGCTTGCAGAATGCTGAAGAACCCAACCCCTTTAGTCTGCTGCCTGTGATTCTGGGAAGGACTGCTGTCAAAAGCTGTGTTTTCTACACCTGTTAGTAAAGTCAGACCTGTGGCCTTTAATAAACCGATGAGAGATTTAAGTCGAACATCTTTCCCCCCAAGCCCTTACATCATAATCCACCTTTCGGTTCTGTCACAGAATTCTTGCTTACCAGGGTTCCTCGGGATTTTGAGCTCGGCCCCAGGGGCTGCTGGCCCTACGTGGGAAGAGCACTTAGGGGAGGGGCGTGGCACGCGCCTTGGAGCACCCTCCCGGTCGGTTCAAACGACCTCGAGACCTGGCGGGTTGGTGGAGAGCAGAAGGGAGGGAGGGAAGGTAGGAGCCTGGGCCTACCTCTCGACCCCAAGCCTCCCAGCTCCATGGTCCCCGCCGCCTGCATGCTGCTCTGGGCCCTGCTGCTTAGTCTGGGGTCCCGGGCGGCGGGGGCCCAAGACCAGACGTCAAACCCGACTGCCACCCCAACGACCACTGGGACGCCGCGGATCAGCTTACGCTTTGGGGGCCCAGCCCGCAGCCTCCGGAGCACAAGCAGCACCGGCCGGAACAGTGTATCCCGGAAGAGGAAGGTAACTCTGGAGGATGAGAATGACGCCCTAGCCACTGCTGACCGCCTGGCCGCCCCGGCAGCCGCTGAGCTCCTGTCCACTGTGACAGGCATTAGCCGGTCGTCATTGCCCATCTCCTATGAGGATGGCTCCTTGGAAGAGGGGGTCGTGATTGATGCCAGAAAAACCACCTACCCTGGAACTCTGTATTCGACCCCCAGTACTATGGGAAGTATTAGCACCACCGGTAGGTTTTTAGCTAACACCCAGGAGCGAGACATTAGGGTGACCACCGATATACCAACCCTCACTTCAAAACCTACTGAGGACCTGACTTCCGAGACCACCCTGCACCAGTGGTCGCCGACACCTGGGTCCACCCCAACCCCGTGGCCATCACCCTCACCCACAGCCATGCCATCTCCCGAGGATCTACGGGTGGTGCTGATGCCTTGGGGCCCATGGCACTGCCACTGTAAGTCGGGTACCATGAGCAGGAGTCGCGCTGGGAAGCTGCATGGCCTTTCTGGGCGCCTTCGCGTCGGGGCACTGAGCGAACTCCGCACAGAGCACCGGCCTTGCACCTACCAGCAATGCCCTTGCAACAAGCTGCGGGAGGAGTGCCCTCTGGACTCGAGTCTGTGTCCTGACAATGGCTGCAGCTCGCACACCACCTCGGTCAGCACCACCTCTACTCAGGTCCCTGTGCACCTGAGACGCAGACCCATCCTCCCGTCCACTAGCCCGAGCCCGAGCCCAGCTCTTGCCTTTTGGAAACGTGTCAGGATCGGCCTAGAGGATATCTGGAATAGCCTTTCTTCAGTGTTCACAGAGATGCAACCAGTAAGTTGACTTCCCTTGATGGCTCTGAAAAGTCCTATGTCCCAAATCCTGCTGCCAGCATAGCCTGTGTACTCGCCGCAGCTGTTAATGACCTGTTCAGTTACTGACTCATAACTTGCTCTTGTTATCCTTGGCCCATTTTGTGTTTTGTTTGGTGTGTTTGGGGTGCACATGCTCATGCCACTGGGGCCTGGGTCTCTCCTTCATTCGTGGAAGGCAGTGGGCAGTACTCTGTCATTGAGCTGACCTTGCTTTTCCCCATCCCCTGCCTGATTTTTTTTTTTTTGAGACCAGGTCCCCACTATCTTGTCTACACTGGCCTTTGGCTCGTGGGCTGAGACGATTCTCCTAGCACCTCAAACTTCAGTATAGTGGGAGGCTCAGCTAGCTCAGAGATCCACCTGCCTTGCCTTCTGAGTGCAGGGATTAAAGGTGTGTGATAGATACCATGCTCAGCGAGAGTTTCTTTTTTATTGTTGTTGCTGTTTGTTTGAGACAGGGTCTTTTTATGCAGCCCCTGGCTGTCCTGGAACTCACTATCTAGACCAGGCTGGCCTTGAACTCAGATCCTCCTGCCTCTGCTGGATTTGAAGGTGTGTGGCACTTTTTTTCTTTATATTTGTGTGCAAGTCTGTTGTGTGTGTGTGTCACTAAGCACTTGAGTTCACAGGACAACTTGTGGGAGTTAGTTCTCTCATTCCACCATGTGGTTTCCAGGCATCAAACTCAGGTTGTCTGGCTTGGAGTGATCACACCAGCCCAAGACAGTCTCTTATAGCCCAGGGTGGCCCAGACCTCACTGTGTAGCTAAGGATGCAACCACTTCTATAGTGCAGGATAACGGGCCTGTAGCACCATGTCTTTTTACGTTTTGAACATATACTAGTCATCTAGCCATGTATCACTGGTCATCAGATTATTACTGGCCAAATAAAGACATCTTTACCTTTTCTCTTTTTGAGAGTCTTTCTAGAGTCCTGGCTGACCTCCCCAATTTTCCCAACATGTTTGGCTATAAAGACAATTCATAGACAATGGACATGGGACATATTAATTGATTAATGATTAATAGTTTTTAAAAATCATTGTGTAAGGGTATTTTGCCTGCATATATGTCTGTTTAGCATACATCATTGGTGCCCATGGAGACCAAAAAAACGGATGATTCCCTGGAACAGGTGTTACAGATGGTTGTGAGACGCCATGTGGGTACTGGGAATTGAACCCAGATCCTCTGGATCAGCCAGTGTTCTTAACTGCTAAGCCATCTCTCCTACTCTGATTAACACAGACTTAATGCATTGTAACAGTATCAAGCAATATCTAAGGCCTCACTCCAGATACAGCCCCTGGGTCTGTCCTCAGCTTAAAGATGTTTACAGATGAAGGGGCAGGTTTACGAGCTAGGGTGGTTCAGTGGTCTTGCCTAGTACATGCAAAGGTGATAGGTTCAGTCCCATCACTGAAGAGAGAAAATAGTGACAGAGTCACACAACTGAAACTTTTCTACTAGTACCCGTGTTCCCAAAGGACTGTCCTTTTTGGGACTCTACCCAGCAACTTAAAATTCCACAAGGAAACTGGGTGTGGTGGTGCCACTCTTAATTCCAGTGCTTGGGAAGCAGAGGCAGGCAGATCTCTGAATTCAAGGCCAGCCTGGTCTACATAGTTTCGGGACAGCCAGAGCTACACAGTGAGACCCTACCTCAAACAAATAACAGTTACTAAGGGTTCAGACTGACTCTGGTCTCAGTTGCTAGGGATGATTGGCAGGGGGGGGGGGACACGGACGGACGGGGGACCGAGGGGGGTAGGGAGACAATCACACAGGACATACTTGGTGATTTAGCTGGTTTCTATTTTTGCTTTCCTCCTGGTGAGTCCAGTTCTATTTTTAATATAAAAACAAAGCACTCCGGGGCTGGAGCTGTATGTAGCTGGGTTACTAGAGTGCTTGCCTAACTGGAGAAGTCCTGGGCTTGGTTCCCAGCACCGCAGACTGGGCACGTGATAAGTTATAATCATTGATTGGTAGGTGGAGGCAAGAGAGCAGACGTTCCTGTCAGTGGACTGGAAATACAGCTCAGTGCTTAAGAACATTACCTGATCTTCCAAGGGATACTGGTTAAATTTCCAGCACACCTATCAGACACTCACCTATATAACTCCTGCTTGAGGGGGGATTCAACACCCTGGACTCTGCGAGTACCTGCATTCACGGGTACATGCACCCCAAAATCCAAAAGACAATAAGTTCCAGGTAGGGCCAGGAATGTGACTCAGCAAGCAAAAGTGCTGACTCAGCAAGTGTTTACTGCGCAGGCCTAATAACCCGAGTTCAATCCCCAGAAGCCATGTGAAAACCCAGATGTGGAGACATCTGCAATCCCAGCACTCATCTGGTGATGGGAGGTGACAGACACAATTGGCCTGACTGAAAAAAACAAACGAGCGAGCAATCCCCAAAAGCTGCCGAATCCATCATGAGCCACCGTACAGTCATGCCCTCAGTCCCACAATTGTCTTTCTTTCTTTTTGAGACAGGGTATATATAGCCTTGTGTTGGGCTGGAATTCACTATATAAACCAGGTTGGCCTCAAGCTCCCACTGCTGAGATTAAAGGTGTGTGTTACCATACTTGACCAGGTCAAAATCTTTAAAGAAAAAAGAAAATTCAAGGCCAGCCTGGGCTACACAAGACCCTGTTAAAAAACTCGTTAAAACGAAACATAAAGCATACAGAGAGAAAGCAGAGCTGGGGCGACGGTCCAGGGGATAAATGCTTGCTGTGCAACCGTGAGGAAAGTTCAGATCGCAGGCACCTCCGTGACAGTCATGCATGTGGACTCTGGCTGTGAGACCTTGCTTCAGTGAGTCAGTGGTCAAGGTGACAAGAGACAAAGCGTGTACTTATGCGCGCGCGCGCGCACGCGCGCACACACACACACACACACACACACACACACACACACACACACACACACACACAGCCAGCAGGGTTGAGGAAATGGTTTGTAGTGGGTAAAGCAAGGAAAAGAATGTAGATGTGATTATAATCTCTCCTTTTCTATTTTCTTGCTTTCCCCAGATAGAAAGAACCCAGAGGTAATGACCACGTCACCTTCAAGAGGAGATATCTGCATTGTAACCTTCCTTTTCAACCCCAGCACCCACTACGTATTTTTAATACAGGAAAAAAAAACCCATAAAAATACATATTTGGTCTCATTTTTCTTTTTGGTGGTGACTGGGTCAAACCCAGGGCTCTGCACATGCTTGGCAAACTCTTCCACAGGTCTTGTGTCTCTTTGGTTTTTCAAGACAGGAGACAGGGTTTCTCTGTGTAGCAGTCCTAGCTGTCCTAGAACTCGCTCTGTAGACCAGGCTGGCCTCTGCCTCCTAAGCACTGGGATTAAAGGTGTGCGCCACCAGACCCAGCTATTTTTTTCCAATGCCCATCTTTTGATCTAACACATTTGTAGTGATTACTCTGCAACTATTTTCCTTAATTCTTTTATTGGAAAAATGTATCTTAAAAGTCCATCAAGTTTATAATATAAATTATGACTCTCAACCCACTCCAATCACCTTGTTAAGTGGTGGTGGCATATACATTAGAGAAGGTAGCTCAAGGTAGGAGAGCATCAAAGACAAGACTGTGCCCAAATAGTTGACGAAGACTGGAGCTCAGGGCTCACCCACACCATTGTGACTTGATGTTCAGGGCCTTCCTGGGAGTGCGCTGCCCAGTGGGTATAGTCCACAGTGCCTGCAAGTGTGGATGTAGCCTCCAGCTAATGACAACCAGGAAAGCTCCCTTCAGGGAAGCAGGCCTGCCTGACTGGAGCTGCAAGTAAGCAATCTGGGAATGGATGCCCACAACCAATGCAAGAGCCTGAAAAAGTACAAGGAGCACACTGAGCTCGGGACGATGGAAATCTCAGGCACTAGGCGAGGAGTAACTGGAAGGCGTCAGCAGGAGTGGCCCGGTTTGCACAGCCCTGACCCATTACCACACAACAAGCTTCCTATTACAGAGCTAATGAGACCCCAGCCCTCTTTTCTGGCATGGGCAGGAGCTCATCTGTCTTGTTCTGCCTTTCTAATCAGCCTGCAAAGAAAGGGCCAGAACAAAAAGACCTGAGAAAACAAAGGGCCCAAAGACTGCTCCCACAGCGCTTCCCATCTACAGCAGGATCGCCGGCCACGTGGAGAGTGACATCCGATCTCCCAAACTCCCTGAGTCTTATGCTGGGTTCATGAACACAGAGGAGCTAAGCACATGGGCAGCATAACCAGTTCTCCGCAGTCTGCCCCTCATCTCTCATCCCAGCATACCCTGTTCACGTACTGTGGGAGGCCTCTTGCTGAGACTGTTTGCACAGAGACTTGAGCCCATGCAAGCACAAGCAATCCATCTGGAAAGAAACATGCCCAGCTCTGGCGAGCCTGCCCTATGAGGGTGCTAGCTAGCTCCCCATGGCTCAGGATGAATAGCCAGACTGCGGGTGGGGGTGGGGGCATGTGGGAATCACTAAGAAAAACGTGTCTTCACTCTCAAGCTGTGGCTCTCAGCTGTGGGTAATTTGGTCCCTAGGAGTCATTTGGCAATTTCTGGGAGCATTTTGGCTGCTCACTAAGGTGAGCCCGAGCTACTGTGTTCATAGTGTGCAGAAGAGCCCTCCATCACGAAGAATTGTGCATCCCAAACTGTGCAAACTGTTTTCAGCTGTGTGAGTTGAAAAGCTTGACTTCCAGAAGGGATCTTAAGACCTGTGCGAAGGGAGCCTTCAACCTATGTACCTCACCACTGTCTGCTCCCAACAGGAAGTCCACCCCTAGATACGGTTAATTTCCCTACATCCTGGCTTTTTATCTGAACCCTCCTCTTCCTTTCACCTGGCCAGCAGGGAGGCTGACAGAGGGTAGGCCAGGACTTCCAAGTCTTAAATGGAATGTGGTCAAATTAAGATCTATCCCTCACCTCTTATCAACAGGAAACAACAAGATTCCTAGCAGGGATGAGACAAGGACAGAGATAGCATCAGGATGGGGGTAATTAAAAGAACTCATCTTAAATTAAACTTTTAATTAATTAAAAAAAAAGAATTTTTCTGGGACGCTATTAATACTACTGAAGCATGAGATTAGAGGCCTAACGGGAACAAGACCTTGGTGCCGGCAGAGACATGGAGGGCTGTGAGCTTAAGGTCTGAAATCCAGCATGGACTGGGCAGTGCTAACCCTGCCCCCTGACCTCTGCATTGCTCATTCCAGAAGGAAGAGAGGGCAGGGAGGCCGCTGCGGTCCCCTCACTTACCTGCCTCATTAAAGAGTAAAGGCAAGAAGTTTAAACAGGTGGCACCCGACCTTCATTCAGGAGCAGGGAACTCATTCCAGGTTCCCAGAGAACCCCCAGCTCAGATCTAGGGTGCCCAGGGCTTCAGCTGAGCTCCTCTGGCCCACCAGTAGTCACTTGGTCAGTCCTGCTGCCTTGACCCCATCTCCAGGAGGGGCAGAGGCCAGAGGGGTCGAGGGAGTCCAGCCCCCATGCCTGAGGCACTTGTTAGGGCGACGAAGGGGAGGAGAAGGGCTCTTGGGTCACTGGTTGTAGAAGGGATCTGGTAAGGGTGGCATTTCTTCTGGGCTGGACATAGAACGGGAACTTCAAGACTGTAGAACCTGAATTTAAATTAAAAAACAAAAATCAACTATTGGTCTCACACTGTAGCCCAGGCTGCTCTCAAGCACACAGCAATCTTCCTGCCTCAATTTCTGAAGTGCTAGAATTACAGGTATGAACCAGTGTGTGGTCAAACAATTTTTACTTTAAAGGATGATCTAGAGATAGACACAATAGCACACATTTATAGTCCTAGCTCTCAGAAGTTTCTGGAAGGAGGATCCTGAATTTAAAGCCAGCCTGGACTACAAAGTGAATTTAAGTCACTTCAGCTACCTAGCAAAACCCCATAGAATAAGGAAGAAAAAAGCAGCCTGCCCTCTAAGAAAACAAATCCTGAAGGAGAAGGCACGATATAGTACACCTTTGTGGGGGAGTACCAGGAGACAGTCTCACTATGTAGTCCTAACCTCAGATTTGCAGAGATCCCCTGCCTCTGCCCCCCAGTGCTGGGTTACAGGTGTGCGCCACCATGCGCAGCCTACAGTGCACATTTAAAACTTCCATAAGGCTCTTTCCTCAAATTTTGTTTTTTGAGACTGGGTACCACGTAGCCTACACAGACCTTGACTTCACTGTTTGTTGAAGAGAAGCTTGATCTATTCCTCCTACCTTGACTTCCAGTGTGCTGGGACGATGGGTGCCATTATGGCACCCCCCGTTCCTGTAAAGAGCCTGTGTTTCTAAACTTTCATTTTCTTTCTTTCCACCAATTCACTTCTCAGTCTTGCATCAAAGGGTTAAAGGTCTGAGGCAGGGATCAGGACATGCTGGCACAGGCACAGTGTCAAATGGGTTTCTCTTGTCACTTACCAGTCCCATGGGAGCTACAAGGCCCTAGAATTGCTCCATGGTCTGTCTCGGTTTCCCTTGGATCTCATCTGCTCCTGAACTGCACCTGTCTGTTGAAAAGCATGCGTCACCTAAGTCTCTGCATTCCACAACAAGCAATAATTTACCCCTTGCCCTCAGGAGGAGCTTGACCTCTCTTTTCTGACAATGACATCCATCTGAAGACTTTAAACCTGACCACCATTGTTCTCAGAAGTCTCATGAAGACAAGGTAAAATGAGTCATTTACTAATGAGATACACACACACACACACACACACACACACACACACACACCACTCCAATACTTTTTCTTAGTTTTGTGATCAGTATTAAAAACTATGTTCAGACCCACGTCCCTTATGGAGAGCAGAAATGCACTGGAGACATTTAGAACAGAGCCTCTCGTGGCCCAAGACTCCCAGTCACAATATGACTCACTCTGACACTGATTCAACAGGTTTTCTCTTTCTATTTAGGGATAGGGTCTCTAGGCTAGGCTGGTCTCAAACTTCCTATGCAGGATGACCCTGAGCCTGCGATCCCTAGTTCCTGAGGGCTGAGGTTACAGGTAGGAGTAACCACACCCAGTTTCTGCCGTGCTGGAGAGCAAACCTAGGGCTTCCTGCATTCAAGGAGAACACTCTACCAACTGACCTATAGCCTAGTTCTGACTAGTTCTCAATAAGGAGAGCCATGATTTGAGAAGTTCTCCAACTACTACTACATATATACCCTTACACCACTGAAGAGTCCTACGGTAACTATAAAGAGGGGAGCTAGCCCTAGAGATCAGAAATGCACACCATCAGGGACCAGGTCTACATTGACTATTGTTATGTCCCTCACTTGGCTACACACCCAAATAAATGCCTCCCCCTTCCCTTATTACCATGGCAAGTCCATCTCCAGCCCCCATTTCTCCTGAGCCGATGTGAGTCAAGTGAACAAAATTCATTGGTTCCCCGATCATGGTGCGGTCAATCCGTCTTCTCCTCCTCTTCTGCTTGGAGAAGACAGGGAGTCACATATGCAGCCATCTCCTCCCATGGAGGACGGGGAAAACCACTAAGAGTTAAGGGTTGATTTGGCAGTGTAATGGGCAAACATCAAGGTAGGAAAGACAAAGTTGGAATAACAAATCAGACACAATGTCACCAGAGTGGTAAGGACAGTGGCCTGCTTAGTGAATACATAAAGGACAAAGCAGCCGGGCGCTGGTGGCGCACGCCTTTAGTCCCAGCAAAGCAAAGTCACCTCTGGATGACGAGGGGACACTGACAGGAGCAGGTGACAGCAGAACCAGTCAACTCTTCTGTCACACAGCCTCCTTTGTTGCACGTGAGTACACCTGCCCTGCCACAGACACTCTCAAGAGGTAGGTGAGAAAGGGGTTTTTCAGAGATGGCCTGATCACAGCACACGGCAACTAATTGCCGGGTGGGGACAGAAGACTTACCGGCTGAGGTTTCTCTACCACGCAGCAGCCCAGTTTGTGCCAAAATTCACTCATATTCCCTGATGGTTCCAGCTTCAGGCCTCTGCCAGAGGCCCCAGGGGGCTCTTGATTTGTCACTAATCACCCAGTCTTCACTCTCAGGTGTAATAATGCCTTGGGTTCACACAGCTGGATGGCTCTAGAAATCCTAGAGACCCTTAGCCGTGCAGTGAAGGTGGAGTCTCAGACCGGAAGCCACGAAAAGCATCACCAAAAGGCTTGGGCAGGCAGGCACAAGGTCCCGTCTTCTTTAGATGTGGGACCCTGAATTTTAGCAGAAAGGAAAAAAAAATGTGAGAAACATCCTTCCCTATTCCCATTCCCCAGAGACCTGCTAAGTCTCCATCTTCTCTTGGAAACTCTACTACTGTACCCCATTCCTGACCCCCTCCAAACACAGGAGTTGCTTCTCACAATAGTGCAAAAAGACCATCAACAGGGTAAGGAGCAATGACTACTGGGATCAAGGAAGAGGGGAGCTAAGGGACTTTGGAGAAAACGAAAAGTGACAGAAATGAACACGGGTACTACCAACCTCAGCTCCTTTTTTTCCTGAGCTAGGGCAGGAGGGGAGGGGCACGTAAGTGACTCTCAAGAGGAAATAGTGGTTTTGTTCTCACAAACAAGGCCTCCACCCTGTCCCTCCCCGCTCTCTTACCTTGCCCCAGCACCTACATTTTCTGTAAGGACCACCTAGTGCCTATGAGCCAACTCTAGGAGTATGGACCTCAACAGATACTTATGGAGTGAGGGATCTCTTCCTTCTCACCCCATTGCCTTTGTCCCTCCTCACTTGTCCCAGCTGAGGTCCAACGGCCTCCCAGAGTCCATTTAATCTCTGACCTTGTCTCTCCCGAAGGCTGTGTAGATGGTGTGCGCCTATCTGTGGCCCCAGCTCCATGTCTTGTACACGTAATGCGTGGACTCACTTTCTGATCCAAGGAATCACTGTGCAGCCTTCCACCCCCTTTCACGTGTCCCATCGTGTGCAGTTCGGTGTCTCACAGGCTCGTAAGGCCCAGGCCTCCCCTCCCCCTCCCCTCCTGCTCTGACCGGCTTTCTCCCCACCACTTCCAAGCTCATTAGTGAACCAGACACAGGAACTTTCCAGTAGCATTTATGTCCAAGCAAGAACCTTCTCCCCCTCTCGCTGCTGCCATCCTGGGGTGATGGCCCATCTGAGCTTCCTTTCTGGGGTGATGGCCCATCTGAGCTTCCTCTCTGGGGTGATGGCCCATCTGAGCTTCCTCTGTGCGAACTGTGCTTCCCCTATAGCAGTCAAGCTCAGGGAGCCCAACAGGGCAGCTCATGAATATTAAACATTAGTATGAATAGGAAGGAGCCTTTCCCTCTAGGCTTGAGGCTGGAAGCTGGGTGCTCCAATAGCCTAGACAGACCAAAAAAACCCGTGTTTTTTTTTTTTTTAAATGTTTTTCTTTGTGTCTTCTAGCAGCCTTGGGATGAGATCACTCAAGCAATGAAATACAGCTTCTAGAGTAGGAAGAACCCAAGAGTCTGGGCTTTCTTTCACTTCCCTCCCCACCCCTGGAAGGGAGGAGGAACCAGGACTGCTCAGAACACAGCTGCCCCGGGAGGGGAGGCTTGGTCAGTGGGAAAGTCGGTCACAAGGCTTGTCATGATGGTGGCAGGTGGTAAGGGTTGGGGGAAATGGAGAAAACAAAGAATCAGAGGAAACCCCCAACGCTACCAGACAGTCCATGCCGAGGCTGGACTCTACCCAGGATTCTCCGCCCTGCTCAAAGCTGAGTGGACAGAGGTGGCCAACGCCGGGGAGTAGGGAAGAGGAGGGAGGGAGGGAGAGGAAAGGGGGCCCTGGAGGGAACAAGGACGTTTCTGTTTCTCTTCCAGGGACCTGACCAAGCTGGGTGGAGGGAAAGTGTGTGTGGGACTTGGCCTGAAACAACCAATGACGATGAGAAGTGACCAGGAAATTCCATTCCCCAGGACATTAGGGTCTCTGAAGCTCGGAGGCGGTGTCGGCGTGTGAAGACAGGCCAGGGTCACTGTGGTCGTGTGGGGTGGAGGGAAGAGGAACAATGCCAGAAAAGGAAGTACTAGGCATTGGCTGTCACTGTGTTTGAAAGCAGCCAACGACTGGGATGGGGACAAACGAGGCCTGGGCTGCTGAGCTGAGGAGGGAGCAATGCTGACCGAATCCACTGCCCACGGCTTCATCCACACAGAAAAAAAGGAAGGAGATGGGAAAAGGGATCAATGGTCAGACAGCATAAAGCCACATCCCGACAGCGGGCCCCTCTCAGTTCCACAGGAAGTCAGAACCTGGAATGACAATCTCCACGAGCCACCGTCACGGGCTTGAGAGCTGTAGAAGGGCAAGAAGGAGGGGTAGGGAAAAGGAACCGGGGAACGAAGGATGTGCTCAGGTAGTTCCCCGGTCCTGTGGTAGCCCCAAACCGGTTTTCCCGGTCCCGCAGCCTCCAGCCCCAAGGCCTCCAGCCCGCTGTCTGACAAGCCTTCACAAGAAGCAGCTGGAGAGAAAGGAGCCTTGAGAATGGTGTGGGCAAATTCTGGCTGTAAGCCCAGGGATGCAGCTGGTCCCTGTGTGGAGACCCTCCAGACACAGCGGGCCGCTGAGGGGCTCTGGAGAGAGAAATGGGCCCCCTTTCCAGCCAGGCGACAGACGTTTGTCCTAGCTCCAACCCTGCCCTCACCCCAGGAGGGGGCTTCTGGGAACTTAAGAGGAAACAGGAGACCCTAATTGTTTCCCCTCCCCAATATTTTCCGTCAGACCCCAGGTCTGTCCCCCCACCCACACCGAAGTAGGCTGGGAACCTCAGTGGATCGTTCTGGCTCTGTCACTGTTCTCCGTGGCTGCCTCAGTCTGGCTAAGACCTTTCCGGCCCCAGCACCACTTCGTTTTGTCTGGGACAGCAGACCTCTGAGGTCAGTGTGCCGGCGAGGAGCCCCTGTCGCTTCGCACCTCCCACCCGGCCCCACGCTGCAACCTCCGCGTCCCTTGCCTCTCCCCGGCTTGCGCCGCCCGCGCGGGGACCGTGGCCGCGACCTCCGCCTCCCCGCCGCCCTCCCCTCCCCTCCCCGCCGCCGGCAGCCCGGCCCGCCCGGCGCTCTCACCTGCGGCTCCCCGGCGTCCAGGCGGCGGCCGCTGCGGGCGGGGGCTCCGCCACTCCGGGTTCCCGGGCTGCGGCTCCGCACGGCGGGGAGTCGAGGGCGGGCCGGCAGAGGTGGGGCCGGCCGAGGGCGGAAACGCCGGCGACGCGCGATTACGAAACCCGCGGGCTGCGAGCCGAGCGCAGCGCTCCGCCCAGGCCTGCCGGGGTACACGGCGTGGCCCGCGGGAACAGCGGGCAGCACCGCGCTCCTGGGCCCCCGCAGGACCCCGAGTGTCTGCGCTAGGTCTGCCCGCCTGCGGCAGCGGCAGAGGCGACCACGCGCCGGGGCCCTTTCCGAGGCTCCCCAAGTCCCCTTCGGTCCCTACAGTGGGAAGCAAGGCCGTTGTGTTGTCCAGCGGGGAGACTCACTAACCCATACACCCGAGTTAGAGGACAGTTAACTGCTCGGCCATTGCGCCCCAGTCAGCGCGAGGGTGCTGGAGCGCTGGGGGCGCCGTGCGAGCCGATGCACAGCCTCTAGCCTGGGTGGCGTGTTCCGGAACCTGTCTTCGAATTAGCCGAGTCAGAGAGAGAGGGGGCGGGGAGCGCTTCCGCCCTTGCTAGGAGGGGCTGCATTGCAGGGGAGACCCAGCGGCCGACTCTGTCACAGACGAGGGAGAGGGCGTGAGGAGACAAAGCCGCCTCGTCCCCAGCAGCTTCTTTCGGCAGCCTCCTCCCGTCCAGTGCGGAGCTGACCCCCGAGCCCCTGAGGCGTTCTCTCCACCTTCGGACACGCTAGTCATTCGTTGGTAACAGGTAACCTAGATGAGGGGCAGCGGCTCGAGCTGCGAAGACCCCCGTGTGAGACTGGGGGGGACAGTTTGAGAGGAGAGCAGGGGGCGCTATGAACAATGGGTAGCTGTTCGTTACCAGATTTCTATCTCTGTTAAGATCTCCACCTATGCGTTATCATGGACCTAAGCATTAATTTCTGACACTTTACCTGTAATTATTTCCTGGCATTTAGCTCTTCATTTCATGTATCTATTTTCCTATAATTTTTGCCCTGTGCATCTAATGACTTCTGTCTAGTGCCTAGTTATCTGTATCTTCCTTTTCAAGCTATAATTTTTGCTACCAGTTATTTGGTGAATCGTTATTTCTACTGTAATTCCTATATATTGTATGCCCCCCACTGTGCTCCGTTGGGAGTTTGGGGGAGTAGGGTGCACCTTTTACCTTTTTTAATTTTCTTTTTTCTTTTTTTTTAACAATCCCCTCCCTGTCTCAGATTTTTACTTCAAAGAGGCCTGAGGTAGGACAGGTGGGGGGACTGTGGCTTGCCTGTAGCAACCAGTGCAGCCCACAGGAAGTACCGATGACAGCGATTTTTTCTTTGCAGCCCCTCCTAATTAGCGGGGAAGGTTGTCATAGAGCAGCGTGAGAAACCGGGGAGCTGCCAGAGCTACCCTCCGCCCCTCCTTAGACTGCGTGGTGGCCGCATGACACAGCAAAGCCCTGTAGGCCTTGGATGCTTATGGGGTGTCTGGACAAAGGGTTTCCGGGTGTGTCCATGTGACTTAGAGAAAGTGTATCTTTTTAATGTGTGTAGTTATTAATCATTGTATCTCTAAGAATTGACAATGAAATTTAGAAGTTGCTTTGTCTAAAATGGATGGCGTTGGGAAACATAGAACATCATGACATCAGTCACCATCTAGAGTCTTTAAGGTAAACGGTAAACAAGATAGGTAACAAGGTGGGTGAAGAGCGTTTACCCAAGGAAAAGAGAAGCCAGTTTAAAAGCAGCCTGTCTTTTATTTTAACGCCATATATGCCCATGTGTCTGTTTTCTGGACCAAATTTGGGTCTCTGTACATGTCTCGGCTGGAGATCCTCAGCTTTTTAATATTTCCACACAATTTCCTTTAAATTGTTTTATTTCAAACTGATTTTGTGTTTTGTTCATGTTCTTTTTGTTATTTTGGTTTTGAGGGGTCCTGAACTTTATGCATCCCAGGCTAGGCTTGAACTCACAGCCCTTCAGTCTCCTGCCTCCTGGGATTGCAGCAGTGTGGCATGCCTGACTCAAGCCTTTTCAATTTGATGATAGTTCTCCCAGGCTCTGATAAATCCTTTAGGCAACGTTTACAGGTTTACACTTGTAAGGAAAGGAGTTAGTTTGCCAATCTGGCTTAAATTCTGGCTTGTTCTCTACTCTTCAAGAGTAGACTTCCTTATAGCAGGCTTCCATCAAACTCCTGATCCTCCTGCCGGGCTGGGGTTACGGGAATTCACTGCCATATCCAGCCTTCCTAATATCCAGATTAGAAACATAGAATATACTAAGAAAGTAATTATTGAGGACTGGATTCTTAGCTGTGAGTAGGGGCACAGCCCTATAATCCTAGGACTCAGGGCAGAGGCAGGGATTCCAAGTTAGAAGCCAGCCCTTGGGCTACATGTCAAGACCTTGTTTAAGAAACAAAAATAAAACCACAAATAAATGTCTTGTTTTAGACAGGGTCTCACTGTATAACCCTGATTAACTTGAAACTCACAGAGATCTATCTGCCTGCCTGCCTCTGCCTTTTGAGTGCTGGAATTAAAGGCGTGTGCCACCACTGCCTGGTCAAGATTTTTTTTTAATGATTTTTGTATGTATTAGGCTTCATGTCTGTGTGAGGGTGTCAGATTCCTTTGAACTGTAGTTACAGACAGTTGTGAGCTGCCATGTGAGTACTGGAAATTGAACCAAGATCCTCTGGAAGAGCAGCCAGTGCTCTTAACCTCTGAGCCATTTCTCCAAGGTCCCACCTCCTATCCCCCATCAAAAGTCTTTTTTTTTTTTTTTTTCTTCGAGACAGGGTTTCTCTGTGTAGCTTTGGAGCCTGACCTGGCATTCACTCTATAGACTAAGCTGGACTCGAACTCACAGAGATCCGCCTGCCTCTGCCTCCTGAGTGCTGGGATTAAAGGAGTGCGCCACCAACGCCCGGCCTCATCAAAACTCTTAACATGCTGGTACATTTATATTCCTGGCTCCAAGGAAGCTGAGACAGGATTGCTGAGAGTACCGGGCCAGCGCTGGGGAGAGAGATGGCTCAGTGGGAAAAGCCATCTTTACCCACGCAAATGTGAGGACCCCACATAAAGCTGGGTGTGGGAGTGTAGCTGTAACCCACTGTACATCATTATAGAAGGCGGAGGAGGAGAAGCCCCAGAAGCTCCCAACCCAGCTTGCCTGGTTTACAGGTCAAACAAGTTAGAAGGCAGGGTATGGGCACCCCAGCCCCCCACATACATAATACACACAGATTTTAAATTTATTTCAAGTTTAAACAAAAAAGATTTTATTTTTATGGATGCCAAGTATGTGCCTGATCCCCAAGAAGACTAGGTGTCAGACCCCTGGCACTGACATTGGTTGTCAGATACCGGGTGGGTGCTGGGGACCCGGTGCCCTCTGCACATGCTCTCAGCCTCTGTGACATCTCTGCAGCTCCTTAAACACTTTCCAGGGTTACATTAGAAACTATGAGACTTGGGATGTACATCAGCAGGCCAGAGACCCTAGCCAGTTCTTGAATAATCTAAGATTTTGTCTAATTTTAACGTTTTTAGTTGAGTGTGATGGTACACACCTTTAATCCCAGCACTCAGGAGGCAGAGGCAAGCAGATTTTTGTAAGTTCAAGGCTGGCCTACAAAATGAGTTCTAGGACAGCCAGGGCAATATAGTGAAACCGTGTCAACTAACAAAATTTAAAAAAAAAAGAATTTTTTTTCTCATTTTAAGCCAAGTATGATGGTGATGCCTGTGATCTTAGCACCCAGAAGCTAGAAGTGGTGATTAGAGAGGATCTTGAGTTCCAGGCTAGCCCAAGCTATATAGTAAGTTTCTACATAGTCTGGGTTACATAGCTAGACCCTAGCGCTAAAGAACACAAACTTTTTTTTTCTTTTTTTAAGAGCATATTATAACAGCCAGGCAGCAGTGGTGCACGCCTTTAATCCCAGCACTTGGGAGGCAGAGGCAGATGGATCTCTGTGAGTTTGAGACCAGCCTGGTCTACAAGAGCTAGTTCCAGGACAGCCTCCAGAGCCACAGAGAAACCCTGCTTCGAAGAACCAAAAAACAAAACAATAATAACAAAAAAAAAAGAGCATATTATTTGAGTGTCAGAAGGATCAGAAGTTCAAGGTCAGCCTCTGCCACTTCAGTGGGGCTACCTGTGACATTGTCTTACATGCTCAGCATTATAAGGTGCCTCTGTAGGAGACCTTATAAGGGAGGAGTTTTTTTTTTTTTTTTAAGTTAGCTAGCTAGGCAAAAACCTGGTGATGTAATAAAACATCGCTGATAAGCAGAGTTGGTAACAGCCTGCCTTCTAAGGCTTGCTCATTAGCGTCTAGCTCAGGACCTAAGCAGGGATTGGTTAGCTAAAAGGTGTTAATAGGTGTAGTCATGTTTGCTAGCTCTCCGCAAGTTACTATGGAGACGATCAGAGCTGAGTTCATAGGGCAGTGACCTCACCTTTCTACAAACTCTTTGGCCCTGCCTCAGTCCCTGCCTCACGCACGCTCTTGTTAAACTGCTGCTCTGTTGAGTCATGTTCAGTTCCTGGGGGCTTCTTTTGGAGCTTGATGAAAGATAGAGACAAAGAGGGAAGGAGGAAGGGAGGGAGGTAGAAGGAAGGAAGGAAGGAAGGAGGGGGTGGGGGGAATAAAGAGTAAGGGAGAGAGACCATGGATGGATGGATGGATGGATGGATGGATGGATGGATGGATGGATGGATGGACAAACCCAGAATTTGCTTTTTTAAGCCAGGTATCTTGGACCATGCTTGTAATCCCAGCATTTTGGAAATGGAGGCAGGAGGATCAGGAGTTTGATGCTAGCCTGAGCTATAAGACCTTACCTGAAAAAAAATTTGTCATTATTATTTTGCTTTTTTTGTTTGAGTCAGGGCCTTGCCCAGCCTGGGCCCAAACTCATACTCCTCAAACTTGCCTGAGTCTCTTGATTGTTGGGATTATAAATAAAGTGGCTAGTGCTAGTATTTTTTTTAATTTATTTAACTTTATTTTTTGTGCATTGGTGTGAAGTTGTTAGATCCCCTGGAACTGGAGTTACAGACAGTTGTGAGCTGCCACGTGTGTGCGTGGCATTGAACCCGGGTCCTCTGGAAGAGCAGCCAGTGCTCTTAACCACTGAGCATCTCTCCAGCCCCACTAGTATTTTTTTCATGTTACTAAAAGGTCATGAGATGGCTCAAAGGTGGTTTCCAACGCCTTTAATCCCAACACTCGGGAGGCAGGTGGGTCTCTGTGAGTTCGAGGCCAGCCTGGTCTACCAAGCAAGATCTAAGGCAGCCAGAGCTGTTACACAGAGAAAGCCTGTCTCTAAAAGTCAACCAACCAAACAAAAGAACCTGAGCTCAAATCCCCAAATAAAAAGCTGTGTGTGGTTGCCTACATCTGTAGCCCCAGAAACATGGGAGGGTGGAGACAGAAGGATCTCTGCACTTGTCCACCAGCCTAGCTCCAGGTTCAGTGGGAGCCCTGTCTCAAGGGAATAGGTCACATATTGATAGAACAGCACACCTTCCGCCCTCTCACATACTCACAGGTGTGATGCCCGTATGTACACCTGTGTCTGTCTAGCCGGCACAAGATTAAGGGGAAAAAGCAAAATCAGAAACCGAGTGTGTGTGTGGTACTGAGCTAGAATCCCAGCTCTCTGGAGACTGAGGCAAAAGGATTACCACACGTTTGAGGCCCAGGTGGACTATATACTGAGTAGCAGCCAGGGTTACAGAGGAAGACCCAGTCTCAAAAAGAAGAAAGAAAAAAAAAGCCCCAAAGTTCTGACCTGCTGTGGTGGTTCATTCCTGCAATTCCAGAACTAGGGATGCCTCCACACCATGGCTTTGTGTTCAAAGTTAGCCTGAAGACTCAAAAATGAAGCCACTTCTGGTCTACCCACCATCCATTAGTCTCTGCACTTTCTGCGGACTGTATTCAAGGTTAATTTTCCTGCTCTGGTAGAGATATTTCACATCATAAAGGGACATTTTGGAACCTACTTAAGGCCACTTTTTAGGAGTCATGGGCTGCTAAGAGCTGATAGTGTGTCCCAGAAAGTTCTTTTGAAACTCTGGCTTCTATTTTTGGTGGCGGTGGAATGTTTTTTGCTCCTTTGGGAACATTTCAACTAAAGCTTCTTGCTCTTTCCCTGGCTAGTAAATAACCCATGGAGGCACCAGAGAGCTCTGCTGGTCATAGAGTCAGGAGGTGTGGGTTGGGTAAGAGGCAAAGGTACTACAGATTGTTAAAACCAGGAAAGAGGAGTTGGGCACAGTGGCACATGCCTTTAATCCCAGAACTCAGGAAGCAGAGACTGCCAGCTCTTGGTGAGTTTAAGATCAGTCTGGTCTACATAGTGAGACCCTGTCTCGAGAAAGTGCTGAGATTCTGTCAAGGTACCATTTCCTCCAGATATAAATTTTACTTCCAGCCTGGTTAGTCTCTGATGTCAGATTTACTCTCCAATGTGGATCCTGGTTAGTGGAAGAAAGTTATTCTAGCCTCTGGGTTTGTTTTGAGGATAGGCCAGGAGACATAATGAAGATTGTCACTCTAGGTACAAATATGTGAGCATAACAAAGTATCCACTGTGCTAGTGAGGGCAATTTAATGTTTATATGTAGGGTCTACCTCCTGCCTTAGCCAAAAGTAGATGTGTTTTTTGTTTTGTTTTTTAGGCAGGCTCTATCCCTGGCTGTCCTAGAACTTAGAGATTGCTTGCCTCTGCCTCTCAAGTGCTGGGATTCAAGGCATGAGCCACCATGCCCAACCTAGTAGGTGGGTTTTTACCCATAGAGGAAATGTTGCTCTTTAAATTTAAGGAGCTAACACATAAAATTTGTGATCTGTAATCAAAACATGGTGGATCAGGTAAAACTCTGCAGGGTGCTGAGGAAGGCACTGGGGGCGGCTGGGTCGATGGAGCTCAACTGCTTTGGGGTGATATCCTGGAAGAGGTGAGTTTGTAGTTGAGGTTAAAGGCAAGAAGAAAAACAGAACATGTTATGGAAGACCTTTCCAGAAGCATAACTTATTAAACAGACTTGAAGAAGCCAAATGCTTAGTTCTTGGAGTGTATAGGGTGCTTGACCAGTACATGCAAAGTCTTGGCTTTGATTCTCAGCGGTTTATTAATTAATTGAGCAGGCATGTAATCCCAGTTACTTGGGAGGCTGAGGCAGGGAGATTTCAAGTTCAAGGTTGGACTGGGCAAGTCAGTAAGATCCTGCCTAAAAATAAAGGTTAAAAAGAGGGTGTAGAGTATAACTCAGGGTTAGAACATTTGCCTAGCACACCCCCAGTGTCTGTTAACTCCTCAATACCACTCACAACAAGAGTGGGGCCAGACTTTGGAAAGCCTCAGAAATCGCACCTAATGGGATAGAGATACAGTTCCTGCCTACTGTGCATAAGGCCTGAGGGAAAATTAGAGCCAAGGTGAGCCTGATGCAGTGCGTAATGTCTGGTCCACAGAAGATGGGGAGAACACTGGGTGGTGGTGGCGCATGCCTTTAATCCCAGCACTCGGGAGGCAGAGGCAGGCGGATCTCTGTGAGTTCGAGGCTGGGCTAGACCGACAGCCTCCAAAACAATACAGAGAAACCCTGTCTCGTGTATTAAAAAAAAAAAAAAAGCAGTCCTGGCACTTGTCATAGAAAACTTGACTTATTCACCAGAGCGAATAGAAAAGAGCAGCTTTACAAGGGATGCTCCAGGCAAGGAACTTGCTCTAGCGTGAGACTAACAAATGATTTGCTCTTCCCAGGGAACTATGAGGGATCCTGTGAGTAGCCAGTACAGCTCCTTTCTTTTCTGGAGGATGCCCATCCCAGAGCTGGATCTGTCGGAGCTGGAAGACCTGGGCCTGTCAGATACACCTACCTACAAGAGCAAGGACAGCAACGTTGGAAAAATGGGCCGTCAAGCAACCGGAGCAGAGCAGAAGAACCCTGAAGGTGACCCTCTCCTTGAATATAGCACCTTCAACTTCTGGAGAGCTCCCATTGCCAGCATTCACTCTGTCGACCTGGACTTGCTCTAAGGCCAAAACGTCTCTCTCCCACCCCATACCCTCGTTGCCTTCCCTTTTGAGTCCCTTCCTTTCTAAGCCTTTCCCATTTTAATCTTGTTCTCTTCCCTCTATTGTGCTGGTGGTGCTGATGAACCTGCCAATTGAATTGTATGTATGTATGTCCGTATTTATTTCTTATTTATTTATTTATTTATTTATTTATTTATTTATTTGCCTATCTATCTGCCTGCCTACTCCATTTCTCCAAAAGCCTTCTAGGCACAAAGTCAAGGGTTTAGCCATTGGAGTACTAGAGCATAGGATTTCCACCCCCAACCCTGAGAATATTAACTAGTCCCAGAAAACCATCCTTAAAGGGGGCACCAGAGAGAAGTACAGTTGTTCAAAATGGGAGGCCTTTATTTTTTTTTAGTTACATTTTAATCAGCTTAAAAGATTTCCTTGGTCCTCCCTAATTTCCTGCACAAGGCCAGTAAGCAGGTATTTCTTAAAGAAGTAATGAGAACCTGGAAGTTTTGAGATGCTTTCTACAAAGCAAGATTCCTAAAACACTAAGGTAGTAAGTTCTGTTCCTTCTTGTAGCATATTCTCTTCTTCAGAAACGTGGGTTACAAGAGGAAATAACACATCCTGGAGAATGGAAATGAGGAAAAGCTTGGAACCATTTCAGAATTTTGGGGGGGGGTAGTTTGAGACAGGGTTTCATTGTGTAGCTTTGGAGCCTGTCCTGGAACTAGCTTTTATAGACCAGGCTCGTCTTAAACTCAAGAGATCCTCCTGCCTCTGCTCTGCCTCCCAATTGCTGGGTTAAAGGCGTGCACAACCACCGCCTGGTTTAGAAATAGTTCTTTTAGCATCACCTCAACTCTGCTCCCAGCTGTGGGTTGGAAACTTTTCAGAAAATCCATCTTCATGGGGAAACCTTAGTATTAGGATAATCCATAAAAGGTAAAAGATTTATATGATCTAAAGAGAAACCATCGTATTAGGATAATTTATATAAAATTATGATTCAGTCATGAAAGAAGAGGCAGAGTGTTTTGCTCTTTGGTATTTCAGCTTTGCCTTTCTGTAGTTGCAGTTTGTGATAGGGATCGATGGTTCCTGGGCATAGTTCTTCAGCTACTGTAAGAAATAAGCAATTATATTCGGACCCTACACCTGTCCTCGTTCCTTCCAAAGTTATTGCTGCTGATTTGTGCTGCCATTTATTCATTTATTTAATAAAGTTGTTGAATCCTGTCTGGGTTTTGGCTTTCTCTTTTCTCAGTGAAGTACTACAGATTTCAGAATTTGCTCATGCTTCCCCATTGGGCTTCTCGTTTTATCTTTCTAATATTGACTCTGAATTAGATGGATTTGGAATGGATGTAGCTGGTGGTAGAGTGCTTGCCAGGCATTTACAAGGCCTGCTAGAGTTCCTCAATAAGCAGCCAGTGCTCCTAAACCCTAAGCCACATCTCCAGCCCATTCTTTGCTTGCCAGACTGGCTGTCCGTCCTGGAACTCGATTTGTAGACCAGGTTGGACTCGAACTCACAAAGATCCGAATGACCACACCTGGCACCCCAGCCCGTTCTTAACTTTATTTTTAACTTTTTTTTGTGTTTTGTTTGTTCATTTTTCTGTTGTGGTGGTGGCTGGTTTGGTTTTGAGACAGAGTCTCACTAGCTGTCCTGGAACTCACTCTGTAGACCAGACTGGCCTTGAACTCACAGAGATCCGCCTGCCTCTGCAGGGGTATGCCTCCATTGTCCACACTGTTGACAATTTCATGCTCCATCCTATTCCAACCTCCCCTAAAACGTTTGAGTTTGTCTTCCCTGAGATGAGAATGTCTGCTATAATTTGCAAAGTGTCTGGTCAGGCAGGTGTCCGATTCGCGTGCATAGCCAGGGACGTCCTGAACAGTCTCATCGAGGTTGAGTCATGGAGGCAAGAGTCTCCCCCAACCTAAGGCTAGCCCTGCGGAGGACCAGTGGGAAGGTAGAGCGCAAGCTCCAAAACGTAACCCAATTTTCCCTTAGCCTTGCACGCGTTGGCGCCAAAACTACCACCTCGGTCCGTCCCCTGCCGGAACTATGCCTCACGTAAGCCACGTAATCAATGATCCTGCGCCTCGCTAAGTAGTCCCGTTCACGATGCTCTCAGTACACGCTTTTCCAGTTCAAGAGGTCTTCGGTAGGAAGAAATCAGCCTCAGAGGTGCGTGGCGGTCTTGACAGAAGGGCAAAGTGGGTTTTCTAACCCATTTCCTCCAGATTCCTCCGCCAGGAGGCATAGTCACTGGGCCTTCACTTCCGGGTCCGCCATTTTACTGCCTCCATTTCTCCGCGAGGGGGGGGGTAAAGGTCCCCCAAGTATGCATATGCGAAAGGGTCGAAAAGTGACGGCCACTGGCAAGGAGTCTTAACTCGAGAAAGAAAGGGGACCAAACTGGCGGGCCCGGTAAGAGCGAAGCCGGCAGCGCTCCGGACGAGGTGAGGGGGAAGGAGACGCAGGGCTCCCGGGCGTCCGCGGTGCCGTGCCAAGTGCCCGGCCCAGCCCGGCCCTGTGGGCGCGGGCCAGGAGACTGCCGGCGCGGGGGTGGCAGCGGGGGGGAGAGGGACGAAGAGGAAGGGGATGCTGTCGGGAGGAAGGGGAGGGGACTGGGAGGAGGTGAAGGGGGTGGGTGGAAGACCTGGGGCTGGGGAGCCGGACTGCGGGAAGCCAAGGCCACAGAGGTGACCACTAGGGGGCAGCGTGGAGCAGGAGTCCTGGCTGCTGCGAGCCTCGGACTTGGGGCTCCAGCTTGCAAGTTGGCGCCCCTGTTCTTGACAGACAGAGCGCTGGAGTGAAAAACTGAAGGGTATTTGACTGAGGAGAAGGCGGGCACTCTTAGATCTCTGGGTCTAGAAATAACGTTCAAGTTCATAATCTGAACAAGAGCAGTCATGGCTTTACATATGCAGTTCTTACAAAGATGTTTGAACAGCTGGCCGCCCAGTGAGGACGTGTGCACTTCAAAAAAAAAAAAAAAAAGGAATAAAATCGTCCATAGACCGTGAATTCTCTACCTGCTGTTTGTTTCCCTAATTAGTGTGCTCCTAGCCTCACAGATTTCCTGGAGGCATCACTCTCTTGTCTCCCACTTCCGTAAAGGCTTTTCTCTGGTTTCTGTCTTACACTAAGTAGCTCAGACAGACCACCTTGCAGCTGTCCTCTTGGCTGAGCCCCGGAGTGTTGTGATCCCAGAGGTGAACCACTCACTGTGCCTGGCTAGTCTTTTCGTTACTGTTTTTGAGAAATGGGTTTTCTGTGTAACAGCCCTGGCTCAGTTTGTAAACCAGACTGGCCTCAAAGTTACAGAGATCCACCTGCCTCTGCCTCCTGGGATCAAAGGTGTGTACCACCACAGGTGCTGCTAGTACTGTTTTTATACATGCTTTGATAAGGAAGGGCAAACCACACACGCAGATTGTTAGATAAGCAGAAGTGATTGCTTTATTTGCTAGTGGAGTCCTTTGTGAAGGGCTCAGGCACTCCATGGTTTTAAAACATCTATTGAAATAAAGTTCTTAAAACTAAGTATGATGGAAGAAAACTAAGTATGATGGCATGTACCTGTAATCTCAGCTCTCTGCACTTGAGAAGAGGTAGAAGGGTCCAGGTGTTCAAGGCCAGCCTGTATTACTTGAGCCCCTGTCTGAGAGAAGAGAAAAAGACAGGGCTCTGGTCTTGCTTTGTATTTTATTTGACTTCAGATGTCCTGGAGGCAGGGTTGGGAGTGTAGCTCAGGGGTAGGTGTGTGTCTAGCATGCCTTTTTCCCTGAATTCAGTCCCTAGCACAGAACCAATGGAAAGAAAAGAAAAGAAAAAAACTTAGGCTACAGATTAGTGCAGATTCTGTGTAGATTTTAATGTGGAGGCATACCCTATAAAGGAGAATAGCTCCCCTTTGTAGTGTTCAGAATGTTGGGATTGTCTAGGTTGGGCCAATGAGATAATTTGATAAAAGCTGCCAAGCCTGAGTTTGGTCCTTAGGACTCACACAGTAGCAGGAGAGACCCAACTCCTGGGGGTTGTCCTCTGGGCTTACGCTGTGGTGAGTAATACCCACAGAAGTGCACACAAAGAAGTAAACAGATAATTGCCTATGGTACTCTCTAGTCTTAGGGTTCACACAGCCTTGATGTGGTGCTGGAAGAATGACCCATGAGTCTCCCCACAATGCTGTTATTTTACTTAAAAATTGCATTACAGTCTGTGTGTGTGCGCGCACGTGCTTTCGTGCATGTGGAGGTCATAGACAACTTAGAGGAGTCATCACCCCGTGATGTGGAAACTGGCTCCAACTCACGGTCATCAGGCTTCTCAGCAGACATCCTCACCCACTGAGCCATGTCAGACTGGCCCCCAAGATGCTGTTACTTATTGTGCATTTTAATTCAGGTGGGTACTTCAGGTTAACCCAGGAGTGACAAGGCTAGAAGGAGACCACCAAGAACAGATTCCTAGACCATTTTTACCAGAGTACAAGTAGGAGCCAAATTTAGACGACATTCCCACTGGTAACCAAATAGAAGGACTGGTTTCCCAGCTGGGTATGGTGGCACACACTTTTAAGCCCAGCCCTAGGGAGGCAGAGGCAGGTTGGTCTCTGTGAGTTCAAGGCTAGCCTGGTCTACAAAGTGAGCTCCAAGACAGCCAGGGCTACACAGAGAAACTGTTTTAAAAAAAAGTTTTCCTGTGATTGTTGGTATTGGTTACTTTTGGAAGGTTCAGACAAACAACCCTACTCCCTTGTTGGTTTGGAACAGGATTTTGTGACAGTTAGGCCAGCCTCCAATCACCATTATCCTGATTCGGGTTCCCAAAGTGCTGGGCTTTCGGGCAAAGGCCACTCTGGCCAGCATGACTTCATTCTCTCTCCCCAGCCCTCCTTTCACCGTCTTGTCTCTAAACAGCTTTCTCTGAAGACAGTCAGTGCACCTGTGGTCTCAACTGACCCTCATCACCATGATAAGCTGTGACAGATGTCAGGGAGTTAGTACCAATAAAGTCTTCATAGGTCCAATTCCCAGCACCCACGTGGCATCTCACAACTGTCTGTAACTCCAAGGCCTGACACCTCACACAGACATGCATGCAGGCAGAACACCAGTGTATATAAAATAAAAATAAATTTAAGCAGATAAGAGGTATAGGTGGTTTTTAGGTCAGCCTACATGAAGTCTACTCTTACGCTTCTCACTTTCTTTTGTTGTTCTTTTACAGAATATTAGCAGCCAACAATTAAAAAGCTACACAAAAACACAACCAGCAAGAGGAAATATTTAATGAGAACTAGCTTGAAAAGCCAGTGTTGTTTATAGGTGTCTTCCTTAAGTGATCAGTGTCCAATACCTTTGAATTAGTAGAAGCACTGCTTGGAGTGCAGTGTCAGGGCATGTCTAATTATCTTTGTTTAAAGCAACTGACTAGTCAGTACAATTAGGAGCGTATGACACAGGCCTGGGAAAAGGAAGCACCACTAACAATTGTAATTTAGGCCCCATCAGCTTGACTCCCAAGCAGTTAGATCCTAAACCATGCATCTTAGCTTATACAATACGGCAGGCATAGAAATACGTTGAACACGTTGAGGAGCCTGCAACATCATTACACAGAACTATACAGAAATCCTCTATATAGTCACTCAGCTTCTGCTCGTTAAGCAAAATTTAGAATCTTTAGTTCCCTAGGTCTACCACACTAACAAAATCCAATGCTGGACCTCCACAAATTTAGTAACAGTGAATACAGAATTATTTTTGGTGTGTACAAAACAAAATACTTTCATTTTGAGGCCAATAGATGGAGACCAAGGTTTCAGATAGCAGGATTATCCAAATAGCGTGCTTTTTATTTGATCAGTAGTGATCTTTTTAAATTAATTTATTTGTGTATGCTTTGTTTGCATGTATGTCTGCAAGTGACAAGAGGGCAGTCCCATTACAGATGGTTGTGAGCCATCATATGGTTGCTGGGAATTGAACTCAGGACCTCTGGAAGAGCAGCCAGTGATCTTAACAGTTAGCCATATGTCCAGCCCAGGCAATATTGATTTTACTTGTGTGTGTGTTTGTATGGTGCGTGTGTGGAAGTCAAAGGACCATTTTCCTGAGTCAGGTCTCTTCTCCCATAGGGTCAAGAGATTGAACTTGTCCATCAAGTCTGGAGCTAAAGGCATTCACCATCACCACCCACCTATTTATTTTTTCAGCTTTAATCCCAGCACTGGGGAGGCAGAGGCAGGTAGATCTGAGTTCAAGGCCAGCCTGATCTACACAGCAAGTTCCCAGGACAGCCAGGGTTACACAGAGAAACCCTGTCTTGGGAGAAAAAAAAAAAAGACAGGGTTTCACTTTGTGGTTCTTGGCTGGCCTGGACACTGAGATGCATCTGCCTCTGCCTATGCATATGCACATGTACCTGCTTGTCTGCATGTATACCTTGTGCGCGCAGTGGTCTTGAAGACCACAGAGAGTGTATCAGATGTCCTGGAACTCAATTCAAGGGGTTGTGAGATGCCTAATTGGGTGCTGGGAACTGAACCCAGGTCCCCTGCAAGAGCAGCAGTGTTCATCATCTCCAAGCCATCTCTCCAGCCCCGGTATTTATTTTGCTTTTAGTTATGTCCATGTGTCTGTGTGGGGATGTGCAAGTGCCTGCAGAGTAAAGAAAAGGATGTCTGTTCCCGTGGCACTAGAATTACAGGCTGCAGCCTGGAGTCCTCTGAAAGAGCAGAGCACACCCTCAGCTGCTGAGCCATCTCTTCCTCACCCTAAACAGCTACATGAATTGATAGGTTGGTTTGGGGATGGGAGTATGCATGCCCTCAGTATTCCTGTGGGAATCAGGACAACTTTCCAGAGCCTGCCCTCTCCTTCCACCGTGTGAGTCCTGGGGATACAGCTCTAGTTGTCAGGTTTGGTGGCAGTTCCTGTATGTGCTGAGCCATCTTGCTGTTCCCAAGCAGTTAGCTCAATAAAATATAAAATTTTGTTAATTTTACAATGAACATGTACACTTAATTGGATATTAAAATACCCACTTTCTGAACTGAAGAGATGGCTCAATGGTTAAGGGTTTGCACTGTTTTTGCTGATTTTGTTTCCTAGTAACCAAATAAGGCAGCCCAAATTCTCCTGTAACTGCAGTTCCAAGGGACAGTCTCCCTCTTCTGGCCTCCAAGAGCACATACCCATGGATACCAGGGACACACACATACAATTTTTAAAGTAAATATTGAACAGATAAAAATAAAATATCCACCCTCATAATACTACAACAAAATATATTTTTTATTAGCAGTTAGGCTACCCTAGCAGCTGCTGTACCATTCAGCCTTTCCTCTCTACTGGGAGTGAGTGGCTGACTATTTTCTCCTGGCCATAGCTTGCCAACATTGTTACCATACAGTTAGGGTCAGAGCTTGGGCCCTGGCATCCCTAACAAGCTGGCATATTTGTCAATGCACCATTAATAATTAAAAGCAGAAAAGGATTTATTCAATGTGGCCATACTGGAGAGAAATCCAGTGAACACCTGTCTGTTCTGGGCTTCTGACATACATGAATGTTAGGTTGATTAGGTGTGTGCGTGCCTTTAATTCCAGCACTCGGGAGGCAGAGGCAGGCGGATCTCTGTGAGTTCGAGGCCAGCCTGGTCTACTGTCCGAATTCCAAGACAGCCTTCAAAGCTACCGAAAAACCCTGTCTCAAAAAAAAAAAAAAAAAAAAAGGTGTGTAGGAATAACTAGCCATTCCTGGCCAAGGTATGACCCCAAGTACTATCATTGACTCCCTTGACTCCCATCTCCTGCAAGGTGGTCTGACAAATTGTCAGAACGTTGTGATCTTTCTGAGGTGACAATTATCTCTGTCTGGCACCTGGGTTCAGCTATTTTCTTCTCCCAAAATGAGATTCTTGGGAAAGTTCCAGTGATGTCCATTGTCCCAGTGTCTGAGAGCAGAGGAGACTGTCTTCATTCCTGTGAGAGTAGTTACAGTAGTTACAGGCATGAGCCAGCAGGGCTGGCCACACCAAGCTTTTTAATAGCTTTTCCACCTGATGGTAGGTATTCTTTGATGCTACACCAAAGCTTGGCAAGTGGTAATTTTTTTGTGGTTCATACAGCCTCATGCATGCTAGACAAGCACTCTGCCATTGTATTGCATCGCTCACAAGATAGGTGGTAATTTCTTAAAAGTTAGCTGCAAGGTTGATAATTTAGCTCAGTAATACCCTGGGTTTGGTTCTCTGCATCAAGGGGGACAAGTGGTTGCAAGGGTTGAAGAGATGGCTCAGCACTTAAAAGTATTCAGTGTTCTTCCCGAGGACCTAGGTTCAGTTCCCATCACCGATTTGACAGCCCACAACCACCTGCAACTTCAGCTTGAGGAGATTTGATGCCCTTTTCCAGCCTGCATTGCATGTAGACAGTGTACAGACATACATATAGGCAAAAATAGTCACACATGCAAATAATTTTAAAATAATAAAATTAGTTGAAAAGATAAAGCTAAAAACAACTGTCTGTCTTATACTTTGATTTTTGGCTGTACTGGGACTTGACTCCAGAGCCTTGCACATAGTAAAGTTCTACTACTGAGCTGGTTTTTTACTGTTCACTAAATTACCCACGCTATGCTTCAATTCATATTGTAGTCCAGACAGGCCTTGGACTTTTGCACCAAAGCCCAGTGCTTCGACACTAAGCAGCCCTCCACAGAATGAGCCTTTGATTAGGTTTTTATGACCCAGGTTGGTCTCAAACTTGGAATCTTCCTGTTTCAACCTTCAAGAAACCGAAATTACTGAGATTACAGGCCTTTGCCACAAGGCCCTACTTTGAATGTATTAATTTTGGAGGATGTTCTGAGTACTGCATGGTGCATGCATAGAGATCTGTAGCTGCTTCTCTCCTTTTACCATGTGGGTCAGGTAGTCAGACTGGAGAGGTGGCTCCTAGGTGACTTGTGTGAAGCCTGATGGCCTGAGTTCAATCCCTAGAGCCATGTGGTAGAAGGAGAGGACCAACTCGTGTAAGCTGTCCCCTGACACACCCACACTCAAGAAAGAGACAGCTGGGAGAGAGGCTGGAAAGAAAGATTGAGACTGGCCCTCGTGTAGCTCAGGCCTGTCCAGAACTCAGCGTGTAGCTGAGCTGGCTTTGCGCTTCTCATCTGCCCGCCTCCACTCCTAAGTACTAGTGTTATGAATGTACCTCCTGTGTAGCTTTGGAGGCTGTCCTGGAACTCGCTCTGTAGACCAGGCTGACCTCGAACTCACAGAGATCCGCCTGCCTCTGCCTCCCGAGTGCTGCCACCACTGCCTAAAGCACATGGCAATGAATACAGTAAGTTTATTTCACAATTTGATTGGGCAAAAGCAATAGCAATTATACACTCCATGCTATTTTCACTATCATTGCAAATGATAAGCTGCTTAAACAAAACAAAATGAAATGTCAAATGATGCCTTAGTATTGTAGCAAAAATAGCTTGGACCACGTGGATTCCTGTAAGGTTATTAGTATGGCTCAGAGCCATAAACCACACATTTATGAACTGCTGTCCTAAGCAAATCATTGGCCAGTGGGAGTTTATTCTTGCCATGCTGGCCAAGGTATCACTTGCCCCTAATCTCAGTACCTTGGAAGTGAAGACTGGAGGGTAGCAGTTAAAGGTTATCCTTATCTACATCAGCTTGGGCTACCAGAGTTGCTGTCTCCAAAAAAAAAGGGGGGGCAATTTGCTTTCTGTAAACTTTGATTGGCATTGCATCATTTTGCCATAGCTAAAAACCAAAAAGATTAACAGTTGCAATTCATTTTAGAGACGATGCTTCTTAGTGGGAAAAATGAAGACTCCCGAGAGTGGAAGGGGCTCCCAGAGAGGACTACCTCCATGTGCCCTGCCCAGCGTTCTGTTTAAAATATTTATTCTTGGTGCTTGTATATGATGGGGGCAGGGGTTGCACTCCATTGCATGTACACAGGACAGCTTAAAGTCAGAATCAGTCCTGTCCTTCTACCAAGAATTCTGGAAGATAGGACTCGGGTCATCCAGCTCTTGTAGAAAGCAGTTTGGGACTGGAGAGATGACTCAGTGGTTGAGAGCACTGGTTACTCTTCCAGAGGTCCTGAGAATCACATGGTGGCTCACTACTCTGTATAATGAGATCTGGTGCCCTCTTCTGGCATACATGTAGATAGAACACTCATACCTAAAAAATAAATAAATAATAAAAAATTTAAATTAAAAAGAAAAGAAAGTACTTTGGCCTGCTGAGCTATTTCACAAGTCCTGCCTGGTGACCTTTTATGTCTTACAAAAGAATTGGGTTGAGACAGGGCAGTTGTTATTGAAATTGGTCAGGTTTTGAGCTGGCTCATCAAAAGCTGGGTCTTACTCATCCAATCCAGTCATGAGCTACAGAACTAGCTCATGGTCCTTCAAGGCCCTTCCTTAAGGGTGATTAACTCAAAATTTCATTTTCAGATGGGTATCCTTGTGCCTTGCCTAGAAATCGGGTGCATGCTTTGAACTGCATTCTTTAAAGTTATACTCTGACACTGGGTCTGGTCATGAAAACCTGTAATCCGAGCTACTTGGGAAGTTGAGGCAGGAAGATCACAGCCTACCTGAGCTGTGGCGTAAGTTTCATACCAATCCTAGCAATTTAGCTAGCTCCTCTCTCCAAATAAAAACGAAAAGGGCAGGTATGGTGACACTAGGCTGTAATCCTAGCACTTGGGAGGTGGAATCAAAAAGATCAAAAGTTTCAGGGTCATCCTTAGCTACACAGCAAATTTGAGGTCAGTGTAGGCTATATGAGCTCCTGTCCCCCAATCAAAAACATCTTGTGAACACATTTCATTGTGCTTATGGTGGCACATATTTGCATCTTAGCATTTGGCAGGTGGGGGAAGAAAGATTTTGAGTTTGATGCTTCCATGGACTACATAGTGAGTTACAACAAGCCAGCCTGGACTGAATGGCAAAACCGTGTCTTAGAGAAAACAAACAAAAAGCAAGAACATTTACAGACAACTGCTTCCCTTGTGTTGGATTGCAGCTCCCTGGATACTTTTGTTCCTATGCATAAAGATGTCTCTGGTGGATTTGGGGAAGAGGCTGCTAGAAGCTGCAAGAAAAGGCCAAGATGATGAAGTGAGAACGCTGATGGCCAATGGGGCCCCGTTCACCACAGACTGGGTACGTTTAGCAGGAGGCTCCAGTCGTTTCCAGGTGTGCCGTAACCTGTCCTGAGGCTAACAGGTGCACCTGAGGATTGCAGTCCCCTCTTTAGTTTTCCCATGTGCAAGTTGCTGTCAATATGTAGGTAGTAATTGTGAGCTATTAAATACTATATTTTTATTTGCAGTTGTGATTGTATATGCCTTTAGTCCTAGAACTTGGCAGGCAGAACTTGGTGAGTTTGAGGCCATCCTGGTGTATATAGCAAGCTCCAAGACAGCCAAAGATACATAATGAGATCTTGTCTCAAACAACAAAAAAACTCGCCGGGCGTTGGTGGCGCACGCCTTTAATCCCAGCACTCGGGAGGCAGAGGCAGGCGGATCTCTGTGAGTTCGAGGCCAGCCTGGTCTACAGAGCTAGTTCCAGGACAGCCTCCAAAACAATACAGAGAAACCCTGTCTCGAAAAACCAAAAAAAAAAAAAAAAAAAAAGACTCTTTCTCCAAGGATGAATACTATAGGATTCATTTCTTTTTTTTTTTTTTTTGGTTTTTATGAGACAATTGTTCTCTGTATTGTTTTGGAGGCTGTCGGTCCAGCCTGGCCTCGAACTCACAGAGATCCTCCTGCCTCTGCCTCCTGAGTTCTGGGATTAAAGGCATGCGCCACCACCACCTGGCTTTTTTTTTTTTTTTTTTTTTTTGGTTTTTTGAGACAGGGTTTCTCTGTATTGTTTTGGAGGCTGTCCTGGAACTCACTCGATAGGCCAGGCTGGTCTCGAACTCACAGAGATCCTCCTGCCTCTGCCTCCTGAGTTCTGGGACTAAAGGCATGTGCCACCACTGCCCGGCTTAAGATTCATTTCTTATTCATGTGTTTCTACCCAGAAATGATACAGTTCTACACATAGTGGAATTCAGTGAGTATTGTTTTCCCACAGCTTGGAACATCGCCTCTTCACCTTGCAGCCCAGTATGGTCATTATTCCACAGCAGAAGTGCTCCTCCGAGCAGGCGTTAGCAGGGATGCCCGGACCAAAGTGGACAGGACCCCTTTGCATATGGCTGCCGCTGATGGACACGCACACATCGTGGAGCTGCTTGTTAGGGTAAAGCAGGACGGATGGTACTGTGCTATAACACAGGCACTCACTTCCCATAGTGTTTCTTAAAGACTGGTAGGAAAGTGGGCTGCAAAGACTTAACAGTAGATGGTCAGTAAGTCATATCTCTATTTGTTTATCTAGATTAATTTATTCATTAAAACCATGTTTCGAGAGTTGTGAAGATGAGTTTGTTTTCTAATTTTTTAAAGGTTAAGCAGATTTTATTGATTTTTTTTCATTCCTTTTCTGTAGGTGTTCGCTGTATGTATGCCTATTTTTTTTTTCAGGCCCTACTCAGCTTTCTGCTAATAAATGCAACAGAATCTGTTCCTTCCCCCTTCCTCAACCATCTGTTAGAATTTCCCAATGATGTCCTTAGCAGACCCGCTCAGTGAAAGCATAATGTCTCAGCATTCAGGCTGACTTGAGAATGTTTTCCCTTTGGCGTCCCTTAAGTGAGGACTCAAGCTAAACATCTCTATTGCAATGGGATCTCACACCTGGGCTCCTATGCCAGCATCTGCTGAAAAGCTGCTTCTCTGTCACAGAGTGGTGCAGATGTGAATGCCAAGGACATGCTGAAGATGACAGCCTTGCACTGGGCTACAGAGCACCACCACCGAGACGTGGTTGAACTACTCATCAAATATGGCGCTGATGTCCATGCTTTCAGCAAGTTTGACAAGTCTGCCTTTGACATAGCACTGGAGAAAAACAACACTGAGATTCTGGTCATCCTGCAGGTATGTTCCTTTATATCTCCAAATACACCTCCACTTCTATATTATTCTGAAAGAGTTGGATTAAAACAGAATTTCCCCTCATTTTATCAGAATAGCACTGCTAGCATACCTCCCTTCACACACACACACTCACACACACACACACACACACACACACACACACACACACACACACACACACCACCCAGTAAAGACAAGCTCTCAAGTAGCCCAGGGTGATCTCAAATTTTGAATGTAGCTAAAGGTGACTTTTGATCCTTCTGTCTCTGCCTCACCTAAGCTAGAATTTCGGACTGTACTACTGTGTCTGGCCTTTGTTTTGAGACTAGAGTCACACTGTGAAGCCAAAGATAATCTCTCTAACCAGGCCTGCACTTAGTGTTTTTTTTTTTTTAAACAGAATTCTAGAAAATCCTGTATCGCTCATGGTGATTAGAGAACTATTCCAAAAATACTCATTGCTGACACTGCAGAGCAGAACTCTACAGACCTTTTCTGGTTTTGAGAGTTGCCCAATTTATGAATAATTTTTTTGCTCCTATAAATGGGTTAAGTTGAAAGGAAACAGTCAGAACAGAAGTAACATTTATTTGACTGTCCATTGTTTTTCTCTCCATTAATGTTTCCATTTCTACTTAACTAGACTTGGGACAATCTTAAAAGTCACAGGCTGACCGGATGGTGGTGGCACACACCTTTAATCCCAGCACTCAGGAGGCAGAGGCAGGCAGATCTCTGTGAGTTCGAGGATAACCTAGTCTGCAAAGTGAGTTCCAGGACAGCCTCCAAAACCACACAGAGAAACCCTGTCTTGGAAAAAACAAAAGTCACTGGCACTCTTCTTTGATCCTAGCATTCAGGAGTGAGAGACAGGAAGATCTCAGTGAGTTTCACTTCAACCCACCTTGGTCTACATAGCAAGTTTCAGTCCAAACAGGGCTACATAGTGAGACCCTGGCTTAAGAAAAGAAAAGAAAAAAGAATTGCTGCTGGAGATATGACTCAGCGATCAAAAATTCTTACCAATGGGAAGTAGTGATGCATAACTTTAGTCCCAGCACTTGGGAGGCTGAGGCAGGTGGATCTCTGTGAGTTTGAGGCCAGCCTGCTCTACAGAGTGAGTTCCAGGAAACCCAAAACAAACAAGCAAAACCCCCCCCACACACACACACAAAAAAAAACCAGAGAAACCAAAAATAGAGAAATAACAATATTTACCACACATTAAAAAGGGAATAATTTTAGATAAGAAAGAAAGAGACTCTCCAGGGCTAGGAGATAGCTAAGTTGGGAAGTGTGTCTTATAGACATGAGGGACTGAGTTTGATCCCCAGAACCCATACAAAAAAGCAGGTGTGGGCCAGTCGGGTGACTCAGTGGGTAAAGACCCTTGCTGCCAATCTCACAGTCTGTGTTCAATCCCCAGTACCCGCCTTTAAGGAGAAAATCAACTCCTTCAAGTGTCCTCTCACCTGCTGTTGGGTGACAGACCTTTCCTGGGGAGACACAATTCGTGTTGTGTACCCAGTCCAGAAAGGGAACCCAGTGCAGACCAAAGTAATGATGTGTTGCCCCAAAATTCAATTTGGTGAAGCGGGGTTGTTAACAGAAGTGTGGATGAGGGGATCTTACAAGGAACAGGGGTAACACAAAAGCAGCTTCATCTCCAGAAAACCCACCCCAGCATGGAAAACTGCAGCCCTGGAGCATGCTAGCCCGCTGTCAGGCTGTGGCACATTCCTAACACCTTTCTTTCTGTAGTTGGCTAGTCAGTCTTCACCCTGCAACTATTGCTCCCTTCCACACTGTCATTAGGGCCCTCAAGAATCTTCCAAGCTTCCATTCTTCTCTCATATGTGGCTTTTTGCTGGCCAGCCTCTCCTTCCTTCCTGGAGCAGATGTTCCAGTTTAGAGGGACTGCTGCAAATCAGAGGAATTCATGCCTTACAATCTATGCATGTGTGTGCCCTGGCAGACTAGAGCACACATGTGCATATACAACAAATAAATTGTAATTAAAGTATTTGTAGAAACATCTGTGGATCTCTGGTGCTTACTGGCCAGCCAGCCTTGCCTTCTTGATGAATTCCAGAGCAGTGAGAGTCCCTACCTACCTCAGAAAAACAAGATAGATAGCATCTAAGGAACAATATTCAAGGTTACCCTCAGGCTGCACCCTTCCATGCATACATATCCTGTCAAGATGGCACGTACCCATATAATCTCACCATTATAGAGTATATGGAGGCAGGAGGAATAGAAATTCAAATTCATCTTCAGCTACATAGCAAGTTTAAATGCCACTTGGACTACTTAAGACACTCTCTCAAAAAACAAAACCAACTAAACCAAGAAAACCACAACAATCCTAAGCCTGTGAAATGTTTGTGCAGTGCCTCAGTGTGTTTCTCCCCATACACACAACAAAGGGAAACAGATACCCAGACCTGAAAGGCAGAGGCCCCCACCTCTCTACAAATACACCCTTCACCTAATTCCCCACAAAGACAGATCCTGAAGCCATCAAAAATTAAGTTCAAAGAAATTACATTTAGGGAATTACTTAGTGGGCAAGGGTGTTGCTGCCAACCTTCATCCAGTCCCTGGAACCTCCCACATGCTGGAAAGTGAAAACTGACTCCTGACAGTTGTCCTCTGACCAGCACGTGTGTATGTGCACACATACACGCTCAAAGTGTGTAGAGCCAGGCATGGTGGCGTACACCTTTAATCCCACCACTCAGGAGGCAGAGGCAGGTGGATCTCTGAATTAAAGACTGCTCCAGTCTGTATACTGAGTTCCCAAACAGCTAAAACTACGGAGTCTTTAAGGGGCAAGTGCTTCAATACAGGTTTCTCTGTGTAACCTTGACTGTTCTAGAACTTTCTCTGTATATCAGCCTGGCCTTGAAGTCACAGAGATCCACCTGACATTGTCCCATGAGTGCTGGGATTAAAGTTGTGTGCCACCACTGCCTGGTTTACCCAGAGATTTTGTTTTGTTTTTAAGATTTATTTATTTATTATGTATATAGTATTCTGCCTACATGTATGCCTACAGGCCAGACGAGGGCACCAGATCTCATTACAGATGGTTGTGAGCCACCATGGGGTTGCTGGGAATTGAACTCAGTGCTCTTAACCTCTGAGCCATCTCTCCAACCCCTACGTCGAGAGTCGTAAATAAACAAACAAATCTAAGTGCAAAAAAATAATTGGGCCAGTAATGGCTCAGGTAGAGGCACCTGCCAAGTCTAATGCTCCAAGTTGGGTTCCCTGGACCCACATGGCGCAAGGAGAAACGCCTGACTCTTGCCAGTTTTCTGTTCTCCACATGCATGTGTGACCCCCACACACAAAGAAATATGATGAGAAAGTTTAATTGTATTCATTTTTCAGGAAGAAGTTATTCTATACTAGAATAAGCACAAACTAAAAACAGATGTGAAATAACATCTGTGGGGATGACAGGTGCAGGAGTTATGCATGTGATCTTGTTACATGGCTAGTGAGATATTTCTTATGTGTGTGGGCCATGGGAACATAGTAGAAGCTTGTTTTGTTTTATTTTGTGTGTTTTTAAGGCTGAGGCTCCCTATATAGCCTAGCTTTCCTGGAAGTGGCTTTTGTAGATCCTTAAATTTATAGAAATCCACATTCTTCTCTTACCTCCTGAGTGCTGGGATTAAAGCTTTCTTTCTTTTTTTTTTTTTTTTCCCTCTTTTTGGAGTGGAGGTTGAAGGATGATCTTCCTGTGTGTGGCTCTGCTTCCTGTGCTGACCTCAAATTTGAGGTGATCCTCCTGTCTCAGCTTCTGGGGTGCTGAGATGACAGGTTTGAATTGCCACGTCTGGATTTAGAAACTCAGATTCAGGATTGGTGTGCTTGTTTTAGGAAGGGGATTGGAGGAGAGGTCAGTGCTGAGTAGCATTGGATCCTTCATCAGGCCGGGCCAGCCTGCCCGGGCATGCTTCCACTGTGGGAGCTGCTAGAGGGTCAGAGTAGCTGATTGAAGAAGGAACTTAACAGTATCCGGAGAATGAATAGTCTGCTTCAGTTGAAGTTCTCAGTCAGGGGGTAATTACATATGAAAAATAGCTGCTTGTGCATTTTCAGCTTGTGTTTGTTCTTCATGACAGATGGTTTTCTAAAGACTGGTTATTCTCAACTTTCAGTTATTGTTCAAAGTCTTTTCATAACTGGACATTTTAGTAGCTATCATGTTTGTAGAAAACGTCTGAGAGTAAAAATAAAAGATAAGCATCTTTTCACCAAATTGAGCAGACATCCTCGGAAGCAAGGGTGTATGCAGCAAGTGGAACTAGACTTCAAATCTGCCACTGATTTATCTGCTTGTTATGTGCTCTCCGGGGAGTTTCTTCAGTGGCAGAATGGAGCAGGTTGTGGAATAAAACTCTAGAGAGTGTTTTTCTCTGCAGGGATCTCCTACTAGCACCTTGTCTTGTAGATAATTGATCACAGAATGTCAGTGCTGCAATTACCTTTTAGACTATCCAGACCAGTTCCTTCCGTTTTTTTCTTTTTTTAGAGAGGGTAAGTGAAGCATGTAGAAGGCTTTGTGACTAGTACACCTTTGCTTTCTCGAGTAGAAACAAGCTTGGGAAAGCCAGACAATATGTTGCATTAGTCTGAGAAAAGCAGCAGTCTTAGCTCCCTGGACATTGTATACCAGACTAGTTCTGCCTGGCAGAGCTCTGGTGGGGAGGGACCATGCTGGTCAGTGACTGTATGACTGAAGCGCTGACTCTGAAATATCCTGCTTTGTTTGGTAGGAAGCAATGCAGAACCAGGTGAATGTTAACCCCGAGAGAGCCAACCCAGTGACTAACCCTGTGACTGTGACTGCTCCATTCATCTTCACCTCTGGAGAGGTCGTTAACCTCGCTAGCTTTGTTTCTTCAGCCAACACCAAAGCAACCTCAGGTAATATTCTGATGATGGAACATCTATTTTAGGCTTAAAAATGAGCAGAATCGCCGGGCGTTGGTGGCGCACGCCTTTAATCCCAGCACTCGGGAGGCAGAGGCAGGCGTATCTCTGTGAGTTCGAGGCCAGCCTGGTCTACAGAGCTAGTTCCAGGACAGCCTCCAAAGCCACAGAGAAACCCTGTCTCGAAAAACCAAAAAAAAAAAAAAAAAAAAAAAAAAAGGGCAGAATCCCATTTTCTTAGACATGAATGGATATTCTATCTGATACCCACTCTTATAAAAAATATCTCATAAATGGTGCTGGGATTAAAGCCCTGAGCTAGAACACTTGCTGAGTGTGTAAGACCATGGACTAAATCTCCAATACCACAAAAGGTAAAGTGAAAACATTTGTCAAACTCTTGTTTCTCAGTGTAGACATTGAACTTGGTCCTCACATTACTGAGCCTGTGTTCGCAGCCTCTTCTTTTTCTGCTTGCTATTGTTTGGTCTGTGTAAGACAGAGTCTCACTGTCATGCAGGCTGCCTGGACTCATTGTGTAGTTAATGCTGACCATGAACAGTCCTCCTGCCTCAGCTTCCTAATTTCTGGGATTACAGGTATATACCACCATAGCCAGCTTTGTAATAACTTTTAAAGCCAAGGCATTTTTCTTTCTGGGAAAAGGAAGATTGTGGGGAATTGTAATCAAGGGATTATAAATCCCAGCACTCAGGAGAGAGGTAAGAGGATCATGAGTTTAAGATCAGTATCTGCTACCTTAGACGCTGTCTCAGAAATCTAGGTGAGATGGAGCAGGCCTTTACTCTCTGCACTCAGGAAGCAGAGGCAGGTAGATTTTTCAGTCCCAGGCTAGCTTGGTCTACATATTAGACAAACAGTTGAACGAGCAGCAACCAAAAGGTTATGCCTTGGGCTGTGATGTACCTAGGTTATTTAAGTGTTGCCTAGCATGTATAATAGCACACACATGTGATACTGGCACAAAGAAGCCTGGAGAACCAGAAGTTCAAGGTCTTCCTCAGGAGTTCAAGGCTAATTTAAGGGGGAAGAAAAAGCCATACCTGACTATAACAGTTTCTTCAATCCCAGCACTCAGGAGGCAGAGGCAGGTGGATCTCTGTGAGTTCGAGGCCAGCCTGGTCTAAAGAGTGAGTGCCAGGACAGCCTCCAAAGCCACAGAGAAACCCTGTCTCCAAAAACCAAAAAAAAAAAAAAAAAAAAAAAAAGAAAAGAAAAGAAAAGAAAATATAACAGTTTCTCAGTGTGGTACTGCTGAGGAAAATAATTAAATATTCTTAATTTAAAACAATAACAAAGCTGGGCATGGTGGCCCACCCTTTAGTCCCAGCACTCAGGAGACAGGCAGGTGGATCTCTGTGAGTGCAAGGCCAACCTCGGCTACATTAAGTTACAGGACAACCTACACAGAGAAACCCAGTTTTGAAAAAAAAAAGGAACAGCAGCAACAAAAAATTAAAATAGGATAAAAATCAGTGACTGTTGAAATACTAATATAAATGAGGCACGTGTGATGATTTGAATAAAGTAAACTTCATTTGTTCATGAGCATATATTTTGCTCTTGTGTATATCTGTGTGTGTGTGTGTGTGTGTGTGTGTGTGTGTGTGTGTGTAGTTTTTGTTTGTGTCTCATTGTGTAGTAAACTGGCTACTTTAGCCCTCCATCACTGAGATTGCAAGCTTACACTACCTTCTGGGTTTGGGATATATGTGTATGTATTTTAATTATTTAAAGCAGAGAAAAATACTTGGTATCAACCATTTTACACCTGAATGCTTTGGGGGGGTAGGGGTGGGAAGTGCTGAGACCGGGTCTCATAGCCTAGGTTGGCCTTGAATTTGTAATCCCCCAGCTTCCACCTTCCCAGTACTAGGATTGCAGTTGTGAGTCACCTAGTCTACACCCGGAGCCTGCGACTGCATATTTAAACTCTTAAAAGGAGCAAGTGAGTTTATTTTCATCCTTCCTTTTATAAATATGTGTTCTATGACAGGAAATTTCCAAATACATTTCTAGTTCTTGACTTTTTTCTGTTTCTGACTTTCAAACATTCAATACAAGGCTGGGTGTGATGATGTGGTGACTTGTGGCTCTAATCAGAGCACTAGGGAGGCAAAAGCAATATCTCTGTGAGTTTGAGACCAGTCTGGTATACACAGTGAGTTCTAGGCCAGCCAGAGCTACTCAGTGAGTCCCTGTTTCAAACAAAGAACCCCCCCAAAAAATAAATAAATAGTAAAGTACAGTGGTATTATATTTCTGGACTCCCAGCACTCGGAAAACTTAAGGCAGGGAGACTACCAAAAGTTTCTGGCCAGTCTGAGCAACATAATGAGAGCCTGTCTCAAATAAATAGAAAATGCATAAAGCCAAATGAATAAAAATAAATAACTGGGCCGGGCGTTGGTGGCACACGCCTTTAATCCCAGCACTCGGGAGGCAGAGGCAGGCGGATCTCTGTGAGTTCGAGACCAGCCTGGACTACCAAGCGAGTTCCAGGACAGCCTCCAAAGCCACAGAGAAACCCTGTCTCGAAAAACCAAAAAAAAAAAAAAAAAAAAAAAAAAACTGGGCTGTATCTGTAGTTCACTGATACAGAATTTGCCTACCATTTACGGAGCACTGAATTCAATTCTAGTACTTAAGGGAATAAAAAGGAATAACTATATTCCCAAACAAGTTGTATAATATAAAAAGGAAGGGTCACCGGGCATTGGTGGCGCACGCCTTTAATCCCAGCACTCGGGAGGCAGAAGCAGGCAGATCTCTGTGAGTTCGAGGCCGGGCTGGACTGACAGCCTCCAAAGGAAGGGTCTTGTTTTGTTGTTGGTTTGGTTTGGTTTTTTGAGACAGGGTTTCTCTGTAGCTTTGGAACCTGTCCTGGAACTCACAGAGATCCACCTGCCTCTGCCTCTCGAGTGCTGGGATTAAAGGCCTGCAGCAATACTGCCCAGGTGAAAAGTGTTTTCAATAATTCAAAAACCTTGATTAGACTTGTAAGCTAAAGTCTAATCCTGTCTAATTAGGAGGCTGAGGCAGGAGGTTCAGAAATTCAAGAATGGGGCCAACAAATGGCTCAGTGGGTAAAGCATTTGCTGTGTGAGCTTGATGACCTAGATTTGATTCCCCAGAACCCACATGAAGGTGGGAGGCCCCAGGTGCACTGGTGTAATCCCAGGTCTTGGGAGGCAGAGGCCTCTTTAGTTTGAAGCCATCCTGGTTCATATATCAAGCCCCAGGGTAGTCAGGGCTTCATAGAGAGATCTTGTCTAAAAAAAAAAAGAATTTAAAGGTGAACTGAAAAAACAAAGCACCACTGTTCCCTAGAATAGCAGCCAGTTCTCTTCACTCCTGAGCATCTCTCAGGCCCTAATCTTACACCGTAGCTCAGGCCAGCTTGTTACTTAGTGTAGGCCACGCTAGCCTTGAATTCCTGGCAGTCGTCCTCCTTAGCCTCCCAAGTTCTGAGGTTACAGGTGTGAGACACCATATTGGCTTCGGGTTCTGACAACCTCCTAAATGTGTTCTGATGCTTTGATTCTGTAAACTACTCTGGGTGTGCTGGTATACACCTATGATCACTGTACTCTGGGGAGTCAAGGCAGGGTGATGGAAAGTTCAAAGCCAGCCTAGGGGCTGGGGTAATAGCTCAGTTGGTAAAGTACTTGCCTTACAAGCTTGAGGAACTGAGTTCTATCCCCAGGATCTACAGATAGAAAGACAGGCATGTTGGCTTGTCCTTGAAATCCCAGCAGCACTGGATAGGCAGAACAAAAACAGGCAGATTCTTAGGCTTTCTAGCTGGCCAGCCTCACCTATTTGGTGACCTCCAGAGCTCCAGGCCAGTGAGAGACCCTGTCTTCAAGTCAGTAACCCCTAAAGAACAGCACCTGGGGTTACCCTTTGACCACACACACACACACACACACACACACACACACACACACACACACACACACACACTGAACAATATAACAAAACTGTCTCAAGGTTATAACAAATTTATCCATGTTCTGAATAGATAATAAGATGTCAAGGACTGGAGAGATGGCTCAGTGGTTAAGAGCACTGGTGCTCTTCCAGAGGTTCTGAGTTCAATCCCCAGCAACCACATAGTGGCTCACAACCATCTGTAATGAAGTCTGGTGCCTTCTTCTAGTGTGTAGGCATACATGCAGGCAGAACACTGTATGATGTCCCTAAGCCAGGTCTGATGACACAAGCCTGTGATTCTGTAGGGGAAGCTAAAGCGGGAGGATAAGTTTCAAAGCCTGCCTAGATTACAAAGTGAGTTCAAGGCAAGCCTGATCAACTTGCTGAGATGCTGTCTGAGATAAAAAGCCAAAAGAGTGAAAAATGTCAGTACGATACAGGACATTAAGACAAGAGATTATTCCTTGAAGCCACAAGATTTCTTTACTGCCATGAAGAGACAGACCCACAGCCTGGTGGTGGCTTTTAGGAGAGTTCAGGCCCCAGTACTGGAGACAGATTTTTCTTTCTTTAGGATACAGAGTAAGACTTTGTCTCAGACAAACAAACTGGAGAGTGCAGAGATGGGTCAGCAGTTAAGAGTGCTTTTACTTCTCTTGCAAAGGACCTGAGTTCTGTTCTCCGCGCCCACATCAGAAGGCTCATAACTGCCCGTAGTAATTGCAGTTCGGGGACCCAGTGCCCCATGGCTCCTGAGGGTATCTGCACACATGTGACACACATAAACTCACTCTGGCACCCACATACATACATATGTAAAATTTTTTGTCTTTCTGTTGTTTGTTTGTTTGTTTGTTTTTGAGATACGTTTTCTCTGTGTAGCTTTGGAGCCCGTCCTGGAACCTGCTCTGTAGCCCAGGCTGGCCTGGAACTCACAGAAATCCTCCTGTCTCTGCCTCCCGAGTGCTGGAATTAAAGGCATGTGCCATCACCACCCAGCTCAGTAATTTATGTATTTATTTTTTTAAGTTTGTTTTTTTTTGTTTTTCTTTTTTTTTTAAGATTTTATTTATGTATTATGAATACAACATCCTGCCTCTACATATGTCTGCACGCCAGGAGAGGGCACCAGATCTCATTACAGATGGTTGTGAGCCACCATGTGGTTGCTGGGAATTGAACTCAGGACCTCTGGAAGAGCAGTCAGTACTCTTAACCGCTGAGCCATCTCTCCAGCCCCTCAGTAATTTATTTTAAACCTAGAAAATTACAAGTTTTTGATTGCTAATGACTGAGTAGCTCCATATGCCCCAACCTCCATGAAGGGCTACCTGATGGCATCCCAGAGTGCTGCTCTGCAAGCAAAAGCTTTGGGTTTAACATCTCGTATGACCCCAACACAAGCAAAATTTACCTAAAACTCGCTTATTCGTTGTCTCACTTGTGACGCTAGCCTTGCTGTAACAGATAGGAAACACAGGAGCCTAACAGAACACTCAGGAACAAACAGCTGAGTCTAACATGTGGTTATTAGCAAGACGTGAGGCCCTGGGCATCCGGCACTGTGCTCCACTCACACCACTCAGCTCTCGAGGCGTTTCATTACAAAAGAGTGTCCACCTCATCCCCTGCCCGACATCATCAAAAGTGTGGAGGTTTTGTTTGGTTTTCGATATAGAAGCCAGACATGGTGGTGGTGGACACTTTTAATCCCAGCACTGGGAGCCAGAGGCAGCAACCCCTTCTCCAGCACACACAGAGCCACAGGTGGTGGGTGTCTGCTGGTGAAGTACAGCTTCTTTTGTTATCGAATCTCCACAAGTTTTAAATTATATTAAATAGCAAAGAGTTCTGCTGAGCATGGTGGCCCACTCCCTTACTCCCAGCACTCAGAAAGCAGAGGCAGGTGGATCTCTCTGAGATCAAGGCCAGCCTGGTCTATAGAGTGAGTTCCAAGACAGCCAGGACTTGTTACATAGAGAAACCCTGTCTCAAACAAACAAAAAATAGAAAACCAATTCCTGCTTGTTGTCTTTATGACCTCAATGTGTGCACCATACACACTCACAAAGAAGAGAAAGTTTCAAGTTACTTGGCCAGCATCAGTGGTAGCCTGTGAAGAAAAACCTTAGAAATTCATATAGCTGGTGACAGATAATTAGAGTTAGGGCTCAGTAGTCTCCTATGAACTCTGGCCGACTGTACTTTCATTAAAGGAAGTAAATTGTTGTGATGTCTTTCTTCCATTGACATTTGGGAGGTGAGGACATTCCTCCACTGATAGTCAGAGAGTGGTGAGGCAGCATGTCAGGAGAAACATACTGTTTCAGTTTGCTCCCTGGTTTGGGGTAAATCATTTCAGTTTTCCAGGTCACTAGTTTCCTCATCTGGCATGGTGGTTGTGTTAGATTTCTATTATAACATTCGAACTTTGTGGTTTCTTTGGATGTGGATCATTGGCGAGTGTTTTGTTGTTTCTGAACTAGGATCTCATAACTCTCAACTCTTGCTTCCCTTGCCCCTACCTCCCAGTCACTAGGATTATAGTACACCTGATTCATTCTTCATTTCTTTTCCTTTGTTTTGTTTTGTTTTTTGCTTTTTGTTTTGAGGCAGGGTTTCTCTATGTAGCCCTGGCTATCCTGGAACTCACTATACATTTGTTAGTTCACTACTAAATGTCTCCATATTCTTAAATTAGTTATACTACTTTACAGGTTTTTTTTTTCAAGTTTCTTTTTTTTTTTTTTCAAGATGATACCTAAGAAAAGGATTCTAAGATCTTGGAAATTATCATACACTATAGGGGAAATCCCAATGCTTATTAACCTATTAAAGGTGACAATAGTGGCTCCAAAACAAATTTCACACACACACACACACACACACACACACACACACACACACACACACGCACGCACGCACGCACGCACGCTAGGTTGTAACTCAGAACGAGTGTTTGCCTAGCTTTCACAAGTTCCTGAGTTCCTTTTCCAGTACCACGTAAATCAGGCATGGTGGCCCACACTTAGATTCAAGCACTTGTGCAGTAGAAGCAAGAGGATCAAGGGTTCTAGATCATCCTCAGCTCCTCTGTGAATTTGAGGCTAGCCTGGACTATAGGAGACCCTGCTCCACCCCACCACCCCTTAAAAAGTATGTGTATAGTTTAGTTTTCTTTGAAATAGAGACTCATATAGCTCAGGCTAGCCTTAAACTCCATATGTAGTTTAGAATTTGAGACCCTCCTGCCTTTGCCTACCAAATAATAGAATTTTACTTATGCCCCACCATACCTGGAAAGTCTATTAGCATTTCAAAATGTATTTATGTGTAGGACCTATCTCTTTTTTGTTTTTTGAGAGTTGTTTTTGGTTTTGCTTTTGTTTGTTCTTGGGACAGAATCTCACTACATAGCCCAGGCTGCCTGGAACTCACGGTGATTCTCCTACCTCAGCCTCCTGAATGTTGTGATTATAGTATATGCTGCCAAGTGTGCCCTAGAACCTGTCTTTATTGAACACTATTAACATCTCAGCGAGGACATTTTTAGAAAATACTATCCTAACAGAGTCCCTGTGTTCTTTCCTGCTGGCTTACTATTCATCAAAGCTTTTCTGGACAGTTATTGTTGCTCAGTCCCATAGTCCTGACACATGGGAAACTATGACAGGCTGAGCCCCCTGAATTCAGAGGCCCTATCTCAAAAAATCAACCAAGTTTTCTTCTTTTTCAAAAATATTTTGAGTAGTATTTCAAAGAGGATGGTGAAACTTGCATTCTTATTTTTCTTAAATTCACTTTTTGAATTTTGAATTCACTTTTGTTCTCCCAGCTAACCTAGAGGAGATGGAAGAAGGAAACTCACTTGACTCCTCAGTCCAGCAAGTGGTGGGGAGTGGAGGCCAGAGAGTCATCACCATAGTGACTGATGGTGTCCCTCTAGGGAACATCCAAGCCTCAATCCCTGCTGGGGGCATTGGCCAGCCCTTTATTGTAACCATGCAAGATGGACAGCAAGGTAAGTTATATGCAGTAGACAAATGCTATTTAAAGGTATTTTAGATATGCCATATTCCCTTAAGAATGAGGCAGTAAGACAGGATTTGGGGAAAGACTGGAGAATGATAGAAGAAACTCTAAGAAAAAACATCACCAATCTATACAGGCTAATTTAATTTCCCTAGCAGATCCATAATTTTTGAGTAAAAATGAATGGTCTCAACCACACATGGTAGCATATGCCTGTGGTAACAGCACCTTGGGCTACACAGTAAGGACAACCTCAAAAAACAAACAAAGGAAGGAAGGAAGGAAGGAAGGAAGGAAGGAAGGAAGGAAGGAAGGAAGGAAGGAAGGAAGGAAGGGAAAAAAGAAAACTCAGATCAGAAAACACATTACACCCTGGGCACAGGTCAGGAACTCAGCAGTAGGGAGACAGAGGCAGGAGCATGGCTGTAAGTTCTGGACCAGCCTGATCTACAGAGTGAGTTCCTGGCCAGCCAGGGCTGCAGAGTGAAACAGTAGCTCACAAAACAGGCTGAGGAGGTAACTCAGTTTGTAGAGTGCTTGTCTGCTGTGCAAGAGCGTCCCGTCCACAAGTCAGAGAAAAGCTTCACAAGAAACCAAGCCACACCTTGGTCCAGCCTCCAGAAAATAGATTTTGACACTGTCATGTTTTGTAATGACAGTTGTAGTGATCTATAAAGAGGGTGCCACTGCGTGTTCTGTGTACACGTACGGGAAGATAGGTAGTCAGGGGTCACCCCATGTGTCCATTCATCCTTTGCAGCTGACTCGGTGCAGTCTGACTTTAATCCAGTCTGTTTCCTTTGGGCTTTGAGTCCTCTTGTAGTCAGATGTCCTAGAGCTCAGAGTGTTCTGTACTTTGTCAGAATCTCCTGCATAAGCGGGTGGTGGCGCATGCCTGTAACCTCTGCACTCCAGAGGCTGAGGCGGGAAGATGGCTTGTAATTGCTATCTTCCAGTCCCATTTTATTATTTAAGAGAAAAATAATTCTCCGAGGAGCAGATGGGAAGTGGGGGGAAGTGGTGGAGATTAGGAAGAGAAAAGGAATGGGGTACTGAGGTTAGTATATAAAAAATAAATTAATAGAAAATTTTTAAAAAAAGAAAAATAATTTTGGGCCAAGATCTTAATCTGTACCTCAGCCTCGCCTCAAACTCACTGTGTAACCTAGGGGGATGCTAAACTCAAGGCAGTCTTCCCACTGCACTGGAATTACAGCTGTGACCACTACCATCTATTTCGTTTCGATTGGTTTTCTTTTGAAACAGTAGCTCTCATAGCATAGGCTGGCCCCAGACATCACAAGATGACCTTGAATTCTGTTCCTCTTGCCTCTACCTCCCAAATAAATGCCTGCTAGGATTATTGGCATGAGCCATCATGTCAGGCTCAAAGTATTCTTTCTCTCTCTCTCCCTTCTCTCCCCTCTCCCCTTTTTCCCCTCTCCCCTCTCCCCTCTCGTCTCTCCCCTCTCCCCTCTCTGTTCTCTCTCCTCTCCTCTCTCCTTGCTGTGCATCTTTGGCTAGCTTGGTGTTCACTGTGTAGACCAGGGTGGCACAGACTTGAAGCTGTTCTTGTGCCTCAGCCCCTGGATGCTGAGATCACAGCATGCAGCACCGTGCTTGTCGTAAGAGCCTGAGGCCTGCATGGTTACAGCTGCCAGCTCTTCCTTCCTGGGCTCTGCTTTTCTGTCCTTTCTGTGGCCTTCACCTCACCTTTTGACTTCATATACTGTGCTTCATGGCTTTTGGTTTTGCTTTTGGAGACAGGGCTACAGAGAGCCCTGCTGTTGACCAGGCTGAGCTCAAAATCAGAGCTCTGCCTGCCTCTGCCTCCTGAGCATGGGGACTGAGGGCATGCACCCCACAGCTAAAGATTCTACGCTGTAAAGAGATATCACAAACAGTGTATGCCCATGTACAGGGGTGGGGGGTGGGGGTATCACCTGGTAGTAAAACACTTCTCTGTCATACAAGAAGCTGTGTCAAAAATACTAATAATAGTTTGATAATGACATTATCACTCTTTTGTAGTTAAAATCAAACAAGCCTTCTTTGTATATTGTGTGCTCATTGTCTCCCATTGTTGTGCTTGGCTTGCAGTCCTAACTGTGCCTGCTGGTCAGGTTGCAGAGGAGACAATAATTGAAGAGGAAGAAGAGGAAGAAGAGAAGTTGTCGTTGGCAAAGAGACCGAGGATGGCAGAGATGGCAGACACTGTTGAGGAAAGCAAGGTAATAAGATCTCCACCGTGAGCCAGAGAAGGGAAAGGAAGGGAATGGAAGCCATGGGGTCACAGCCATAGCCATCCTCACCTTTCCGTCTGCCATCTGGCTCCTTCGTTACCAGGAATCCTTTTTGGTTTTTCGAGACAGGGTTTCTCTGTGGCTTTGGAGGCTGTCCTGGCACTAGCTCTGTAGACCAGGCTGGTCTCGAACTCACAGAGATCCGCCTGCCTCTGCCTCCTGAGTGCTGGGATTAAAGGCATGCGCCGCTTACTGGGCTCCTATTGTTTGCTCTGCAGGAAGGCAGTGAGAGAGAGCTTCTGCAGCAGCAGCTCCAGGAGGCCAATCGAAGAGCCCAGGAATACAGACACCAGCTTCTCAAGAAAGAGCAGGAGGCAGAACAGTACCGCCTCAAGCTGGAGGCGATGGCCCGACAGCAGCCCAATGGGGTTGATTTCACTGTGGTTGAGGAGGTGGCTGAAGTGGATGCTGTGGTAGTGACAGAAGGAGAAGCAGAAGAAAGAGCAGCAGAAGTGATGAAGTCAGGAAGGACCACAGAGCCTCACACTAGTGTTTCCATAGAAACTGTTTCATCTTAACACGCAAAGGCCTTGACTTGCACTCATTCATCTTACTCTTTTCAAGAAGAGAGTACAGAGGCAAGCATCGTGTAAGGCTGTCTGTAAGAAGGTAACGGTAGCAGGGCTCAGTGCCTGGGCCCAGGGAGACTGTGTGTACAGCTGGAAAACTCCGCCCGCCACCTTAGGGGCATCTAAGGGACCAAAGGACCAGGACCAAATCTCTCAGCTCACATCATCGCTTTAAACAGAGAACTGGGCATTGCGGGTAATTTTTTAAAAAATAATTTTATATCAAAGATTTTAAGATAATACTTATACACCAAGAGCCTTTAATAATTTTACCTGAGATTTTCAAGTGACCTGAAATTTCTTGTAGATTTATGAAACTAATAACAGAAGTAGGAAGCCTCCTCCTGAGGAGGAGTAAAGATACCATGCATTCCTTTCTTTTTTCCTTTTTTTTGGGGGGCAGAGGGAGGTTCAAGATAGGGTTTCTCTGTGTAGCCCTCACTGTCATGGAACTCACTCTATAGACCAGGCTGGACTTGAATTCACAGATCCACCTGCCTCTGCTTCCTCGGTGCCGGGATTAAAGGCCACCACTGCCTGGCTAATGATACTGTACATTTCTAAGAGAGCAAGCACACAGGGTGTCCCTAGTTAGTTCACTGAAAAGGAATCTCTAAGCTAGGAATGGTAGTCCATATCTATAAAGCCAGCACTCAGGAAGCTGAGACACAGCTAATGAGTTTGAGGTCAGCGTGAGCTAAAGACTCCTTCAGTGAAAGAGGGACAGGCGTGCTGGTAAACACTTTAATCCCAGCACTCTGCAGTACAGACAGTTGGGTCTCTATGAGTTCTAGGCCAGTCTGGTTCACATATCAAGTTCCTGACCAGCTAAGGCTACATAATGAGACCCTGACTCCAGATAAAGCAAAGCCAAACAAAACCGGATTGGAGCAGTGGCTCAGTAGTTAGAGTATTGCCTGTTCTTCCAGAGAACTTGAGTTCAGTTCCTAGCACCCATAGGAGGCTGCTCACAACTACACACAATTCCAGCTGCAGGAGTCAAATGCCCTTTTCTGGCCTCTCTGAATACCCACACATATACATATAAATACAAATTTAAAAGTTAAGTTAGTTCAATGCCAAGGTACACGCTTAGGGAACATGAGACAAGAAGATTGTCATGGGTTTGAAGTCAGCTTGAGCTTCATAGAGAGTCACAGGTCAGCCTGGCCTACAGTGCAGCACCTTAATGCACGAAGAGAAGGTTAAATGAGTGTGGTGGTGTGCACCTCTTCCAGCGCCCAGGAGGGGAAGCAGGTGCATCTGTGAGCTTGAGGCCAGCTTAGTCTACAAAGAGAGTCTGGGATAGCCAGGGCTACATACAGAGACCCTGCCTCAAAAAAAAAGAAAGCAAAGAGAGGTGACTTGTGATTGCCTGATAAATTGTATGTTCATAGCTTAGTCACCAGTTTAAAAAAATATAATTAAACCAGGCATAGTGGTGCATGCTTGTAATCTGTAATCCTAGCACTGTGAGGCTGCGACAGGAAGGTCACTTGCAAATTCACATACACACATACACACACACACACACACACACACGCACGCACGCACGCACTCACTCACTCTGAACTGGCCAGACTCTGTGTGCTCTCATCCCTGCACTCAGGAAGCAGGGCAGACAGGTCTTTGGGATTCTAACCAGCCTGGTCCACATAGTGAGTCCCAGGCCAGTCAGGACAACACAGACCCCAACTAACAACAGCAAAAAAATCTGAGGACATAGCTCAAAGGTGGAACATGGTGCTTAGCTGCAAGGAAGCCCTGGGTTCCGCCTTTGACACTGTTTGTACACAACAAAGCGAGGGGCAGAGAGCAAAGAAAAAAACAACTGACATCAAACTTTTAAATGCCAGAAAGACAGTTTACTTATGTGGAGTGTATATGTGAAGTCCGCGTCCTCCAGACTGCATCTCCTGAGACTGGGCCGTGGTTAGAACAAGGGTTCTGAGCTGTGAAAACTCTGGTCCTGAGATGGAAGCTGTACTGGCTGGACTTTCTGAGATTGCAATCAGGAGGGTCATTTGTTGTCACAGCATCTTCCTTCCAAACATCTGTGTATATAAAGTCAAGCTCAAACCCTCTAAATTCTGTAACGTTTGGTTGAGTATTCTATGTCACATAGGACATTGGTGCTTTCCTATAGCACTTACCAGTCTACGACAAAAAAAAAAAGTGTGCAGGTTGAAGGCCAACGCTATGTAGGCTTGTTTCTGTTTGATTTAGGATGAGTAAATTGCTGCTTTTGTTAACATGAACCAGTAGAGCTCTGTGCCTTATAGTGTTCAGGACAGCTGTCACTGCCCCAGAGCAAGGAGTCATACATCCGGGCCCTTGCTGACCTCTCCTCTCTCTACTCTGCTCACTTTTGCAAAGATTTTCAGGACTGGGTGGTGGTTGAGGTGGGGTTGGGGTAGGTCTCTATTATTAACGTGAAGTGATTTTTTGTTTGTGTAGCTCGGCATTGTGCTCATGCCCTTTAATCTCAGCACTCAGGAGGCTACAGCAAGAGGATTAACATGAGTTTGAAGCCAGCCTGAGCTACAAAAACAAGGCAGCTGAGCATTATGGTTCCTGCCTATAGTCCCAGCTCAGAAGGCTTCCTTCCACAGGAGGGTCACTGCAGTCTCAAGGCCAGACTACTAGGTGACTAGTGAGTTCTCTCAGACAGCGTGAGCCACAGAGACACCTGTCCGTCTCCCTTGTCCTTCTCCCCCAAGACAGGGTTTCTCTGTGTAGCCCTGGCTGTCTTGGAGCTTGCTCTGTAGACCAGGCTGGCCTCCACCTCACAGAGATCCACCTGCCTCTGCCTCTGCCTCTGCCTCTGCCTCTGCCTCTGCCTCTGCCTCTGCCTCTGCCTCTGCCTCTGCCTCTGCCTCTGCCTCCCAAGTGCTGGGATCAAAGGTGTGGGCCACCACTGCCTAGCTGAGACACCTGTCTTAAAGAAGGAAGAAAGGGCCAAGACTATAGTTCAGGAAGAGCCCTTGGATGTTGTTTTATGAGGTCCTAGGTTCAATCCCCAGGACTGCCAAAAAAAAATTTACAAATTTAAACAGGATGAGATAGTACATGTCTGTAATCTCAGAACTACAAGAGGGAGTCAAGAGGTCAGAAGTCGAGGCCATCCCTAGTTATTTATCAGGACAGCTTATACCCTGTCCCCCAAAGGGGAGAAGATACCTGAAAGCAGAGGGAGAGGTTTGGAAAGGTATGTAGACTTGCTTGCTTTATTGCAGATTAGAATAAACCAGAGGGACATATGCTGAGTACACACACATTTGAATGACCGTTAAGAATGTTTCCTAATTAGTGATCATGAAGAAAACACGCATTTTTAACCTGGAAAAAGCTTAACATTTAACATGGTTCTATTTATCTTGATTAGGGAAGTAATTTGTTGCAGTGTTTCAAAGGTATGGAATAATTTTTGGCTCAAAATAGGCTGAAAACATAATTGTCTAAATCAAGTTTAACAAACAATTGACTGTTAGAGGTTTATAGGTAGAAATAGCTGTTTTGAAATGACTCTTGGCTGCCGACACTTTGACGAGGTCTGCTGCGCAGATCTGAGCATCCGGGATTGTTCTGGAGCCTTGAGCGTGTCTGGAAGCACAGTGGAGGAGGCTGTGTGCAGCTCAGGCTGGAGCTGCGTCTTCTGCAGATCATTCTGCCCATTGCCAGGCTCTTCTGAGATACTGGGAATGGGTGCTAGCAATAAGTTGCTGTGTGTGACGTTTTAGGGCCTTGGCTCAGTAGAGGGAGCAGGTTTCTTTTTAGATGGCTTTTGTTTACATTCTTGGAACATATGTTGACTTTAATTCCCTCCCTCCTTTTAAGGGGATGGAGATGAACTCTGCAGAGAACATCCATGCCCAACCACCTCATTATCTTGGTAGTTACTGTGGAGATGGGATCTGTCCATCTAGTCCTCCCTTCTGAGCAGAGAGAGCCTGGTTCATTGTTCCAAGTCACTTTTGGACATGAGGTCTCTGTTTACCATCTCAAAGAGGAAGTAGGTCTTGAGTTACACTGCCATGGGGATGAGAGGCTATGGGAGAGGACACTTTCAATAAGTTAGAAATTAAGTATTGGTTAGCCAAGCATGGGGACATGTGTGAAATCCCAGCACTGAGGATGCTGAGGCTGTAGAGTTAGAGGCCACCCTGGGCTACATGACGACACTGTCTCAAAAACAGAAAAGATTGGGCTAGAGAAAAGACTCGGTGGATAAGAACTCTTGCGATATACAAGTATGAAGGCCCAAATTCAGATCTTAGCACAATTTAATAAGCCCTAGTCCCTGGGGCACCTGTAACCCTAATTCTCTAGCAGGCTGAGGAAGGAGGGTCACTGGGGTTTGCTGGATGCCAGCCTCACGAAAAGGTGAATTTCAGGTTCAGGAAGAGACCCTGTCTCAAAGGGATACAGCAAAAGTAATGGAGGAGAACCCCCAGTGTTTCTTCTACCCTCCGTACATAGGCATACAGACCCAGACACACATACAAAGAATAAGTAAGTAGAGATTAAATGCACTAATGCCATTTCATGACTTCACAAAACCTTCTAGGTCAGCCTTTTTTAGGTTTGTACCCCAGGCTGGATTCAGGCTCAGGGCAATCCTGCCTCAGCCTCTTACGGCTGGGACTATAGGTGTGAGGTCCACGTCTGGACTGGGTCAGTTGAGAAGATACCGTGGGTCTTCTGGGTTAAGTGGCCCCAGCTCATTCCTAAGGCTGGATACTTGAGAGTGGAGTGGCGGATGAGCCGCCCCGGGGCTTAGGACTCTGCAGGAGAGCGGCTGGAGGAGTACCAGTGTTAATTCAGGGATGCAGACCCTCCATTGCATCTTTTTGTGAGTCTTTCTCCACAAAAAGAGAAAAAAGAATGCTATAACTTCTGTTCTTCCTGGCTTCAGGGAAAATCTTGACAAATGTGTAAATGTGCCTTCCCTCCATGTTCCTGCCTCTGTGGAGACTTCTTATTGTAATGCCAAAGCAGAGTCCTCAGGCTGATATTGGAGAAAGTGACTTTAGGGGGTTTGCTCTGAATTCTGTGCCTTAAAAGATAATCTGTCAGATGTGTATTTTCTTTTGTTTTGTTTTGTTTTTCCAGACAGGATCTCACTTTGTAGCTCTGGCTGGCATAGAACTTGATATGCAGACCAGGCTAGCCTCAAGCTTCTAGAGATCTGCCTCTGCCTCCAGAGTGCTGGGAGTAAAGGCACCTGGCAACAGATAGTTTTATATGCCTTTGCTGGGTGCATATTAATGTACATGTATGTAAATACATAATGAATCTTTTCCAGTTTTCTCTTTGAGGTTCAGCTCTAAATTATCTGGGATAACCTGGAAGCTTATTAATTGCATAGATAGTGCTTCTTTGAATCTCCTTAATCCAAGGGATGCAGGGAGTGGGGGAAACATTGAATAAGGAGAAATACGAGAGTTGAGGCTCCGGGACCTGGTCCATGCTCACGGGGAAGCAAGCAGATAAATGCAAAGACACCATGGTCAGTACACAGTGACAAAGATCAAAGTGAGCTGCCCTCCATTGCCTTTTTGTGTGGAAGGTGCCTTGACACTCAGAGCTGGGCATGGTGGAGCACAGTCCCAGCACCCAGGAGGTGGAGGCAAGAGGATCTCAGTGAGTTCCAGGCCAGTCTGGGCTGCACAGTCTCAAAAGAAAAACCCTTATGCTTGTGGACAGGAAAGAGTCCAGGTGAGGGGCGGTCCCTCTGGACTCTACTGCCCCAGCTCAGGGTTTCACCATGTGAGAAATAACTCGTTCTGAGGGAGCTTGCATGGCTGTCTCCCAACACCAGCCACCTCCAGGGCCAGGAGAGTTGAGGCACGCGGGGAACTCTTGTCCAAGCTCTAACAATGAGCAGGGGTCACTTTTTGCCCCAGTTTACTGGGGACTGATGTGCTGTTCTTTACCCACAACGTTTCTGTCAGGGCCACCAGAATGCACTTTAAGCTCTTACCTCCTTTTTGTATCTTGTTTTACTACTTTTAAGACAGGGTCTCACTGTAGCCCAGGCTGACCTGGAACTCACTATGTAACCCAGGCTAGCCTCACACTCACAGCAGTCTTTTTGCTTGGTCTCCCATGTCTTGAGATTACAGACATGAGTCACCATGCCAAATTGACTCTAACTCCATTTTATGTGGTGCCTTTCCCCTGTCAGAATTCATACTCTTATTTCCTGTCCTTGACTTAACAGGAGACCAAAAGCAAGAAGGACATGAGTTAGAATTAATAGCTTTGCACCTCTGGAGCTGTCCTTTTAAGGGTTTTAACCTCTCTAGGGCTAGGGGGAGGAAGATATTCCTAAACTCTATAGTAGTAATTTGGCTTGTCAGCAGCAGGAGACTGTGATCTTCATGTCTTCCCTGTCCCTACCCCACGGCTCGCGCCTTAGGAAGGCTTGGCCAGCACTGGAACGTAATTAGTTATCATCTCTAACTGTGGGACTCCTTTCTTTCTCTCTTTCCCAGCCACGTACTTTGTTCTGAGATGATTTGTGTCAGAGAATTAACTAGGTCATACTCTCTGTCTATGTTCCCACTTGGTTTCTGACGTCTTGCAATGTCAGCTGTTACAGTAGCAACTCCGCTCTCTGGCCTTGCCCAGTGTGTCCTTCTGCCAAGGCCATGTAGAGGTGGGTGCCCAAGATCCTTCAGTGTCCTCTTGTTTTTCAGGTTGTCTGACAGCTTTATTTACAGAAAATTTTAGGAAAACTTAAATAAAATATTCTTTTTATTTAGGGTAAAATAGTTCCATTCTGATGAGCAAGCTTGTGTGTACATGTGTGTGAATGAGCATTTATGTACATATAACAATACAGATCTATATTATATATACAGTTTTGTACTATCATTTAAAATAAAGACATTTCTTAATAAAATGTTAGTGTTGTTGAAGTCTTTTCACTCTGGCAAAGAATGTTTCTGCTGTCTAGCTGTGTTACATTGAACCAGTCAAACTAAGGCTAAGGCCCCAGCACCTTAGCTTTTACTACAGCTTCTTTCATTTCACTTATTTTATTTTGAGACACAGTTTCTCTGTGCAGCCCTGACTGTCCTGGAATTCCCTCTGTAGACCAGGCTGCCTCAAACTCCCAGAGATCCGCCTGCCTCCGGAGTGCTGGGATTAAAGGCGAGCGCCACCACCGCCTTACCACTCAGTTTCTTTC